TTATTCTTATCTTTACTAATGCAAAAGTTGAGGTCAATTGACTCAGCAAAGATCAAACCTAAGAACATCTTGGTCTGTGCAGTTTAGTGTTACATTGGGTGGTTCATTAGATCGCTGAACCCACAGTTCTACATTTAGAGAAATAAAAATACTTCATAATTCTTACATTTGATATCTAAACTTCCACAACAGCAACAACAAGATTCCATTTATAGAGCGCCTTTCACGTCGGGAGGACGTCCCAAGGCGCTGGACAGTTGGGTCAGGACCCAATCAAGGGGGAAATGGTCAGGGTGAGGGAAGGGAGGGAGCGAGGAGGGGGTAGAGAGTCGAGAGGGGAGCTGAAGGCACGGTCAAAGAGAAAGGTCTTGAGACCAGCCTTGAAGGAGGAAAGGGAGGAGGCAAGGCGAAGGCACTGGGGGATAGAGTTCCAGAGCCTAGGGGCTGAGAGGCTGAAGGCTGAACTTGCATGACAGGAGGACATCTCAAAAAGCTTCACAGGGATATACTGTAAAGTATAGTGATTATTTTGAGGGAAAAACGCAGCAGCAAATATATACACAGCACATAAACAACTATGAAGCAAATTACCAATTTTATTTGGGGATTGTTGGCCAGAATACTAGGAGAAACTCCGTTCTCTTTTTGAATCATGCCATAGGATCTTTAAAGTCTGTCCACCTGAACAGACAGACGGTTTGTTCAGAATGAGCTTGTTCAGATCTGTTGAGATTTCCGTAAACCGACCTGCAGTTGGTTTACAGATTAGCATTTTAATGGAAACAATGGGGAGAGAGGCATCACAGAATTATACACTTAACGGAGAATTACCCTAAAAGCCTTTTCATGCTAAATTTCACATTTCCTCATATTTTCTTCAGAGATTCTGGGCCACTTTACAACAACAACAACAAGATTGTATTTATAGAGCACCTTTTACGTCGGGAGGACGTCCCAAGGCGCTGGACAGTTGGGTCCATTAACTATCCAGAAGTTAAAAAGGTGGTTACGGGACTGTGTCTATACCATGAAAAGATCAGTTCTGAAGGTCTTGATGTAATAGTTATAGTTAAACTAACACTTTAGGTTTGAAACTGAGACAAACTGTGGGTATTGGAGTCAAATCCTTTGTTGGTGCTGAGTTCGCTGACCTCACCCAGGATAGTGTCATAATTAGCCTCAGCATCTCTAGGCTAGTGCCTATCAGTCAGGTTACCTCAGAACCATGTTGGAAAGCATCGGTACATAAAAGTAATGGCAATCTATTTGACCTGTAGTGAGGAGAGAGAAGGAAGGGGAGGGGCAAATCACACCCTAATCCATGCCTCCGTGACGACCAGTAGCTGTTACTGGATATCCTTCAGTCAACTCTGCAGAGATCAGGCTGCGACCTTATGCCTTGAAAAGTGAACAGTGGAGCTATAGTATTTATAAACGTGAATAGGAAACTCTCCAAAAAACACTTTTATGAATCAAACTGCATTTCATCTGAAATTACAATTTGTATTGTAAGTGGCTTATCAGATGTAAAAGTAGCAGCCACTCTTGTATGGCAATTACCGCACAAAATTGTTGCTGCTAAATAAGTGCATCACTCAGATTTTTTAAGTCCTCCAAGACGCTACCCCTTGTTTAGGGCTATATAATACAAGTTGTTGAAGGATTCTTCAGAGATTCTGGACCACTTTACTATCCAGAAGTTAATGATATGCTTCCTGGATACAGCTTGCCTGCAGTGCCATCAAGTGACAACTCTTACTCACTGCAACATAATTCTATGACAAAAACCTCTGCCACATACACAGTAGATAAGGCAACATTCTGTTTTCTGTGAACCATTTGCACAGTGCTGATGCATTTTGATATATACAAATACCATTTTTTCCTATATATGTCCACACATGTAGCTTTCCATGTGTGTCAATATACAGTAAATTCTCAAGCCAAACTTAATAAATGTTGATAGATTTTAACATTTTACTCCTTCAGAAATTTTAGAGTGAGGTATTATTTATTTTAAATTTTCTTTCAATTTTCTCACTTACTCTTTTGAAAATACTGGCTCATGTTGATGTAAAGCTTCTCGTCACTACTGCCCACTTAATACCTCATTTAAGGCATTGGACTTGTGCAGTAGTTAGCACACTCGGCTCGCAAGCGAGAGGAGCTCGGTTCAATTCACGGATGGGGCGAAACCTTAGGCAAGTTTCCTTAGTCCACACGCCTCTGTTTATCTAGCAGTAAGTAGGAACTCAGTTGTTAGTCGATTGGTGGATCGCTTTCCAGGGGTATTAACCCCTCCAGAGAAAAAAAAATTGGTCAGTTAATCCACGACTATTTGTGGTGCTGTGCGTAATTTGTCTGTTTCACGGTTCACTCACAAAATACAGTCAGTCCACTTTTTTCTGTGAAGTGCTTTAAGACGTCTCAACGCTAAGGCGCTATGTGAAATGCAAGAGTTATTATGTGGAGTCCTGTAGCTCAGTGATTAAGCGCTCGCCTCGCAAGCAAGAATCCTGGGTTCGATTCCTGGCAGGGCGAAACCTTGGGCAAGTTCCCTTAGTCTACACGCCTGATAATAATCCCTCAAGAAAAAAAATAATAATAAATTGGTCACTTCAATCCACGACTGTTTGTAGGGACCAGCCCACACCTCACTCTCTTCACCTCACTCAGTGGTAGATCATGCACATAAATAGATCACCTCCATTCCACCTCCATTGCCAATAACACGGCTGATAATAATTGCGCAAGAAGAAAAATCAATAATAAAATTGATCACTTTAATCCATGATTGTTTGTGGGACACTGCTGTGTGCAATTGGCTGCTGCATTTCGCCCACAAATATACAGTCAATTCACTTTACAGTATATTCTATGAAGTGCTTTGAGACGTCCAGAAGATATCAAATGCAAGGATTATTATTATTATTAATAATGAATTGCAGCCTAAAAGCACGCTGCCAGCCTTTAGAATACATACTTCCTGTTCACCGTCTCTCAGGATGCCAAGAATACAAATTGTTTTAATAAAACTGGAACCTGCTGGAAATCCACAATGGAACACCATTATCTGAATGAAAAAACAAAGTTAAACTTTCAGATAAAACTCTTTCAAACACTAACATTTTCTGTTCTCAGCTGAGGTTCAGAAGTCCACTAGTCTCAGCCTGTTTTTTTTAAAATGTAAAAACAAAGCCATTTGTTTTAAAATGTAAGAATTGTGGAAATTTCTTCAATTCAGTCTTAATTTGGAAAGGTCATTTTCAGACCTGTTGAAAAGTAGCTTTAATTGAGACTGAATATAACTCTCAATTTAAAGACAAAAAATATTTTACAGGCAATGATTAAGTGGAATATTAGACAAATGATGTCCACACATGCGCAATCTTGACCAGGGAATCTTGGCTGATTACCCCCCCCCCCCCCCCCCCCACACACACACACACACATTTTTCCTAACCTAGAGATGCTGAGGCCAGTTTTAGCACTCTTAATGCACTCCAGCTGAGATTAAACCGGGGAACAAAGCCTGGGCCTTCCGGGTCTGCTTGGCTTGGTTTCACACTTCATTAATTTTGGTTTGTTTTCCCTCTTCATAGATCTCTCTGCACAAGCCAGTGCTTCCTGGGTCAGAAAGCTGTTTGGTTAGTAACCTGTTCCCTGTCAAAGCGGTCCTGCAACCAGCTGCTGGGAGGTATTTTCATTCCAACATTGGGAGATATGTTTGACCTTCAACATCTCCGGTATGACGTGACTCAGACCTGGAACTCAGAGTATGGGGACCCTGATTCCCATTCCCAATACAGTGAATGCAAACGCTCATTCAGCTGATTATGTGACTTGTCTGAAGAGTTTATAAACAAAGTAATCTCTGATTTTTTTTCACAAATGAATAAAAAGATTGTCTATAAACAGGAGAAAGTGGGGGCAAGTTGTTGATCTTATTAATAGCAATGACTAATAGACCTCATTGCAACATGACATTCCAGCACTTCATCATGTCTGCATTTTCAAAAAATTTCAAAGAAGGGTTTAAGGTCACTTTAACAATTATTAGATTGATTATGAAGACTGCACTATTTAATAATCCTTACATTCGATATGGCGCATTCACATCCGGAGGATGACTTAAAAGTACTGTGAAGTGTAGTGGCTGCACGCTTTGTAGACAAACGGCTACAAAAGTATTATGGCCATAATAATGTCAGAACCTTTGGCAGCAGAAGTGCCCCTCGGAAGTGCCCGAGCTGACTGGCTTGTTTACCACCCAGATTCCTGGTGACAGCTTCTCTTTAAATGGCAGGATGCAAACAGAGAGGCCTGGTGACTTCTGCAAGGCAATGCAGGGAGTAACCCATATGCTCGGACAACCATATGTCCCCGATTTCCAGAGACAGTCCCTGGGTGAGGTATTGTGTCCCTGACCAAATTTGTCCTGTCTTACTGAGCAAGAACATTAACAATTTTAAAACCAGATACACTCATCAGTGAAATGCAGTCATAAATCCAACAAACCTCTCCAGTAACTGTGGTGAGTTGAATTTTTTTAATAAATGTCTCCCTGAATTTGGTTTACAAAATATGGTCACTCTCTCAAACATGTGCACACATTATATCTATGATCCAGACCCGAGGGAGGCTCTCACTGTGATGACCTTTCCTCTCTGACCCTACAGTCCAAAGCTCCTCTCCCCTCAGGAGGGGGTGAGATTGCTTTCATGTAGTCTGTACCATTATTCACAATCAAAGGGTTTCCTGGTCTGAAAATGCTCCTACAGTCGTACATTGTAAGTCCATCCACAGACTCAGTAATGTGGAAGACATGTTGGAAACCTATTATAGTCAATAAGTTTGGTACTAAACCACACAGAGCTGTGGCCCAAGATGTGCAGGTGTGAGGTACTGCAGCCTGTCTCCCCCTCCCACTGAGTGGTTTCACCCCCAATCCCCTGCTCTCGGGTTACTTCCTGATGGGTTGTCCCATTAGCTTCAGAGGGAGGTTTGGTTTTTATGCACCAGTTGAGTCAGGAAGTCTGTGGGATCGGAGCCTTTATCAATGTCAGAAGTAAATATTCAGGGACTATAATTGAGACGTTGGTATAAATCTGCACAGTGCGCGGAGGCCGCGGAGGCGGAGAGAAGCGCCACCTCTCTGACACCGCCTCACGAGAGTGCAGTGGCCACCGGAGCAGTTTGCGGCAGTGACAGTTGTTGGTGGAGACGGGATTCCAGGAGCGCAGTGTGTGCGGAGCTGCCGCGGGGACTGCGGTTCCCTTACAGTGTGTGTGAGTGAGTGAGTGAGTGAGTAGGAGAGAGAGAGAGAGACTCCTGTTACCACCTCTGCCTTTAACCTGTGTGTGGGACTGTATTTGTATTGTGATTGTATCCGAGTCTGAAACTATGTGTCTGTGTGTGTTACTGTGTGTGAGACTGTAACTCTGTCTGGGAGTCCCACTCAAAAAGAGTGGTCTCATGTGCTCCTGTTGGCCGGTCCTGGCGGCTTTCCGGTTTGTCTGTGTTGTTCTCAGTGTCAGGGGGTCCGGAGGGGGTCCAAGTCAAGGTTCTAAACTTTAATATTGGATCACATTGTATTTACAGTTTTTTTTAAAAAGCACAGGGCCCTATTACTGTGTCTATGTCAGGGTGTGTATCAGCAGTACGGTCTGTCTCTGACTAAGCTCACTCTTCTGTTCCTTATCTGCCAGTTTAGACCGTGGGTTTGTCTGTCCTGTTTATTTCTCTCTGTGTACCTGATAGAGTGCATTTGTCTACAGAGTCCCATTGTCCTGGTGCTGTCTGCCTCTGGGCTCAGTGTAGGTTTTGTGCTGGTGAGGGGTTATCTGTGGGGGTCCTGCTGGCTGAGTCTGGGTTGCCCCAGCCCTGTCTCTGTGTGTCTGTTCCCCTGTGTCTCTGCCCCATGGACCAGTGTGTGTGTGTGGAGCGGGAGCTGGAGAAGGTGCTGCACAAGTTCCTGATGTATGGGCAGCACTGCGACCGCAGCTTAGAGGAATTGCTACACTATGTCAGTGGCCTCCGGCAGGAGCTGGCCAATGCAGGTGAGCGTGCTGACCTACACATAGACAACTGGGATATGGTCCACATTATGATGCAGTAATGCTAACAACACCAACTGGAATTTGTATCGGAGATGACGTCCTTCATTGGGCCGAGGTCCTGTCGCTGGTTCGTTGGGACGTTGGAGATCCCATAGCACAATTTGATTGAGTTTTTTTTTTGATTTGATTTGATTGGGTTCTCCCTGTGTCCTGGCCATCAATCCCCGAGGTGAAGTGGGTCACTCACTCACTCCGTGGCTGTTTGTGTGGCATTGCTGTGCTCAATTAGCTGCCGCATTTCACCCACAAAATACACAACCAATCTACGGTATATCCTGCAAAGTGCTTTTGAGATGTCTTGCCAACGTGATAAGGCGCTATATCAAATTCAAGGTTTATCTTTATTGTAATAGTATATTTCATAGGATAATGTCTTAAAGGGCTTCACAGAGAATTACAGAATGGGAAGGTTGAGGATGTTGGTCAAAGGCAGGCCAAAAAGAGAGTTTTTTATGTAGGGTTTTGAATTCAGCGAGAGAGGGCACAAGGTGAAGGGATTTGGGGAGAATGTTGTAGAGGGATCTAGATTTTGAAAATTAGGCAGTAATGTGTTCAGGACTAGCAGGGAAGTTTCCCAGGCATTCTGCAAAAAAAAGTGTGTAGTTCTCTTTATGATCAACATACTGGTTGTGGAGGGTTGTTATTCATTTTCTGGGTGTATTGTCTTAATGCTTGAAAGGTGAGGTAGTCATGGAAGATAAGTGAACTCTAAGACAGGTATCTAATGTGGGAAGGTCAAGTAACAGCAGATTTGCCGGTTGGATAAATATTGCCTCCAACACCAGGAACTTGTATTTCTCTTTTGAATACAAGCTTACAAATCTTGCAGTAAACTCAGAGAGAGCTTGTAACAATAGGGTAAAGGAAGCCGATGTCCTGTGGCTGAAGGTGATGGAGTTCAAATGTGATGTCACAAACCACTAGAAACTCTTCATTTCTCACTCACAGTGATGTGTCACTCACCCACTGATGGTTTGTCTGTCCGATGGCTGTGCTTCCTGTGTATATGCCCAAATGCCAATATTGTTTCACAGCACTAATTCATGCGATGCATGAGACCATCAGTAGGTTACACCCAGTACATTGTTCTGCAAACCAGTACCATTTCTTAAATACCACATGCAACAAGAAAGTCTGTAAATATTGTGTCATTTTATAGATTTGTCTTCTTTGTTCTTCATGGTGGTACTTTCCTCCTTCACTCTAAGTGGGGGTCTCCTCGGAGCTGAACTGGCTCCAAGGTGACATGCCTGCCAATGGAATGTCGGAATTGAGCCAGCCCTCTGTGGCTGTCTCGGTAGTCCGGTTCCTGAGCCAAACAAGTCAGCAGTATTCCAGGGCACTGCTGATGATAGCACAGCCAATCTGGTTCATGGCCGAAGGCATGATCAAAAAAGGTCTTCAGACAGGACTTGAAGGAGGCAAGAGGGTGCTGAAGTGGAGGGATTGCGGGATAGAGTTCCAGAATGTAGGAGCAGAGATGCTGAATGCCCAACCATCAGTAATGGGGCAGGAAGTGTGGGGACCTGAAGCAGGCCGGTGTCCACCGAGCGGAGAGAGCAGACAGGCTGATATGGGGTTATGAGGATGGCGAGGTAGTGGGGAGCAAAACCATGGAGGGCTTTGAAGGTTGAACAACCTTAACCTGTTTCAATTATCTATTTGTTCTGCCAGTATGGAAAGGAGTTGATGGGAGCAGCAGCAATTGTTTTTGTTGGGGGTCTGTTCCATACATTTACTACCTTATGGGGTCAGTCTATTTTAATCTCTAGTCCTGTATGTGAGGCCTTTTAGTCTTAAAACTATTTCTTCTGTTTCTACTCTGACGGTCCAAATCAAATAGTCAGCTCAAATAGTCGTGTCTACCCCTCACTACTTTAAAGTCTTTTCTTGAATCTTTGTTTTGAAGAGAACAAGCTCAGTTCCCCTGATTGTAAAGTTCTGTGTGCCAGCATCATAATGATTATCTTTGCATTTGATATAGCGCTTTATCATGTCTTTGAGACATCGCAAAGTGCTTCACAAAAGTTTGCTCAAAAGCATCCTAATTTGTCTTCCCTAAACCATCAATACTTCAATATCTATTTAATAATGCGAGTTATTGTTGTTTATCAGAAGCCTGCATCACTTGAGTGTCTTTTAAACTTATAATTGGAGTTTTAAAATTAGGGAGTCGAAACCAAAATGCAAATTTAATTTGGGGGTTTAAAATTTGTATATTGCAGGAAAAAGGGAAGGTGAAGATTTTCTATCAATTTTGAATCCTGTTTAAGAGTGAAATAGACCAGCGAATCTGGATTTTAATCTAGCTTACTGCAGCGTGGTGCAAGTAAGCTTGCATTACAGCAGATGGTGAGTTTGCTTGCTTTCGTTCACTCCGTGTTTTGTTTTTGAAGCTCACCACGATGCCCAGCTGTCAGCAACCCTCTCGGTGGTCATGTCACAGTGCTGCAAGAAGATAAAAGATACTGTTCAGAAGTTGGCATTGGATCACAAGGACATCCATGGCAGCGTGTCCAAAGTGGGGAAAGCCATCGACAGGGTTTGTCTCTACAGAACTTTAACTACGGCTGCTAAACTGGGGGTGAATACTTTGGTTCATCCCTTTTTTGAATGGGGTTCTGTTTTGTTGTGATTGGGCAGTGGGGGGTATCAGTAAAATGATTTCAGTAACATTGCCAGTGACAATACCCTGGTGCACCACCCCATGTATGGGCCAACTGTTTATCATCTTATTGTTATAGTAATTCTGCACCACTACTCTTTGCCTTTGTTTTTGGCAATATTAATAGCTACTTAATGGAACACTGTGACATTTTACAAGGTACAACTAAGGGTCGGGTGATGTGATGTGTTGGCACAGTGAGCTGGAGTTACTAAGGGGAGACACAGGGTTTGCACACTTTGCCAAGTCTCTGCTGTGCAGAGAATCACCGACCAGGAGCAGAGTGTCGGGCCAGGAGCCTTCATCACCTTCTTGTATCCTTGTGTGGTTTGGTTAAGAGCAGTGTTTGAGTTGGCATTGGATAGGGGGAGACCTTGGAGCTATCTCTCATAGGCGCCAATAAGCTTTTATTTACTGATGTGTTTGGAAAGTAAGCAAACCTCTTTCATCCTGCCCCTCCCCCGTGAAATTCAATGATGTGCTTCAAAGTTGGTGGTGTTCCTCTGCCAGTAGCTATACATAGTGTAGGTGGTGCCATATGCTGCTTGAGTGCAGTTATAAGAGTGCATCTGTATCCTCTGGGCCCATCTATACAGTAAAACTTGCATAAGTCTGATTTGTATAAATCATATAATTGCCCAGTTGTACATCTGCCCAAGTCCTGTTGAATGTCCTATTAATAATACGTTTCATGTAACTCATAAGTCATATTAAATGTACGGCCCCAACTGGTACAACTTATTATGCAGTTATCTGAAAGTTTAGTGCATTGACCCTGGCTCTAGTTTTGTGAATTCCAGCCAACAATTCTCCAGGTAAATTGGTCATTCACCTTACAGCTGTTTGTGGCATCTTGCCAGTGCGCAATTTAGAGTTTCTCCCTGTCCTGTGTCCTGTGCAACAATCCCCCAGTTGAAAAACTGGTCATTCACTTCATGGCTGTGTGAGGGATATTGCTTTGTGAAAATTTGTTTCTGAATTACCCAACAAATTAGCCAACAAAGTCCCTTACACTTTGAAGCGCTTTGAGAAATTCTCTTGATTTGAAAGGCATTTTATCTTTCTATCTCCATCCCCCTTAACTCGTACCGTCAGTCTGGCTGCCCATCTAGCTTTCTCAGGCGCTTTGAGACATCTTCCTAACGTGAAAGGCACTATAAATGTGAATTGTATTGTAATAAAAAATATAATAATAAACTTGCAGTTGATATAGCACTTTTCACATCTTCTAAACATCTCAAAGCACTTCACAGAATATACTGTAAAGTGAATTGACTGTATATTTGTCTGCGAAAGGCGTCAGCCAATTGAGCACAGCAGTGTCCCACAAATAGTCATGGATTGAGTGACCAAATTATTATTGGTTTTTTTCTTGAGGCATTATTATCAGGCATGTGGAGTAAGGAAACTTGTCCAAGGTTTCGTCCTGCCAGGAATCGTACCCAAATCTCTTGCTTGCGAGGCAAATGCTCTAACCACTGAGCTACAGGACGCCACAGGATTGTAAGGATTATTATTAAAGATTATTAAAATGACTGCCACATTTGCTTCCAAAAACAGTCCCTCCACTTGACAGTAATTACGGTGAATGGCTTTAAGATATTCCAATGTAAGGTGCTATGAAAATGTCTGTTTGTTCTTAATTTGTACAAAGCAGCCTGGCAACGTTAAAGTGGCTGGGTGTGTACCTCTGGTAATGTCCCAGAGAAAGATTACCTGTCTCTGTGAGTCTCACTGGGTACGACTGTTGTTGTGTGTCACGCTTGCGCAGAATTTCGACGCTGATGTTAGTGGAGTCGGGGTGGAGGGAGTCTGGGATTCCCTCGAGAAACAGCAGTTCCTAAGTGAAGCTGTGGTGGAGCACTTGTATCGACAGGGATTGCTGAATGTGGCTGAGGAGCTGTGTCAGGTAGGTCCAAAATTATACATCATCGCCTTTTGTGGGTGAAATCACTGTGCCAACCACAAGGGTAGTTGAGTACAACAACTATTTGCATTTATATAGCACCCTTTACGCAGGGTAGCGAATCAAGAGTGCTTAACGGTGGCAGAGCTTGACGCCGAGCCGGGGGAGGAAGGAGCTGACCGCAAGGATGATAGCAATGATTAGGATTATTATTATTTATTGTTGTTATTATAAAGAATATTGTCTTAACATTGAAGAATCTGTTGAATTTGGAAGAGTCTTCAATTCGGAAGCCAATTTTGCCAGTATCGAAATTAGCATCCAAATTAAGAAGGAATTTAAAACTGTTTCTATAGCCTTTATATCAATATAATGGTTTAAAATTGTAAGAGGGGGAAGTTAAATGCCTTCAGGAGAGGGGGAGGAGAGGAAATTGCTGGGGGGAGGGATTAACGTTTAATTTTGTCTACAATATACATGTTCAATTCACTTTACAGCATATTCTGTGAACTGTTTTGAGATGTCTCAACGATGTGAAAAGGCACTATATAAAAATGCAAGATTATTATTAATGTGTTGTGATAAACTGCCTTTGCCTTGTTTTGCCAGGAATCTGGAGTGTGCATTGACCTGAGTCAGAAAGAGCCATTTCTGGAGTTGAACAGGATTTTGGAGGCACTTCGAATGCGAGATTTGAGGCCAGCGCTGGAGTAGGTCACTTCTTCTCTGGATTCTTCGCTTCTCTCTTCGTTTGCCTCACAAGAGAACGCTTCATCTACACATCCGAGAGATTGGGACTGTCTGTGGCATAGATTAATCCACAGGGCAGCCAATGCTTTTCTGATCATTCTGTGGGCACATTAGCGTTAATCAATGCAATGCAATTTAATAGCAAGCTATTTTTCTATTTTTCCCTGCTCCCAATACTGTCATGTTATAATCAAGTAATGCCAAGATCACTCTTCAGCTGATCAGCATTTTTTAATGGTTTTTTTTTGCTTAAAGTGAGAATGTCATTTTATTGGGGCCTGTTGTTAATATCCAGCGAGCCCAGGTCAGGCGCAGGGCCAAACAAGAGCCTAACCTGAGCTGACACAGATAAATCATTAATTTCCAGGCTGGTTTCATACCTCCATTTGTCCTTCCATCTCTACTCCATTCAATCATATGTAGTCAGAAAACCACAGTGTCTGTACTGGGCCACAGAGCAGTGAAGGAACAAGCCTTAGCTCAGTGGAATGAGAGCTCCCCCACAGAGTGTGAAACTTGTAGACTTTGTTTAGAACTTCACTTGCAAGTTGATGACCATTGTACCTACAATATCTGAATTTCTATAGCTTTTATCTTTTCTGTGGTTTTGTCAATAGAGCTGGGGTTGGCAGTATGAGAAGAATTCCTCTTCCTCTTAAAATCAGAAGTGGAGCCCCTCTCATGCTCGCTTTCTTGCCCGGTCCCATGCTGCTATTACAGCAGATCAAGAATCTGTCAGTGTAGTGCTTGGCAGACAGTGAGGGTGGGGGTGTGAAGTGGGTTACTTTGGACAATAAGAATGGGATTGCTGTGATTTTGCAGTGATTCTTTTTTCATCTGACGCATGCAAAAACTCATCCCCATATTAAAGTCTCCAAACCAAGCTGAACATTCCACATATATTTGGTTTCCTTTTAACCAGTTTAGACTACACACTTTCTTCCTGAAGGGATGCACCCTGCTCGCCTGATCCTGACCAGTTAGGAGCAGGTTGGTAAGAGCCAAGGCTTGGGGAGGCCAGAGTGTACATTGGGATACTGCTGGAGTTTAAGCAGATCAAACTGCAAACACTTGCAAGTTATCAGGCTGTTTGTCCAGCCAGGAGCCTCTCTATCTGTTAGAACACTGGCTCGGGGGTTAGCCGGAGCTGAGTGGGAAGAGAACTGATTCAGTTCTGATACTGCATTGCCAAGTGTGTCACCATGGAGCCAGCTCAGCCCCAAAGGCTTAAATGAGGAGCTGAATGGTCTTCTTTCATTTGGCCTCTGACTTGCTCTATGTCCACCGCCCTGCCCGCCCCACCATCGGTGGTTGGGCCTTCAGCCTTTCTGCCCCCACCTTTTGGAACTCCATCCCACATATTCCATTTGCCTCACCCTTCTCTTCGACCGTGCCTTTGGTCACCTTCCTATCCCTGCCTTCCAACCTCCTGATCCCAACCCAAAGCTTGGGTGCAAATCCTTTACTGTCCAGCGCTTAGGGATATCCTCCCGAAGTGAAAGGCACTATATAAATGTAATTTTTTGTTTTAATTTGGGTCCTATTGCTGCTCTGGGAGCCAGTGGTCCCAACCTCTCTGCAATCCTGAGCTCAACAAGTTGGTTTCTGGGCAGGTGCTGGGGGCAGCATTGCTGATATTAATGGTCTGGTTGCTTTTGTGCAGGTGGGCTATGGCGAACCGAGAAAGGTTGCTGGCGTTGAAGAGCACGCTGGAATTCAAGCTGCACAGGTTGTACTTCATCAGTTTGCTCACTGGCGGGATGATGAACCAGATCGAAGCCCTGGAATATGCTAAGAACTTCCAGCCCTTTGCACACCAACATCAGCGAGGTCAGCTTTCACATGGGGCATCTTTACTCAATGTTTTACTGTGAATGAATCAAATCCCGCTGATCTAGTGGGTAAAGGCAGTGTGCGAGAGCAGCACTGAGTCATGTAGATGACAAGATATGCAGGTTCATTTCCCAATCTGTGCTGAGTTACTTAATCTCATCTTGGACAGCAGTTGAGACGCTACAGTTGGCCTTGGCCTCTCTGATTTAGGTTGGTTTCGAGTGAAGATAGAATTCGGTTTGACTGATATTTCACTGTTCAAACTGGCCAACACTTCTCAAGTATCACTGGTGTTGGCTACTTAGAAAAGGGCAGCCTATGCCCATGATCCACCTCAGTTGAAAAAAAGAAAGGAGTTTAGCACAACAAAAAATGTAATTTGTATATTCATATCAGAATGACTTTCCAAGGCACTGGACAGTGCACCTGAGCAGGGGGTTGGAGTCAAGGTGGGAGGACAACTGAAGGCAGGCTCAAAGAGGAAGATCTTGAGATGGGCCTAGGAGGGGGCGAGGTGAAGGGACTCCAGGTTAGAGGTCCAGAGGGTGGGGGCAGAAAGAATGAATACAAAACAAAATTACATTTGCATGGCGCCTTTCACAGTCGGGAAGATGTCCCAAGGCGCTGGACAGTCAAGAATTTGGACCCAAGCCTGTTGGGGTGTAGGTAAAGGGAGGGTGGAGGGCAGAGATGGTAGAAGGGTGGCCAAAGGCACGGTCAAAGAGGAGGGAAGGGAATGAGGCGAAGGGAATGTGGGATGGAATTCCAAAGGGTAAGGACCGAGAGGCTGAAGGCCCGCTGATGGTGGGATGGGCCAGGTGGGAAATGTGGAGCAAGCTGGAGCCTGTGGAGAGAAGGGAGTGGACCGGTTGATAAGGAGTTAGCAGAGGTAGGAAGGGGCAACTCCATGGAGGGCCTTTAAGGCAAGGATGAGAATTTTATTACTCTATCCTCTGAGGGATGGGGAGACAGTGGAGCCAGGTGGGGTTGATGGGGTCACGGAAGAGGACACAAACTGCAGAGTTCTGGATGATCTGTAGGTTGTGGAGGGAAGAGTTGGGAAGGCTGACAAGCAGCGAGTTGGTGTAGTCGAGCGTAGATGTGATGAATGCGTGAATTAGGATTTCAATGGCCTGAGGGGTGAGGCAGTGGCTGAGCCGGGCAATGTTGCGGAGGTGGGGGAAGAAGGCAGAGCGGGGTGTGGGTGAGAAAGGACAGTTGAAGGTCACCCAAGACACCTAGGTTCCTGACTGAGTGAGGTGGACTGTGCATCAGTGGATGGAGATGCCTAAGGTGTGGAGGCGCTGACTGGAGCCAATCAGGAGAGCCTTGGTCTTGTTGACATTCAACTGTAGAAAGTTGGCTCTCATCCAGGATTTGATGTCTGTCAGAACAGCAGTGCTCCTGGAGTCTAGGATGGAGGCAGAGAAATAGAGTTGCGTGTCATCTGGATACATATGGAAGTTGACCCTATGTCTGCAGATGATGTCACCAAGAGGGAACATGTACAGGTTGAAGAGGAGAGGACCAAGGACAGAACCCTGAGGTTCCTGAGGAACACTGCACATGAAAGGTGCTAGCGGGCTCCGGCCTGTTTCACGTCCCCCACCTTGCCCGCCCCACCTTCGGCAGGCTGGCCTTCAGCCAAGGACAGAGCCCTGAGGAACACCACACATGTGGAACACCACACTGCCCCCACCCTCTGGAACTCCATCACACAGTACCTCCGCCTTGCTTCCTTCAAGACCCGGCTCAAGTCCTTCCTCTTCGACCGTGCCTTCGGTCACCCTCCTACCTCTCCCTTCCCCAACCTCTACCCCTCCTGATCCCAATCACCAGCTCGGGTGCAGATCCCTTACTGTCCAGCCCATTGAGACATCCTCGAGACGTGAAAGCCACTATACAAATATAATTTATTGTTATATCAAATATAAGGAATATTATGGACTGCATGCTCGCCCCTGAAACTTGCCTTTTACAGTTCACTGAACGTTCTTGCGTAGGTAACAAGTGCATTATTATTTCTAGACATCCAGGTACTTATGGGAAGCCTGGTCTATCTGCGGCATGGCATTGCAAACTCCCCATACCTCCATCTGCTGGGCTCCAATCAGTGGGCAGACATCTGCGACATCTTCACCAGGGATGCCTGTGCTCTCCTCGGCCTCTCAGTTGAATCGCCTCTCAGTGTGAGGTAAGCTCCACATGAATGAATGCCTACCTTATTCTTATAAAGTCCTGGTTGGGTAATCTCTTTTCCCCTACGCAATTTCAATCCTCACTGTTCTCCTTGGAGCCTCTTGACTTGAGCTGGGATTAGGTTCCCATTGCACAGATCTCAAGTGGGTCAGTCTTCGTGTGTGAATCCAGACAGAGAGTGTCACCCTCTGCCTCTCCCTGGCCTCTCTCTATCTGTCTTTAAGTCCTGCCTTAAAAACTACCTTTTCAACCTGCCTGTGATCACCTCCCCCTATCTCCCCTTCCTCCTGCTACATATCCATTCCCAGCAGTATAAACTGCTCCAAGTCATTATTCTGCGTGAAGTGAGCTATATAAATGCAAGTTGTTGTTGACTGTTGACTGCTGTTATTGGACTGTGCCAGAGTCGGTTGGGAATGGTGGGTGAGCCAAGTGATGTGTTGCCTGACCTCCAGACACATGCACTTTCCAATAGGCACCACCAGATGGCAGTTAGGAGCGGATCTCCCTGGCTGATTGATTTTCCTTCACTATCTTACAACAGCAACAAATGACATGTGCTTAACGCCTCAGGAGGTCGTCCCAAGGGGCTGAACAATCAGGGATTTGGACCCGAGCAGTGGGTTGGGATCAGGAGGAGTGAAGAGTAGGGGTAGGAGGGTGGCTGAAGGTACAACAACTTACACTTATCTCGCACCCTTCACGCAAGGTAGGGTCTCAGAGCGCTTAATAGTGGCGGAGCCTGACTCTGATCCAGAGGGATTAGGTGTCCATGAGCACGGTCAAAGAGGAAGGTCGGTCGGTCGAAGAAGAGAGTCTTGAGGCAAGGGAAGAAGCATGGCAAAGGAATGTGGGATAGAGTTCCAAAGGGTGGGGCAGAAAGGCTGAAAGCCTGACCGCCCATGGTGGGGCTGGCTGGGTGGCGGATAATAATAATAATAATAATAATAATCCTTGCATTTGATATACCACTTTTCACGTCTTCTAGATGTCTCAAAGCGCTTCACAGAATATGCTGTAAAGTGAATTGACTGTATATTTGTGGGCGAAACGCAGTAGCCAATTGCGCACAGCAGTGTCCCACAAACAGTCATGGATTGAAAATTACCAATTTATTATTGTTTTGTTTCTTGGAGGGATTATTATTAGGCGTGTGGAGTAAGGAAACTTGCCCAAGGTTTCGCCCTGCCTGGAATTGAACCCAGGTGTCTTACTTGAAAGGCAAGTGCTCTAACCACTGAGCTACAGGATTCCACAATAATAATAATTGCATTTGATATAACGCCTTCTCACGTCTTCGAGTCTTCTGAAAGAGCCACAAGGAAAGTACTTCACATCCTTTTAACACCCGAAAAAGCTTCTGGATTTATGCCTTTATGTCAATTAAACACTAGATTATATACCAAATTACAATACAATAAAACTGTAGATGTGGATGGAGTGGACAGGTTGATGTTCTAGGGGCAGATAAACTGATTGCATCTACTTGTCTGGCGCTGCTAGTGAGCTCCTTTCTGTATTTTCTTTAAAAGAGAAAGTGTCTCTGTCAGGACCTCCAAATTGCGCAGATTTATAAATAATTTGAATACTCTTGTTCCCTTTTTTTATTGTAATTTAAACCCCAAGCGCCATTCCATTGGAAGATTTACTGTTTCTGATACAGCAGAAACATCATCAGTTGATAACATTATTAAGCCCCTTCCTTCAGCATCAGTGTGCTTCAACTGACTTTCCTGAAATCACTGAGCTCAGTCATTCCCCAGACTAGTTTTTCCATCTCATTGTACTTAAACAAACTCAAAGAGGTATCAAGTTTGATGCTGAGGTGTAGAATTCAGTGCTCAAAACCTGGTCTCATGAAACCTAAATTAACACACACCTTTGTATCACTGCCAAGATCTTTCTTTGATTTTCATTGAAGCTATTTGAACCTTCCCTTGGACTATCAGCGCATCTAGTGTGGGGCATTGGCTGAAGAGATCTGATTGTTTAAACATAAATGTGAATTAGATTTTAAAGCTGCCAAGTTGTTCAGTGAATGCTTTCGCTGTGCAGAGAGAGAGGAAAAAGTGGACCTTTTTGTAGATTTGATGCTGAACCCAGGCTGACTTGGCAGTGATAGGAGTCCTGTAGCTCAGTGGTTAGAGCACTCATTTTGCAAGTGAGACACCTGGGTTCAATTCCAGGCAGGCCAATATCAAATGCAAGGATTACTTTTTACTTTTGACTAGATGAGCAGGTTCAGTCAAGTTTCACAAGGTCATCTTAGTCGATCGGTTAGCCTACATTCCAAAGCCATTTACTACTGGTGAATGGGCGCCCCTTATTTCGCGCTCGGATTCTCCTCAGAAAGGGCGAATTCCTGCACTCGACATCAAGGCAGACTGGCCCTTTGTGATGTTGCTTCAACTATTTTGAGCTGGCTCTGATTGCTTAGAACAGGGTGGCCATTGGGCAACATCCGGCTCACGAGCCGTTTCCATCCCCCCCACCCTCCATTTTAGCTGACTCACCCGCTCCCTCCATGACAACAACAACAACAACAACAAGATTCCATTTATAAAGCGCCTTTCACGTCAGGAGGACGTCCCAAGGCGCTGCACAGTTGGGTCATGACCCGAGCAGGGGGGAAATGGTGAGGGGAGGGGAGGGAGCGAGGAGGGGGGAAATGGTCAGGGTGAGGGGAGGGATGGGAGGGAGCGAGAAGGGGGAAGAGAGTCGAGAGGGGAGCTGAAGGCTCGGTCAAAGAGAAACCCGTCTATGTTATGTTTCTGGAAGGGAAACACAAAAATATTGCGGATGCAGCCCATGGGCCTTTCTCAAATAAGGCCAGCCCTCAGCAGCCAAAAGGTTGGTTTAGAACATCAAGGGTAGAAAATTGCAGTCAGAATGCAAAGGAGGAAGTGAAAATAGTTTGTGAAATGAGTAAATACGAGATAAAATTCTCACGATTTGGTGTTAAAAATTTACCACTATATAGAGTACTAATCTTTGCTCGCACCAGCAGGTCACTAACTAAAGAGAGATATTTTGATTTAAGACTTCTATTTACTTGCACAACTTCGTACTTGTAGCTTTAAATTGCCTAAACACTCGTACGAGATATTCTGTGTTGTGCTCGTAGTTTTCAGCTATTGAACCTCTGCAACTCCCTCCCCCCTCCGTCTCGCCCCTTCTCTATCTGCCTTTAAATTCCGCCTTAAAGCTATCTCTTTGAATGTGACTTCCCATAACTTCCTTATTTCCCATAGTCACCTCCCTATTTGCCCATTGTTGCTTCTTAAATCTCTCCAAGACATGGACCAGCTGATGGTACATTGGCACATCCTTTCTCCTCATTAACTGCACCAGACAGAGCAAGGACATTAGATGAAGAAAACACAGATTTGTTTAATTTCTGTCAAGGTTACAAAAGTTACACAAGTAACATCAGCAAAATTTCACTTAAACGTTACAGCAGTACAAATGTTAAGTAACTTCCATTATAAGCAAAATGCATAATAAAGCAGCATAATAGGCACTTAAGAGTCTAATGTTCATATGGTCACAAATGTATGTTTCATACTACCAAAGCTTAGCAATAGCATGAATAGATTTTCCCATGATGCATCATATTTATATGAAGAGCAACACATTTGATGCTTTGGGTTAAAAATAAATAATCCTTGTATTTGGTATAATAATAATCTGGTATTTTTAATAATAACAATAATCCTTGTATTTGATATAGCACCTTATCACGTCTTCGAGACGTCTCAAAACTGTAGTGACTGTTCTCCAGCCTTGTGTGGCATTGACAGGCATGTCTCTTCGGAGCCAGGTCAGTCCCCAGAAGCACTCTGCTTCTCGTTTTCTTGACCTCAAAGAGTGATTACATGCATTCATAACATCGAGGCTCAACTACACAAACTCCCTGCTTGTCACCTCCCCCACAAATCCCTCCATAGGTTTCAGATCATCTAGAACTCTGCAGTCCACATCAGGTTCTGCGACCCTATCACCCCCATCCTCACCCGACTCCACTAGCTTCCCATCACACAGAGGATACAGTTCAAGATCCTGGTCCTCACTTTCAAAGCCCTCCATGGCCTTGCTCCCGCCCTCCTGCCCTCTACCAATCTGCCCGCTCCCTCAGTTTAGCGGGTTCCAGCCTGCTTTACACCCCCCGCCTCGCCCGCTCCACCACTCTGCCCCAACCCTCTGGAACTCCGTCCCACAGTTCTTCCACCTCACCCCCTCCCTTGCCTGCTTCAAGACCTGTCTTAAGACCCTCCTCTTCGACTGTTCCTTCGGTCACCCTCTGTCCCCCCCTGCCCTCTACCCTCCCCAATCCCAACCCTCAGCTCGGGTCCGAAACACTGTTTGTCGAGCGCCTTGGGATGTCCTCCTGACATGAAAACCACTATAGAAATGTAATTTTGTTGTTGTTGAATAGCTGAACGAAGAGGATTTTAACCCAAAACATTCAGGTGCAAGTTGAACTAAGCAGGGAAATTGCTTTCATTAGAAAAAAAAGTAACTAATAATTCTCAATCATCAGCAATTTATAAATCAAATTTACAATTAAGATTGAGTTATACCCCGATAATCAGGGTTGGTGCTTTCTAAAAGTCGAGATCTATCCTTCTTCTTGTATCAAGACCTCAGCAGCAGGTTGGATGTTCTGTGTCCAATTGTAATTGTTTTTCCTGTTTCCACAGCTTCTCTGCTGGGTGCCTGGCGTTGCCAGTGCTCCTGAACATTAAAGCTGTGATTGAGCAGAGACAGTGCACGGGAATCTGGAGCCAGAAGGATGAGCTTCCAGTGAGTGGTGGGCATGGCCTCGCGGTGTACGTTAGGTTGCCGATATGAAAAGAGTTTCTCTTGGTGTCTGGCCAACAAACCCCAATTATAAAATTAGTCGTTCACTTCATGGCTGTTTTATGCAACATTGCTGTGTCGTAAATCGTTCAAAGCGCTTTGAGAGGTGGGCTTTGTTGATCAAAGAAGTGCTGTTATCATGAAAACCTTCAAATTTTCATTAACTGAAACCAAAGACACAACCTTCTGAGTATGAATAATAATAATAATAATAATAATCCTTGCATTTGATATAGCGCTTTTCACGTCGGGAGGACGTCCCAAAGCGCTTCACAGAACACACTGTAAAGTGAATTGACTGTATATTTGTGGGCGAACGCGGCAGCCAATTGCGCACAGCAATGTCCCACAGTCGTAGATTGAAAATGACCAATTTATTATTAATTTTGGTTTTGGAGGGATTATTATTAGGCTCTGTGTGGACGAAGGAAACTTGCCCAAGGTTTCGCCCTGACCTGCCGGGGATTGAACTCAGGTCTCTCACTTGCAAAGCGAGTGCTCTAACCACTGAGCTACAGGACTCGTAATCGGGTTCCTACTCACTGCTAGGTAAACAGAGGCATGTGGAGTAAGGAAACTTGCCTGAGATTTCGCCCTGCCCAGGAATGGAATAAGTGCACTAACCACTATGCTACAGGATTCCATGGTTCAAGTAAGAATGGTTCAAGAGATCACATAGTCTGAGCATGTGTGCAGCCCCAACCATTCCTGGGTTTGGTCAAACCTGCAGTCAGAATGAAGGTGACAATAGATGTTATCTACTAACACATTGTGCTTTGTGCTTACAATTTACAAAAAAATCTTTTTGCCCCTCTTTCAGATTGAGATTGAGCTGGGCAAGAAATGCTGGTACCACTCAGTCTTTGCTTGCCCCATCCTCCGACAGCAAGCGACGGACTCCAACCCCCCCATGAAGCTGATCTGCGGTCATGTGATCTCCCGCGATGCATTAAACAAACTCATCAATGGCGGAAAGTGAGTAGCATCCGGGCAGAATTTGGACTTTCAAATTTAAGTTTGTGCATATTTCATAAAAACATAAGAATTTCTAGATGAAAGAAGACCAAGGTCCATCCAATTCACCTTCCACCCTCCTGGCAGTCGCATGCACATTTTGTCTCCTAAACTATATACTGTATCCCGAGATATTATTTCCGAAAAGAAATCTGTGTAATTTGCTTTTGGAAGAATCAACATTTTCTGCTTCCACCATCTCCCTAAGGAACCTGACTTTTTTTTTGTAAATTCTTAATCTGAAAACTGGTCCTTTGTAGATCTGTGTAAAACCGGATTCCAAATTTAAGCATTTTTCCCAAATCCTGAGCAATCATACATTTAAAACAATAGACTTAAAACTAAGGAATGCGGCAGCCAGTTAACACACAGCAATGTCCCACAAACAGCCGTGAAGTCAGTGACCAATTTTTTTGGGGGATCTGCAGAGCTTGTGGCTGCCTCTCAGCTTGATGGGAATTCTCCCAGAGAGCCAGTTGGTACCTGATTCATTTCATTGTTGTGCTATGAAGACCATAAATTCTCCACCATTTAATTCAGGAGTGAATCAGTGTTGAGGGTATCAGTTTAATTTTCTACATTTGGACCACGCAGACACATGTAAGTCTTGTGCCTTTTCCACTTCCTCGCCTCAAAAATTAACCATCTACACCTGAGATCCTATCTGATATCCTTGACCCCTTTACCAGAGATTCAGCAGTTATCAGGCAGTTTTGATTCTCCTGCAGAACCACTCGATAGTAGTGGATTATCAAGGTGCTAGATTGTCTGCTTTTCCTCTCAGCCACAAATAGTCCCGTACCATATTGGTTAGAGCACCCACCTCGCAAGCGAGACGACCTGGGTTTGATTTCTGGGCAGGGTGAAAGCTTAGTCAAGTTTCCTTACTCCACACACCTCTAGCAGTAGCTAGGAAACTGGTTATTTGTCGATTGGCAGATTGCTTTTTTGGGGAAATAATCCCTTCAACTAATAAATAGATAGGTAAATAGATAATAATTTTGGTTACTCAATCCACGACTATTTGTGGGACACTGCTCTGCACAATTGGCTGAATGGTAGTCAATTCTCTTCACTGCATATACTGTGAAATGCTTTGAGACATTTCATCAACATGATAAGGCGCTATATCAAATGCAAGGATTATTATTAGTATTTTTATTTCAAAATGTAATTTCTGTCAAGTTTAGTGATTGATTTTGCAGGCAAATTGAGCAATAATAATAATCCTTGCATTTGGTATAGCGCCTTTCATTCCAAAGCACTTCACAGGATTTGCTGTTTATTTTTATTATTATTAATATATAGTATCTGGTTCAGCAGCACGTATGGGGGGGGGGTGGGGGAGAATGTAACAGAATAGAAATGTCTGGCGAGTCTGCATTGTGATTCTGCCACTAATTTCAAATTTGTGTATTTTCCTTTGTGTAGATTAAAGTGTCCCTATTGTCCTATGGAACAAGCCCCTGCAGATGCAAAGCAAATCTACTTCTGACGACCATCTTCCGACCAACTGGACATTGTGCGTCGTGTGTGGGAGACGGGAAGTTTCCAGGATGTATCTGCATTAGTACTGTATATGGTTTTATCGTGATCAGCCTAGGCAAGTAGATGGTGTAATGGCCTGCATTGGGCTAATGTGGGCTATTGCAGTTATTTTGGATGGTCCCCAGATATTGTAGGATCTCCATTGGGTTTGAATTAGGATAGAACCTGAATTGCCACTAACTGACTTACTTTTTTGCCCCATTTGCAGAAGCTTAGTTTCTGCCAGGCAGCTTAGATTCAGTTCCAATTTGCTGCCATTTAGTGTCGATCACAAATGATGAACCCTGCATTGCAAAGTGGTTGCAAAGCATGCTAGAGATCTCTAGTGCTTGTATCACGTTTATTGCACACGTGACATTATTCACTGTATTGAACAAAAAAACTAGGACGTGCTTTTAGTTTAACTCTGTCACTGACTAATTGGGGGATAGTTAACGAACCTGTCCTGCCTTTCAACATTAGCATCCGAGTTAGTGAGATTCTCAACCCCAGCTCCCTTCCGTTTCCCTGAGATTACTGTTGTTTACCTGCGGTTGGGCTATTGAGGTATATTGCTGGGTAAAGTAGCAGAAGCTCTGACCCATTTTACACACACACAGAAGTATGATGTCTGCTTTCACTGAATGCAAAACAATTGAAGAGAAAGTGTGAACATAGAGAGAGAGCCTTCAATTGCTTAGCAATTTCACAATCAATCAGTTTTTAACCCAATATCTACAATCAGAGTAGGAGAACTATAGTGAAACTAATGTCTCTTTCTGGTAACCAAGGTTTTAAGGCAGTGGTGGATTTCCTGCTGCTCTACTTACACATAATCTTGCTTGGGTGGATTGCAGCGTTTGTGCAGATCACTGGGTTACAATAGGAAAAGACCGTGCCTGCTTTCTTTTCACTAACTGAGACCCTTTAATAACTCACATTATATAATCACCAGGTCTACAATCAAGGCCCCTGGGCGGTTTATGAAGCTGCAACAAATGCTAATTTAAAGAAACAACCGGTGCAGCTAAAACCTGATGCAATGTGTAAATAACTTAATAAGAAATGTTCTTCTCTTGAACTTCCCCAATGACTCAGTTGGTAAATGGTTAGAGATGTGTAAGGTCTAAAATTTAATCTGTGATTCCGAGCTGGCTGATCTCGGGAGGATCAACACTACAGCTGACCTGCTCTTTGTCTAGCGAGGAGCCTGAATTTCTACACAGTTTCCACTCCTGATCATTATTCAATAAACTCAATGGAAAGGTGTGCAAGTGTGGACATCTATAGATGCAGGCTCTACTGCAAAGTGCTTTACTCGTGCATGAGGATTGACCACTTGGGCAGTTTACCAGAGGACCTCGGTTGGCTTTGGCACATAAGTCGTTATCTTTAGAATGGAGAAAGGGGAAGGCATGGGGAGGAATGTTTTTTTAGTGCCTCTTTTCAGGCTCCACAGTCTAAAACTGTGAACTTGCTGTTGGTCATATCCCATTGATTCACTTGTTAAACTTCATACAAATCGGGCAACAAAACAATATATTTAATGTATTGATGTGTTTAGGTAAGAATAGGATTGGGGAGGGTTGGGGGAGAGGTCCATTTTACTGCCCAGATCTTTGCAGATGAGATCTGCCAGTATAATATTTCACCTCAATATCTCCATATCTTGGGTTGATTTCAGCCAGTTTGATGGGATGAAGGTGTCCTTAAAATGAATGGTCTAAAGTGGCAAAATCTGCTGTGCATCCTGTAATCTAAATCCACCCCATTGCTGTGCACCCCTACTGATCAAGTTTGTTGGCCATTGTATCACAATATTGGTTTGAGGATGAGATTCTTTCATCAGCTGAGAAATTCCTGTTATAAGTGCAGATTGTCATAGTCTCTATCTTAGCACTATGAGATCCTTTCCCTTGAGTTACTTTCTCTCCGTTTCCTAGTCTCCCCATATATACGTATTCCACAGTCCCTTGGATGATGCACACAATTGGCCTGGAAAGGGTTCTTCTAATAATTTCATCCTTTCACTGATGGAAAGCACACAGTCTCCACAGGCTTTCCCAACCGAAGAAATGCACGAGAACTGTAAGCGGGATAGGTGACAGACATTGGAATGGGGAGGATGGAGCCACAGTGAAGCTGCTCTGCTTTACAGAATATAAATTGAACTCAGGGTAGTTGGACATCACTGCCAAAATTACTAACTTCAGAATGTGTGAAGTTTAGCGCTGAGTTGAGATCGTAAAGCCTTTTGTGATGGATACAAGACATGCAAGCTAGATCTTACTGCAGGGGGTTTATAGTCGATATTCCTTGCCTTAAAATTTCAGAGTGTGAGGAATTTTGGAAAAGTCTTATATTTGGTCTTAATTTGGGAGTCAGTACCCCACAGTTCATTTTAGGAACCAACTTCCAAACGAAAACCAAATTTAAGACATTTTCAAAAAAAATTCTGTGTGAACTGAAATTTTACGACAATAGTCTTAAGATCTTATGAAATATTGGGGCACAGATTTGTGAAGAAAGGTGATGATTAGGGCCATTGTAATATGTGATCCTAGCACAGTTTTTTTTCTTAATAATTTCAATGCAAGGCACGGAGAATGGATTTTATAACTATCCTCATTTTGTAAGAAGAGGTCAGATAGCTTATGTTTTTCCTGCATTATTAGTGCCAACCCAAATTGTACATTGATGTGGTTTCTCTTCTTGCTACTCATGTACATTTTTACCAAACCTCGAGGAGGGAGAGTAAAGGACATGGAAGATGTTGAGAGAGAGTTGAAATGCTCATTGATAATTATAGACTGTTATGTGACTTTTTAAATTATAATATGAATATTACAACTCACTATTACTGATGCTGTTATTTTAGAGAGGTAATGTTTACTGAATCTGTTAAGCTTTTGTAATTCAACTTTTTGTTTTTCTGTATTTTGTTTGCAATAATAATTAAAAAAAATGCAAGGAATGCTGAACTGGAGAGTTTCCCCATTAACCTCCACATAATACAGCAGTGTTTGAACTCACAAGGGAGACAGACTTGGGCTGTGAGAAAGCATTTGATAAGATTCCTCATACAAAACCAAAGACCCCACATTTCTCCCAGTCTTTGTCTTAAGACCATTGTCTTACAATTTAAGATGATGCAGAATTGGAAAATGATTAAATTGCCTAATTTTGCGGCCATTATTCTGTATCTGCTAGACCTACCCGAGAACGAATGGCAATCAACATGACAGTTTTCAGGCCTCTCCACCATCATTTGCTGGTGCTGTTTGTACCTAGTGAGACTATCCCCTAATGGAACAGGAGCTTGAACAAAAGCAATGAGTTCAATAGAGAGAAGCCTCACAGCAAAACTTCAAGATGTAGAGGATCTTAAATGTCATTACATTTTATGTAACAATTGAGTAAAGAAGGGACTGAACACATCATCGTATCTTTGTGTGGCACAGAAAATCTCCATTTCATCTAACCTACAGTGGCTAAATCTCACAGTGGAGAATAAGTGAACCAATTATCCACAAGTTGTGAGCTGTTTGAAGCAACTCTTTCTTCACTGGCACAAGCTGGGATGGAAAGAGGAAAGAGCAATTTGTGCTAAATTTCTTTTAGTGATTTACTTACTGGCTGGGTTAAATTTCTATGGTGACAACCAAACCGCATTTTGCCCACAAAATACAGTCAATTCACATTACAGTACATTCTGTGAAGCGCTTTGAGATATCTTGAAGAAGTGATAAGACGCTTATATCAAACTAGCTGTACTCGTTGAAGCAGCTACGCTTGCAACTAAAGGATCCAATATGGAATGTAGATTGACAAACCGGGACGGACCCATAGACAGACATTTCATCTTTATACTCATCTGGGAGCCCTTGTCACTCCTAGATGCAAGATTGTTCCCATAAGATATAAATCATTTCTCTACCTCAATCGGTTATTACTTCTTGAAGTGCAGACAGACATTTATTATTATAGATAATAGATATATATCTATTCTGACTTGTGAGTTCCCTATGGTACATGAAATGAGCTTCTGCATTGTTGAATTTCATAATAAAGTACAAGATCACTGTATCCAATCAATGTTTTATTAAAATAAAAATCACATTGCATATTATAAGTGAATTAGAATTATTTACAAATTTAAAATAAAGCAAACAGCCACTGCTTGATTCTTGCAAAAGTATTACACACAGTCTCTATGGAAGCTTTATTCTAATTTCAATCTCTGTTAAATCATTTATGTTGCATTGGGTGAGAAAAGAATGGCAGGACTAATGTCAAATTCTGTTGTTGTAGAGAATTCATGGGCATGCCATTGGGAGAAATCACCTCTTTACGAATGATATGCAATGATTATTTAGACTATTCTGAGAACTGTAACATCCACCTGAACAGGCAGACAGCAGGTACCTTGATTCAATGTCACATTAGAAAGGTGGCATCATCAACAATGTAGTGCATCCCTTGAACAGTCTATTGTCTTTTGAGGGAGAACAAAGATCCTATGGCACTGTTAGAAAAAAAGCAGTGTCCAGTGTCTTGGTCAACAATCCTGAGTCTACAACATGCAGATGTACCAGGCTTTAATCTCACATCTATGTAGCAATACATCCTTAGTTCTCACTTGCAATGGTCACACATCCTACCTAGATATATTACTGCTGATCCAGAGAGCTGCAAAATGTCTTGATAATCTCCTTAATCGGCTTCCTGCACATTGGGCAGTTCATATTCCTGCTGAGGCACTCCTGAGCACAAATGTAGCATGTACAGAGGTGTCCACATCCGTAAAAGAAAGTATCCACTTGACGAGTGAAGCATATAATACATTCTGCATCTGGTGTCCCAAAGCACTGGGCTCGGGTGCCCGATGGCATTGTATCAGCAAAGGAACTGGACTCGTTCTCTGAAAAAAAGGGTCAAGGTGGTTACAACATTGGTACAAATTGCCATTTAAAGAACATCCAATAGCAAATCATTTGAAGCAGTGTGGAAATCTGGCTTTCAAAATCTTGCACAAACTTAAATAATAATAATCCTTGCATTCCTTGTATCATGTGAAGCACTTTGGGACATTTTGAAGACATGGTAAGGCACTATATCAAATGCAAGTATTATTTATTATTATTTATTTGATATAGCGCCTTCTCAAGTCTTCAAGACGTCTCAAAGCCCTTCACAGAATATACTGTAAAGTGAATTCTCTGTATATTTGTGGGCAAAATGCGGAAGCCAATTGCGCACAGCAGTGTCCCACAAACAGTCGATGATTGAGTGACCATATTTTTTTTAAAAAATTCTTGAAGCGATTATTACACCGGAAACGTGATTTACAAATCGACTAACATCCTGGTTCCTACTTACTGTTAGGCAAACAGAGGCGTGTGGAGTAAGGAAACTTGCGCAATGTTTTGCCCTATCCAGGAATGTGATAATGGCTTTAAAGAAAAGATCATTTTTAAAAAATTGTTCTTCTGAGGCCTGAAATTGCACCTACTCTTAGGTCTGTAGCACCATTTGTCTGCAAATTTAAGACGGTGCAGAATTATTGAATTCTTTAATTACCAATGGGTAAATTCTACGCATAGGTAGCATATGTACACAGAACTCTCAGGCTGATTTGGACATTCTTAAGTTTGGCGACAGGTTACCATGTGTGTCAGACATCCAGGTAACCAAAAAAAAACCTCAAGCTGAATTGAAGAATTCATAGAATCAGAATTATACAGCACAGAAGGAGGCTTTTCGGCCCCATCGAGTGTGTGCCGGCTCTTTGAAAAGAGCTATCCAAATTAATCCCACTGCCCCGCTCTCTCCCCACAGCTCTGCAAACTTGTCCTCCCCAAATAATTAACTACTCTCTTAAAAGTTGTTATCACATTGGCTTCCACCACCTTTTCAGGCAATGCATTCCAGATCCGAACAAGTCGCTGTGTAAAAATTTTTTTCCTCACCTCCCCTCTGTTTCTACTATTTTAAATCAGTGTCTTCGGGTTACCGGCCCACACGCCAGTGGAAATAGTTTCTCCTTGTTCACCCTATCAAACCCCATCATAATTTTTGAAACTTGTATTAAATCTCCTCTTAACCATCTCTGCTCCAAGGAGAATAATCCTCACTTCTCTAGGCTCTCCTCATAACTGAAGTTCCTCATTCCTGGTACCATCCTGGTAAATCTCCTTTGCACCCTCTTCAATGCCTTGACATCCTTCCTAAAGTGTGGTACCCAGAACTGAACACAGTCTCTAACTGAGGCCTAACCAGTGTTTTATAAAGGTTCATCATCACATCCTGACTTTTGTATTCTATGCCCCTATTTATAAAGCCTAGTATACCGCCCGTATGCTTTTTTTTAAACAGCTTTAACTACCTGTCCTGCCACCTTCTAAAGATTTGCTTATATGAACCCCCAGGTCTCTCTGTTCCTTCACCCCTTTATGATTGTACCATCAGCTTATATTGTCTCTCCTCATTCTTCCTCCCAAAGTTCATCACTTTGCATTTCTCCACATTAAACTTCATCTGCCACGTGTCGGCCCATTTTACCAGTCCCTCCATGTCCATTTGCAGTCTGCTACTGTACTCCTCACTGTTTACTACTTTTCCTAGCTTAGTATCATCTGCAAACTTGGAAGTTGTTCTCCCTATACCCAAGTCCAGGTCATTTATATAGATCAAAAACAGCAGTGGTCCCAATACCGACCCCTGGGGGACACCACTGCACACTTGCCCCCGGTCAGAAAAACAACCGTTCACCACCACTCTCTGCTTTCTGTCTCCCAGCCAGTTCTGTGTCCATGCTGCCCTGTCCCTTTAGTACTGTGGGTTTCTATTTTGCTTACAAGTCTCTTATGTGGTACTTTATCAAAAGCCTTTTGAAAATCCATATAAACTACATCAACTGCTCTACCTTCATCCACCCTCTCCGTTACTTCATCAAAAAACTCTATCAGGTTTGTTTGACACAACTTGCCTTTAACAAATGTATGTTGACTGTCCTTTATTAACCCATATTTTTCTAAGTGAAAATTTATTTTGTCCCGGATTATAGTCTCTAGAAGTTTCCTCACTACTGATGTTAGGCTGACTGGCCTGTAGTTCCCGGGTTTATCCTTGTGCCCCTTTTTATACAGGAGAGTAACATTTGCAATCCTCCAGTCCTCTGGCACTACCCCGGAATCCAAGGAGGACTGAAAGATTGTGGCCAGAGCCTCTGGTATTTCCATCTTTACTTCCCTCTATAACCTAGGATGCATCCTGTCCAGACTGGGTGACTTATCAACCTTTTTTAGTACCTGACATTCTGTCAGGAGAGCAGTAGTTCTGGAGTCGAGGTTGGAAGTAGAGAGTTGGGTGTCATCCGCATACATGTGGAAGTTCACCCCATGTCTGCAGATGATGTCACAAGATATTGAAGAGGAGGGAAACAAGGACAGAGCTGTGAGGAACACCACACAAGACAGTGCGGGGGCTAGAGGAGAAGCCATTTGTGGAGATAAAGTGGAGATGGTGTGAGAGGTATGATCTGAACCATTCAAGGACAGAATAATGAAGGTTGAAGTGAGAGGAGAGGCGGTGGAGGAGGACAGAGTGGTCCACGGTAATGGTATCAAAGGCAGCAGAGATGTCAAGGAGGACGAGGAGGCAGAGGGAACCCTTGATGCACATGGACAAAATGTCATTTGTCACTTTGACCAAAGCTGTTTCTGTGCTATGGGCGGCACGGATAATCAATTGGGAGGGTTTTGGAAGGGAATGGTGGGAGAGGAAGGAGCCAAGCTGGGAAGCAACGACTCGTTCCAGGACCTTGGAAAGGAAAGGAAGGTTGGAGATGGGGCAGTAATTTGAGAGCAGGGATGGGTCCAGGGAGGGTTTTTTAAGGATAGGAGTAATGACGGTTGTTTTTAAAGGGGTGGGAACGATGCCAGTGGATAGGGAGAGGTTTATGATGTCTGTGAGTTGGGGGGCAAGGAGGTAGAGTTATAATAATAATAATCCTTGCATTTGATATAGCGCTTTTCACGTCGGGAGGACGTCCCAAAGCGCTTCACAGAACACACTGTAAAGTGAATTGACTGTATATTTGTGGGCGAACGCGGCAGCCAATTGTGCACAGCAATGTCCCACAAACAGTCGTAGATTGAAAATGACCAATTTATTATTGTTTTGGGTTTTTGGAGGGATTATTATTATTAGGCGTGTGGAGTAAGGAAACTTGCCCAAGGTTTCGCCCTGTCTGGAATTGCACTCAGGTCTCTCGCTTGCAAAGCGAGTGCTCTAACCACTGAGCTACAGGACTCCACGAGTTGGGAGGTAAGGAGACGGCGAGGGATGGGGTCGAGGGAGCAGGTGGTCAGTTTCATGTGGGTTATAGTGGTGGTGAGAGAGGAGGGGGAGACAGGTTCAAAGATGTGGAGGGAGGGATGGTTAGGGGCCAGTGAGTGAGGGGGACATGGGGAGGGGTAGTATTTGGAAGGGCAGAGGCGGCTGAGCGGATCCCCTTGATTTTGGTTTTGAGAAAGTCCAGCATCTCCTCGCAGTCGGCATTGGAGGAGAGGATGTGCGAGGCGTGAGAGGGTGAGCGGAGGAGCCGGTTGGTGCTGGAGAAGAGTAGCCGGTTGGTGATGAAAAGAGGAGCCTGGGGTTGTCCTTGGCCTCCAAGATTGTCTTGGAGTAGAAGGATGACATAGAGGAGGCGAGGGTTAAATTTTGATCAACTGTTAAGTTTTTACCCAGTAGCTGGACTTCGCATGTTGATCCGTACAAGTCCAACATAAACCACAGGGGCCACTTGTTTGGCAACCCTTTTGTCAGCAGATATTGCTCCTTTTTATTCACTCTGTACCAAAACTGTCCTTTCTTGTTCACCCACAATGAGATGATGGTCCCCTCTTTCACATCCTCCTGGTGTATCCCAAAGCCCCAAAATCCAGGTTTTTCTGCCAGATTGGGGCACACAAACTTTGGAAGTGCCTTGGGGTCTATGAGTGAGGGGTCAAAGATGGTGCAGCCCAGTCGCAAACCTCCACATAGCAAGACATTGTTTTTTGTAATCCTAAATCTGACTTCCTCCTGCATGCCGACTGGCCGGTTCGTGAAGATGATGCCATTGCAGAAGCTGAACTTTCTGCGTGCGGAACAATTGGATGAATCCAGCTGTATCGCTGAACCCTTAGTGGATGGGTTGAAAAACAATTGACAATGAGGGGTACATTGTTGCTTCTCTCCACAGTCAGATCGGTGGTCTCTGGGCTGCTGAAATGCTGCTGTGGTAAAGCAAAAACAAAAGGTAAAAGGTTAGTGAATGAATATACAGGCAATGCGCAGGGCTGAGTACTACCCTGCTAAGTTGCTTTAAGTACATTTTGTGCCTGGTTAAGTTGTTAGCATTCTCTCCTCTGGGTCAGAAGGTCATAGATTCAAGCATTATGTCAGACTGTGATCTCATAATGTGGGTTGAAGCTCTAGGGAAGCGCTGTATTGTTGGATGTACTGTTCTTCGGAAGACATGTTAAACCCTCTGCTATTTTTTGCTGAAGAATAAAGATCCTATGGCGCTATTAGAAAAAGAGAATTTTTTCCCAGTGTCAGGGTCATCAATCCTCTGGTACAAGGCTTCAATGCCACATCTAAAATATGGCACTATCAACAAAGCAGAGCAACTCAAGTGATCTCCATCCTCCCTGACTACTGTATGGTACAAGTTGCGATTTAAAGGAATATCCGATAGCAAACAGTGTGTCATTGGATATTTTAAGCAATGTGGAAAACTTGCTTGCTGTATTAAGACTGAATTTAAGACGTTTCCAAAATTGTGCATGTGAAGAACTAAGGCTAAGAGCCTGTGAAATTGTAGCCTTCTGAGGCCTGAAATTCCATTTATTTTAAATATTAAATTGGTCGAATTGTGGAAAATTCTTACAATTTGAATCTGTTTCTTGAAAGATTTGAAATTGTGAGCCTGACATTCTACTATTCTTATGGTGTAAGATTATTTTGTCTTCAAATTTGTAACTTGGTGGAATTTCAGGCCTCAATGTCCTAATGTTTTTTTTGATCAGTCGAACACATGTGGAAACCCATCACCATGCTTAAGAGTACCCAAACTAAACTAAGAATTCCATGCATCCCACCTGCACATGTGGTGTAGCAATGTTGCACAAGGTTCCGCTCAGTCGCTTATTCAGGAATTGATTTGATACCATAATGACTAGAGCAGGTGTTTACCAATTCTCCTACCTTTGAATTGTGGCAACAAAGTGGCTGACGTGTGAGCACCTGGCATATTGTCACTGTCTTCTTTCACCATGAGGGATGGAGATCGCAGAGGAGGATTCTGAGACATATCCTTAACTGGGGGGGAAAGACAAAAAAGTAAAGATGTCTCAGCAAGTAACGGAGAGGGTGGATGAAGATAGTGCAGTTGATGTAGTTTATATGGATTTTCAAAAGGAGTTTGATAAAGTCCCACATAAGAGACTTGTAAGCAAAATAGAAGCCCACGGTATTAAAGGGATGGATACAGAACTGGCAGCAGGATGGCAGCATGGATACAGAACTGGCTGGGAGACAGAAAGCAGAGACTGGTGGTGAACGGTTGTTTTTCTGACTGGAGTGTGCAGTGGTGTACCCCAGGGGTCGGTATTAGGATCACTGCTGTCTTTGATCTACATAAATGACCTGGACTTGGGTATAGGGAGTACAATCTCCAAGTTTGCAGATGATACTAAGCTAGAAAAAGAAGTAAACAGGAGGAGGATAGTAGCAGACTGCAACAGGACAAAGACAGACTGGTAAAATGGGTAGATAGCTGGCAGATGAAGTTTAATGTGGAGAAATGCAAAATAAGGCATTTGCGGAGGAACAACAATATCAAAATTACATTTGTATAGCGCCTTTCACGTTGGGAGGACGTCCCAAGGGCTGGACAGGCAGAGTTTTGAACCCAAGCTGGGGGTTGGGGTCGGGGAGGGTGGAGGGCAAGGGGGAAAGCAGGGAGATCGAAAGCATGGTCGAAGAGGAGTGTCTTGAAATGGGTCTTGAAGGAGGCAAGGAGGTGGCGAGGTGCAGGAACTGTGGGATGGAGTTCCAGAGAGTGGGGGCAGAGTGGCAGAAGGCCCGCCCACCAATAGTGGGGCAAGTGAGGTGGGGGACATGAAGCAGGCCAGAACTCACTGAGCAGAGGGGGTTAGGAAATGCAGAGGTAGGGGGTAGCAAGATCATGGAGATCTTTGAAAGTGAGGACCAGGATCTTGAACTGTATCCTCTGTGTGATGGGAAGCCAATGGCGTCGGGCGAGGATGGGAGTGATAGGGTCACGTAGCCTGGTGCTGAAGAGGGTACGGCTGCAGAGTTCTGGATGATCTGCAGCCTATGGAGGGAGGAGTTGGGAAAGCCGACAAGCAATGAGTTTGCATAGTCAGGCCTCGATGTAATGAAAATATGAATGAGAGTTTCAGCAGCCTGAGCTGTGAGACCACAGCCGCCAAAACTCCCATACATGCTTTCATGAGGAGAGGCAAGATAAGTTGATGGTAGAATCCTAAAGGTGTGAAGGAACAGAGAGACTTGGGGGTTTATATAAGTAAATCTTTGAAGGTGGCAGAAGGTAGATAAAGCTGTTAAAAAAAAACATAAGGGATACTAGCCTTTATAAATAGGGGCATAGAATACCAAAAGTCAGGAAGTGACGTTGAACCTTTATAAAACACTGGTTAGGCCTCAGCTAGAGTCTGTGTTCAGTTCTGAGCTCCACACTTTAGGAAGGATGTCAAGGCATTGGAGAGGATGCAAAGGAGATGTACCAGGATGGTACCAGGAATGAGGGGTTTCAGTTATGAGGAGAGGCGAGAGAAGCTATGATTATTCTCCTTGGAGCAGAGATGTTAAGAGGAGACTTAATAGAAGTTTTAAAAATTATGACGGGGGTGAACAAGGAGAAACTATTTCCACTAACAGGTGGGTCGGTAACCCGAGGGCATGTTTAAAATGGTTATTAAAAGAAACAGAGGGGAGATGAGGAGAATTTTTTCACACAGTGAGTTGTTCGCATCTGGAATGCATTGCCTAAATGGGTGGTGGAAGCCGATTCAATAACAACTTTTAAGAGAAAAGTAGATAATTATTTGTGAAGGACAAGTTTGCAGGGCTATGGGGAAAGAGTGGGGGAGTGGGGTTGAATTGGAAAGATCTTTTCAAAAAACCGGCACAGACACGATGGGCTGAAGGCCTCCTTCTGTGATAATAATTCTATGATTCTATGAACAACAATTTGTATTTATATAGCCCCTCAAGCAGGGTCGTGTCCAGAGCTTTTGACAGTGGCGGAGCATGCCACTGAACTGGGGGAGGCAGGAGGTGACGGTAGGCACAGTCAAAGAGGAAGGTCTTCAGGCACGACCTGAAAATGGGGAAGGATGAGGCAAGGCAGTGAGCAAGAGTATTCCACAGTTTCAGCGATTCAGTCACAGAACAAGAGAAAAATATTTGATTAAATAGTGAAATGATCAGATTTCTACTTTGTTGTTTCACTTTTAAATCTCTTTAACCAGAGTTGATGCATATGCTGTGATATGTTAGTTATTCTCTATCCCAATACCCTCTTTAGATTTCATGAAATGCATCTGAAAACATTTGATAGATGCGTATCATTTAGGATTATTAAATGTCCAAATTCTGAACATAGTTTCCTGTATAATTGGTCACCAGTTAGTTAAATCGGGTCCCCAAAATTTCACTACTCTTAAAATTCTTACATTTAGTCTTAATTTGGAAGCTGGTTCTTTTTTTAAAAAAAGATCTACAAAAACATTGTAGAATTTTCCAAAATTCTGGGTGATCATAAATTCTGAACATGAAATAATCACACAGGCTAAATCTAGATGGGATTTCAGACCTCAGAGACTGAGGGAGCTGTATTCAAATATGTTGGGAGCTGTATTCAAACATGAGACCTAGGTTCAAATCCTGGCAGGGCGAAATGTTGGGCAAATTTCCTTACTCCACACGCCTCTGTTTACCCAGCAGTAAGTAGGAACCCGGTTGCTAATCAGTGGTTCGTTTTTCAGGGGGTAATAATTCCTTAAAAATATAATAATAAATTGGTCACTTCAATCCACGAATGTTTGTGGGACACTGCTGTGTACAATTGGCTGCCGCGTTTCGCCCACACAAAATATAGTCAATTCACTTTACAGTATATTCTGTGAAGTGCTTTGAGGCATCTCAAAGACATGATAAGGCGCTATATCAAGGGCAAGGATTATTATTATTATTGTTTTTTGTACTATATACAAATTTCTTATTATGGATTCCCATTCAGAAGTACTACAAATTAAAATCCAGTCAAATGCCTGTTAAGTTTTTACCCAGTAGCTGGACTTCGCATGTTGATCCGTACACGTCCAACATAACCCACAGGGGCCACTTGCTTGGCAACCCTTCTGTCAGGACAAATCCCTTTTTTTTGTTCACTCTGTACCATAACTGTCCTTTCTTGTTCACCCACAATGAGATGATGGTCCCCTCTTTCACATCCTCCTGGTGTATCCCAAAGCCCCAAAATCCAGGTTTTTCTGCCAGATTGGGGCACACAAACTTTGGAAGTGCCTTGGGGTCTATGAGTGAGGGGTCAAAGATGGTGCAGCCCAGTCGCAAACCTCCAAACAACAAGTCATTGGTTTTTGTGATCCTAAATCTGACTTCCTCCTGCATGGCGACTGGCCGGTTGGTGAAGATGATGCCATTGCAGAAGCTGAATTTTCTGAGTGCGGAACAATTGGATGAATCCAGCTGTATCGCTGAACCCTTAGTGAATGGGTTGAAAAACAATTGACAATGAGGGGTACATTGTTGCTTCTTTCCACAGTCGGATTGGTGGTCTCTGGGCTGCTGGAATGCTGCTGTGGTAAAGCAAAAACAAAAGGTAAAAGGTTAGTGAATGAATACAACACTGTTGAGTAGTGCTGAGTAAAAACCTACCTCCTTTAAAATACTATCTCTTCAACAATATGGTCATCTCTCCCTTCCAATATTGAGATTCCTGTCTCTGAAGAGCTTGTGTGTAGAAACAGAATATGATTGATTTCAAGGTCCTCACCCTCACCTTCACTCCCTGGCTCCTCCCTACCTCTCTGATCTTCTTGACTATGCAAACTCCCTGCTTGTCGGCCTCCCCAACTTCTCCCTCCATAGACTGCAGATCATCCAGAACTCTGCAGCCCCTGTCCTCTCCTGCACAAGGCTCTGTGATCTTGTCACCCTAATCGTCGCCCGACTCCACTGGCTTCCCATCACTCAGAGTATACAGTTCAAGATCCTGGTCCTCACCTTCAAAGTCCTCCATGGCCTTGCTCCTCCCTATCTCTGTGATCTCCTAACACTCTACCAATCTATCCGCTCCCTCCACTCAGCGGGCTCCTGCCTGCTTCACTCCCTGCTTCGCCTGCCCCACCATTGGCGGGCAGGCCTTCAGCCACTCTGCTCCTACCCTCTGGAACTCCATCCTACAGTCCCTCTGCCTCGCCCCCTCCTTTGCCTTTTTGAATACCCATCTCAAGACCCTCCTCTTCGACCATGCCTTCAGTCACCCTCCTTCCCTCCCTGCTCTCCACCCACTACAATCTCGACCCCCAGCTCAGGTCCAAAACACTGACTATCCAGCGCCTTGGAACATCCTCCCGACGTGAAAGGCACTATAGAAATGTAATTTTGTTGTTCTCCTACTCCACTCTATTGCTCACTCCCTTCTGCTTGGCTAACTCAGACTTTCTGCACATTTGCTCCATGGTGTCCCTTCAGAGTCTATGACCTTAACCTCTGGAACTCCCACCCTTTATCCCTCTGTCTCACCTCCTCTCTATTAATCTTTAATTACTCCTTTAATGCCTATCTCTTTAATCTATGGTTGCCTCTCCCTTTCCCCCAGAACAGGATCCTATTCCATCTTTGTAAAGTGCTCTGAGATGTTATCCTACGTGACAGATGCTATTATAAATGGAAGTTGTAGTAAAATCAAAACTGAAATGCTGGCTTTATTGCTCACATGATCTGATTTTAATCATACTGGAAGTTATTAATTAACTGCAGTTGGCTTCTTTTATTTCAGCAGAAATCCACTAACAGAGCCCAGCAAAGCAGCTGTGATTCCCTCTCAAGATACACAAATCTCAGATAGCAAGTAGCTGGCATTGTGTAATCAACACATGAGTATATTCTGCTATTACAAAGAATACAAAGATTGAAACATGGCCTAACCAGTCCATGGTGTTTATACTCCACACAAGTTTGTGATGCTGTCCTTCAGATGAAACGTTAAACCACAGCCCTGTCTGCCTATTCAGATGGAATTTAAGATCTCATGACATTGATAAGAAAAGGGAGTTTTGTTGGTGTCAACAATCCTCCAGATAAATTGGTCAATCACTCTGTCCTGTTTCTGAGACTTTATTGTGCTATAAAAAAGCATGCTTTTAGGACCTCCTTTTCATAACTCACATGAAAAATGACACCTCTGACATTGCAGCACTCTCCCAGTGCCAGTGTGGTCTATGACACCAGGTTCCAATGTAGAGTTTGAATCTACAACCTCCTGAACCAAAGGAAAGAGTGCTACCTACCACCAAAATTGCCAGTTTGGTATGTGTGCGCGTGTGTGTGTGTGTATTGGAACTGAGCTTCCCTTTGGGGTGGTACTTATCCTAGGAGTGGTTTATGGTGGCAGCAACCTTGCTAGGGGTGGATGAAAATGGTGGTGGTACAGTAGGGGTGGGGTCATTGCTAACATTGCTCATCACAGATGTCTGTCATCTCTGCACTAGCACAGATTTTTGAAAGAAAAAATGAATGTTGCTGTTTGACACGGATCTGAAATTATTGTTGACTCACAACATCTGACTGGGGGATATCACTGAGCACAAATACTGAGAATAACAAACCACAACAAGTCGTTAGAGACTATTTTAAACATTGTGTCTGAGTGATTCCAAACTTCAAACTGCCACTGGCTGCTCACACCTTGCATTAATCTCACAGGCTGCTCCTTGTCTCGGTTTCAATTTGCAAGCTGTTCGAATTAGTATTGCAGTTGCTGGTGTAGCCAATACTTGTTCTAAGTGTGAGCCTTGCAGGATATGTCAGGGATGAGTCACAATGATATTTAGTTCAAGTCTTTTTGCTGGCCAACAAGAATCACTCCTTCCAACCCAACTAGCCCATTGCTAGTTTCAAGACATTTCATCCCAAACTCAACACTCCTTATTCAACTAATGCAATATCATATCGATGTGACGCCTCAAAATGCTTCACAGGATTTATAGTGAAGAGTAGTGACTGTGTCATGGTGCACATGGCAAACAATTAGCTCACAGCAATATCTCACAAATAGTCATGAAACAAATGACCAATTTTATTTTGAGGGATTGTTGGCCAGGAAACTGGGATAAACTCCCTTCTCTTTTAAAATAGTGCCATGAGATCTTTAACATGCACCTGAACCGATAGACAGGACTTTAATTTAAAGTCTTACAGCGATTCCTCAACTCCCAGCACTGCAAGAAGCTTACTTATTACCTGTATCAGCCTGCTTGGAAATTACAAAGCTGAAGATAATAATAATAATAATAATCGTTGCATTTGATATAACCCTTTATCACGTCATTGAAAAGTATCAAAGTGCTTCACAGAATATACTGTAAATCAAATTGACTGTATATTTTGTGGCTGAAACGTGGCAGCCAATTGTGCACAACAATGTCCCACAAACAGTCATGGATTGAGTGACTAAATTATTAATTTAGCTTTTAAAAGGGATAATTACTTCCAGAAAGTGATCTGCCAATCGCCTAACAACTGTGTTCCTACTTACTGCTAGGTAAACAGAGGCGTATGGAGTAAACAAAACTTACCCAAGGTTTCGGCCTGCCTGGGAATCAACATTAATAGGTTAAAATCAAAGATATTAATAGGAACATTTTTCAAAGGCCACTTGCCATATCAAGCTTTCTTTACCATTTTTGTGAGTCCTCTTTATCTTTTAACCCCACTTCATTTTTTCTCCATACTCCTTAATGCCCTCAATACCCAGTTCCTATCTTTCTCCCTCTTAATAGCTACAGCTCTCTGAGACACTATGTTCCACATCCTCAGAGCCCAGTGTGTGACAAAATGTTTTCTCCATGCTACAGTTCTTTCAATTATTTGCCCAATATCACGTTGATAAGAAGGTAAAATGTTGATCAAAGACTGCGATTATCTGATAATGATAATTCTTGTATTTGGTATAATACTTTTCAATTCAGGAGGATGCCCTCACATGTAGAATTTCTCAGGAAATACTGTAAAGTGTAATTCATGCATGACTTGGAAGCCAAATTGCGCAATCAATATCCCACAAACAGCCATGGAGTGAATGACCAATTTTATTTTGGGGAATTTTTAGCCAGGAGACCTAGAGAAATTCCCTTCTCTTTTCGAATAGATCAAATATTTTTAGATACTGCAGGAATTTCCAGTTTTATTCCAGTTGAAACAGGTTTTGTATTGGTGGAAATGTTAACTGAAACAGGTTCTGTATTGACACACCGTCTGTGGCTTCTGGGAAGATGAAGTTCTCTGTACTAATCTAATTTCTCCATCAATATTTTACTCTTACAACAACATTTTATCTTCTTCCCATTTTGTCCCTTTCTCTTGAAGGCTGCTCATTATCATGTGTTGCTGTGCAGTCAGCCCCAAAAACACACTCCACAGGGAATATCACATTTCCTCCCTCGGAGAACAATGCATCAACCATTTGGCTGAACAGGCTGATCAGCACTGTCACATTGCTTTAAATTACAGTGGGGTTTAAATTGTGCTGTATCTTAATGACGATTCCATAATAAAGAATTCAGGTTGTTCAAATGGGGACTCCTTACGATGACGGGAAGCAAGTCCCATTAACCCACAGGAAGTCCATTCCATCATGATCTACTACTGTACCTCACCAGAAATCTAATGGGTTCTTTATTATATATCCCAGTGAACTTTACAATGCCATCAATCCAAGACACGTACAAACATAGAAATATTCCTCTTCAATGTATGCCTTTTCAGTTGAAATGAGAGTTTTTTAATCTCTCAAAGAATAACAGTATCCTGCGGATTTTTATATGAATGATTCAGATTTATCATCACCCATATGGGTGCATCTATGTTGATATCTACATCTGTGGCCCTGATACAAACGTAAGCAATGAATGATTAAATCCCATTCATCCTGGGGTCCTGCCAAAATTGCAACAAACCAAATGGGTTATTTACTTCATGGCTGTGCGCAAAATGGCTGCCACATTCATCTACAAAATACAGTCATTACACTTCATAGGATCTCCTATGAAGTACTTCAAGACATCCTCCCAACCTGAAAGACTATATCAAATGTAAGTTGTCATAATTAATTCCATTCCTTCCACACAATTTGTTCTGTTATAGACTCAATCCACTTTGTTCTCCAAGGGAACGTCCTTCACAAATTTTCTTCCTATGTGTGCCTTTATGTCTAATTATGTGCCTTTAACATTTGCCTGAACAGGCAGATAGGATGTTGTTTTAATGTCTCATCCGAAGGATGGCACCTCCGACAATGCAGCACTCCCCCAGTTTAAAGTCCCGACCCACAAACTTGTGATTTAGCTACATGACTGCTGCCAACTGAACCAGGCTGACTCAAAGCTTCTATATCTGATAAATTACTTGATCAGATTGTTACAGTAAAACATAAGTGGTAGTCAATTGGTGCATAATAGTAAACCATAAAATCAGAATGACAACCAGGTCATAAATGTGAATGTGTCTGTGGACTAATCTATACTAATAAATCTATACTAATAAAATGACAATGTCTGTCTGCGCTTCAAGACGGATCTCAATAACCGAGTGACACAGAGACATGATTTATACCTCATTGGAAAGGTATTGTAACTGGGAGTGACAAGGGCATATTTGTTTTCGGGAATCTCCTATTGTTTACAAGTTATTTCAGCTTTGTGTTTTTTGCTGCAGTTACATCTGGTGGCCTCAAAGGCAAAGTGGCGCTGTGGTATCGTGGTCACAGAGCACCCATGTATGTACGCACACACTGCAGTTACACCTGGTGGCCATGGCGGCTGACAGTGGCGCTGTGGCATCATGCGTCACAGGGCACGCACGCAGCAAAGCGGTGGGAATAAAATAAAGAACACAGACAAAGCTAAGCTGCGGCAACAACAACAAAATTACATTTTTGAAGCCCCTTTCACGTCGAGAGGACGTCCCAAGCCGTTGAACAGTCAGGGATTAGAATGATAGCAATAAACTCTTTTTATCTTGAACAAACTCAATGATAGGAATGAAATAGGGTTTGTTTCCCATCAGTACAAAATATTCCAGCCAGCATTGCTTTTTACAAGAGCCTCACCATTTTAGGAAGTTGCATAAGCAACCTTTTAATAAGAACATCCTGGAATCCAATTTTGCCCCAAAAATACACAATCAATCTACTTTACAATATATTTTGTGAAGCACTTTGAGTCATCTCAATGATGTGATAAGGCGCTATAATAAATGCAAGGATTATTATTAATATTATTTGCCTTGCCTTTTTTAAGTTCCACCTTAAGACCTTCCACTTTGTGCTTTAGCCATCTTTCGCCCCGTCAACCCATCCACCCACTCAACCCCCATCCCTAGCTCAGAGGCAAACCTTAGACTATGCAACAACTACTACTTGCACTTATATAGCACCTTTCACATGTAGTATCTCAGAGCTTAACTTGTCCAGTTCCTTGAGATATCCTTACAAATTCAGACGAAAGGTCTGAATTTGTATTAACAATTTGTATTAGTTTGAGCAAGGAAGCTTACCAGGTGGAGCAAAACTTCATCCAAGTTTCCTTACACCATACACGTCTGTTTACCTAGCAGTGAATAAGAACCTGATTGTTGGTCAATTGGCAAATCGCTTTCTGGGGGTAACAATCTCTCATAAAAAAATCACTCAATCCACACCTGTTTGTGGGACACTGCTGTGCGCAATTTGCCGCCGCTTTTCTCCCACAAAATACATATCAATCCACTTTACAATACAGTATATTCTGTGAAGTGCTTTGAGATGTCTCAATGACGTGATAAAGCATTATGTCAAATGCAAGGATTATTAGTATTATTATGCACTGTCACCATTAGGTGCCTTGTAAAATTTAAACTCTTCCAAAGAATCATAACTAAATCTCATGTCTTTTTTGTTATAAATATTTTCGAGTCTCTACAGAGCTTGGGATTTTCCAGGAAGCAGAAAATCACACTTGCTGCCGCTTCTGTGAAATTCATTCCTTGTGAGTAAATACAACATTATTGTGAGCTCAGATGAGTTCTGCCTTTTATTGCAACATTACACAGTAGTCATATACATTTAAAACAAAAGGACTAACAGAAACAAACAAGAGCCTGTTGAACAGCAAACGATTGTTAAATGAAACACCCTAAGGGTGGAACTCCCTCTTTAAAGAGTTTTAACTTCCATATCTTTGGAATGAACTCATTCTTGTCATTCTTCTCTAGCTGAAAGAAGCTTTAAATGAGAGTTTAAATTATTCAGAGCTTGTTTGAGTCTGGTATGCTGGTTACAGCTTTATGTTGAGATCACTGGAGTAGTTCAACCATTAATGATTAAAGAGCAGAAACCAATTCTCTTCATTCTGTATTAATTACTGAGAGTAATGTATTTCTCTACTTATTGAAAAATGCTTTGTTTTAAAAGCTTCCCTGATGGCCAGGTGGGTAAAGGCATGGCGACAGACAGCAATGGACAACACAGACCAGAAGGTTGCAAGTTCAAATCCTGATCTGAGCCAAGTTAGCTGATCTCAGTGGGAGTATTATAGTCAGCTTCAGTATCTTGGGTTAGGGAGGGGGGAAACCACCCAAGATTACTACCCTTGATCCCTGTGCAGAGAACTCTGATGGCCATCTCAGGTGCAAGTATGCCACCGAAGGCAAGACTGGGTGTGACTGGGATGTGGTGGAATAGGCTGATGATTAGCCGTTTGGGTGAGGCATCAGTGGATCAGTACCTGTTAAGCCATACCCAAGTCACGAAAAAAGGTGTCAAAAGCCCATCAGGAGGGGAGTGCAGAAAATTGGTGCTGACACTCTTTCCCTAGACCCAAAAATATCACAAAACAATGCTCTTATACTTTGAGATCTGCAATGCTTTAGTTCACAATTGACAAATAAGGAACTTGTTCATGTTACACCAAGAGTCTTTACATGCTCAACCAACAAAAACAAAAAAGGGGAAGGGAATTTAATATTTAGTTTTATTCACAAATAAAACTAAAATTCCCAGCATGTTCTCTTTCCCATTACTGCATACTTCATACTGCATACTGCAAACCAAATGCAAAGATGATATTTTACTTTTTGAACACGTTGTTCCTACAGTGCTTGAAAAGAGACAAAAGACAAAACTTAAATCATTCAATTTTGCCAAATCTACCTGCTAAGAGGTTATTTTAGAATCAAATTAATATCTCCCTGTGCAAGCTAGATTCTAAACAGAAGACATAGGATATCAGCTATCAATCAGTCTTACCACATAGATTGTCTTTCAGGGTTGCCAACTTGAGAATATTGGAAATGCTTCCCATTTTCTGACTCAATTCTTCTGCTTGTTCCACCTGTGCACCTCTCATTGTGTATAAATACTACAGCATTTCCTGATGTAATGGCTCATTATAATAAAGGGAGGTGCTCTGTGGGGAGAGTGGAAAATCCCACACAATAAAACAGTACAGTACAACAACTGCCTGGGTCTAAATGACTTTGTAGATTTGATCCTTAACATTTTTTAAAAAATGTTTTCAAAATGCATCTTCTGGTCTGATTTTTNCTCGGATTGCTTTGACGTCCTCCCAAAGTGAAAATGATATGCTATACAAATGTAAGTTTTTGTCGCTGCTGAGGGGCAAATGCATTTCTTGCTCTACTGTATTTCTCCTTCACTCTTGCTGGAGCCACTCACACAGCTTCATTTTGTCTCCAGAAAAAAGACATTGCTGAATGTGCGAGAAGCAATTGCTTTTAGAATATTTTGTTCCAAAAACAATCGTGGATTGAGTGACCAATTTAATTTTTTTTGAGGGATTATTATCCCCTGAAAAGTAATCTGCCAATCGTCTAACAACTGGTTTCCTATTTACTCCAAGGTAAACAAAGGTGTGTGGAGTAAAGAAACTTGCCCAACCTTTCATCCTGCCAGGAATCAAACCCAGGTCTTCTCACTTGCAAAGAGTGTGCTCTAACCACTAAACTACAGGACTCCACCACATACAGTACATTTTAGCAGTGTGTACCAACTGCAATCAGGGAAATTTGTTCAGTGATGTAAAATGACAACTTCTGCAAATAGCACACCCTCAGCTGACTGTTAGTCATTCATTCCCAATTGATTTGGCAGGTACCATTTTCAATTTGTTTGAAAAATAGGTGTGAGGCTTTGCTGTTTGGGTAGTTCATATACTTATTAATTCACTGTGATGTTGGGAGTGCTGCTTCAACCTCAAGCACATCTGTAATCTTGGGATTCCAAGTTCAATCCTTTCTAATAGACTGGCACTCTCTGGTATTGGGTATTGCCAGGTTTCTTAGCTTGTACTTTGGGCTGAGTCACAGGAGAGTGGTGATCTCTTTGTATACATTGCCTCTCTTAATTTTTGGCATCCCACCTACACATGGAAATCCCAGAGATAGATTGTTGGAATGGAATGCGCACTCCCTCTGGAGGGACGCACCCTGCTTGTCTAACTCTGGAAAGTATTAGGTGCAAGTTGGCAAGCACTAAGTTTAGGAGTGTGTGTTGGTGTACTGCTGGAGTCTAACCAGCTAAAACCGAATAGCTTGCCATTGATATTGCTGTCCAGCAAGCTTTCCCACTGATTGTCCAGCTAGGACTACTCTACCCATAAAGGTTTTGGCATGCAGGGTTATCAGGAGCTGAGTGGGATGACTCCCTGCCCCCAGTGATTGGTCTGCCCTTCCAGGTCCTGGTAATGAGCAGTAGTGTGTCAGCAGCAGTGCTCTGGAATACTGTGGACCTGCCTGGCTCAGGAACCGGACTACCAAGACTGCCACAGAGGCTGGCTCGATTCCGACATTCCCTTACCAGACATGTCACCTTGGAAACAGTTCAGCTCCGAGGAGGCCCTGCTTACCTCTCCTTCCCGCCCCACCATCCCACCGCAGATAGTCACTAGTTCGTTTGTTTGACATCTGACAAGCATAGCTTTGAGCCTCACCAGGGGGATGGTAGTTACAAGGAACTCCCTGCGGCTTCCCAATGGGCAAAACATCTCAGCATGAAATGCATGAGAGCATTACCACCGACTGCCTGTCCGCAGCTCAGGCACACATCCCTTCCCATTGAGCAATGGCTCCACTAATTGGAGGTGCCTAGTTTAAGCACAGCTGCTTGCCTCTCTGCAGGCCAATCAAGGTGGATTCCAGGCGCGGGACGTACAAACGTGTGTTCACGAACTCTGACTCCAGGTAATACCTTCCAGTAGCTGTCACCCCAAGATATGAGTTTCCTCATCAGCTATCTGGCGGGCCTCAGTGTGGCGGGAGGACCTTTATAGGACAGCTTGTGACTTGTTAGCCGCCTTGATGTTCTCGAGGTCCAAGTCCAATGTCACGTACCAAGCTTCCTCAGCACCAGCTGCTCAATCCAGGTCCTCATGCAAGGGGCCTTGGTAAATAGACATGTCCACTGTGAAGCCTCCATTGTGCTTAGCGACAGAGCAGTGTAGGACAGAGACCTCCTTCCCTGTAGCTGCTTCCCATATTTGCCACAAATCCACTTCACTGCTTGATCCTGGACTTTGCCTCTTCATTACACAGCTGCTTTAGTCAGGGTGACTGACTGATTGATAAGATTTCTACAGATGGCCTTTTTTTTAAAAAAAAGCCCAGGTGTCTAACCTTTAGCCTAGACTAAGAAGATTCAGAATCCCAACATGGGGCTTGAACCCACAACTTTTTGACTCAAGAGGCAAGAATGCTCCCAACTGAGCTAAGCACACGTCAGGAAGGTCTCGAAGCGCTTCACAGGATCTACTGTAAAGTGTAGCGACTGAATATTATAAGAATAATCCTCACCTTTGATATAGCATCTTATGTTGTGGGCACTTACTTCTCAAAGCACTTTACAGAATATATAAAGTGAATTCTTTACATTTTAAATGTATATTTTGCAGGAGAAATGCAGCAGCCACATGAGCACAGCAGTGTCCCACAGTCATGGATTGAGTGACCAAATTATTTATTAAGAGATTATTAACCCCTGAAAGCGATCAGGTTCCTAATTGCTAGGTAAACAAAGGCATGTGGAGGAAGGAAGCTTGTCTAAGGTTTCACCCTGCCCAGGAATTGAACCCAGATCCTCTCACTTGCCAAGCGAGCGCACTAACCACTATGCTGCAGAACTCCATAAACCAGACTGGGGGGTGGGGAGGAAGAGAGAGAGAGAGAGAGAGCAATTGAGTGAGAGAGGGTCAAAGTTTTAGTGCTTTTATTATAGGTTTCAGTAAAGTGCAATTAATTGTATATCTTTTATCAAAAAGGATTTTATGACTTTCAATGATTCAGCTGGCATTTGGCCTGCTGACACTTTGGGTTTTGAAGCTTTCACTCCCTTTCCTGTAAAATTCCCATCTACTTTCTCTCTTGCAAGCTGTACTGTGAAGGTCAACAGCAAGTCAGAACGCTCTCTCGTCTCCCTTTGCTCATGTCTGCCTGCAGCCAGTTCCTTAGTTGTACTGTCAGACGTTAACAGGAAGCAAAGGGTGACCATCTTCCAACAGAGAGGGAGACAGTTCCTACCAAGACACACATCTCTTTAAGTCAGAACAACAAGACACCCACCTCCACCCATGACCCTCTTACTCAGAGTGGAGTATCATCTTTCAAAATAGACACTCATTGATATGTGCTACTCCCCCAGCTGAGACTGTTCTCCAGGAAGTTAATCCCTAGTGGATAAATGCACTCACACAGACACTTCCCGAGGGGCAACAGATGTCACCCGAGTAAGCTATCAGTCTTCACTGCCATTGGATAACTCCTTCTGTTTAAATCCTCATTTATTTAGAAAACAAAAGCTCATTTGAATCTCTCAAACTGCTCCCCTACAGCTCCCAAACCACAGCTCTGGTGCTTTTGGCACTAATGGCAAGGTGGGAGATGCAAGTATATGATATATAATTGGAAGAGCAACAGAACTGTAATATAAACAAATAGCAAATGCAAATCACCAGTAATTATGAAATATTTTCAGTTGCGATGCCTGTGGAGCTACAGCAAAATAGATGCAAGATTACAGAGGTTAATTGATTTCAAATCTACTGTCTTTGTTGGAGAAGGATTTGAACCAAAGTTGTGAAGAAATTTTGCCCAATTTACTGCATCATCTAGTTCCCCCGCTCAGCAAGTCATAAAAATAAATCAACTCAGACAGAGTTTTCCTTAAATTTTAATAAGAATAGTGAAACCTAAATCAGCCCTTCACAAATGCTTGCAGTAAAATGAAGACAAAGTATTCTACATTATATGACAGTATTTTTTTCTTCATTTTTATCCTTTTATTATTAAAGAGTCACAACAGCATACATATCAACAAAAAACATCTGATTTACGAATGGTACTATGGTACCTGCCCAAACAACAACAAAAACACACTTCTAGAGACGGTTTTGTTTCCAAATACCTAACATCTCAGAAGCAGACGGTTTGAAAAAAAATCTTTTAAAAAAAATGGTAATGGTGCCAAATTTGTAATGAATATCAATACTGGAAGTCTGTCATATGCTTCAACAGTCTTTCAGATAATGTTGGCAGCTTGTGTTCACACGAAATCTGAAGTTAAATTTAACGGCTGCAACGAGGGACAAGGTGAGTTTCCCCTCAAATCAATATCAAAAGTATATATGAATATAGTTTTAAAAAAATAATCTTAATGCAGTAACTTGGAAGATGAGACAAGCCTCTAGTTTCATGTTGCTAGTATACGTTCATAGTTGGTTACTTTTAAATAAAGGCTTACCACAGTGTAAGATTTGCTGTAAAATGGAACAATTTTACACTGAGCACAACAGGGCCCCAGAATTACTTTTCACCAACGGAGTGGATGGAATATTGAGGGACGGGATCAGGGAACAGACATCACTTTCAGCATGTTAAGGAAACTGCATTCTTTTTGTTGGCCTTTAGAGGCTGTCTGGCAAAAAANCGTTTTAAAAACTCACGGTTCCACATCATTCTGTCAATTTATTCCACCATCTGGGTTGGGATTCCCACACAGAAACAGTTCTTTACCTTTGTCCCACTTACAAAGACAAACCTAGGATCGAAGAATGCTTACACCAAGGATTGAAAATTCAGGAGGGGGGAGCAAAGAATTTTAATGGTTAGGGTCAGGATTCAAACAAATTAAAAGCCTCAAGACAAAATTGTCAGATTAACTCTAGTGACAAGAAAGGAGCCCTTGTAGCCAACATTGGATACCGAGCGTCATGACATGAAATGAACAGCAAATTTGTAGATAAACAGAATGATTTCACCCCATTTCAGTGTATTTATTATTCAAGCAACTGGATTTAATTCTTCCAGAGTACCATGTGGAACTCAACAATCTCCCCTCGTGCTGGGCACTTGAATACCGCGAAAACCAAACCCAAGTTACTTTGCAATCGGCTCGCCCTGGCTCTCACTTTCCTGTCTTTACTACACAACATTTCAAACTACCAACGTTAATAAAAAAAATTGCTTCGGATTTATTAAACACCAGAGCATCACAACTGTGAAAAATGCAAGCTCACCCTGGGAGCTAACGAATCCTGCAATCTAGTCTTTAAATTGCTTAAAGAACTAAAACTCACTACACCCACTGATAGAACTGTCAATACTGCGGTATGAGTGCCTCTTGAATCACAGAAATTATTAACGTTTGCTCAGCATAAGCCTCCTTAAAACTTTAGGATTGGAAAATTATCTTAAGACTACCCTGCAGCAGTTGAGCAAAATACTGAAAGCCCGAGGAGGAATGGAATGCCAATGATCAGTCCAACCAACTCCTAAAAAATACTTGCACCTCACCCTTACACTTCAGCATAGGGGTGGATAAAGGTGGTTGCCAAAAGACTAAGAACTGTTATATGCCCTCAATTTTGTACATTATTCCTTAAATTCTCTCGGTTGTAGTTCAGAAAATGCTTTGAAATTAAGATGCAAAACTACAGCTTTTTGCTCAGTACGTCTTGATTAGTCGTAATGAATCTCGACTTCGCAATGAAAGATTCTAGGGTTGTATGTAGTAATGTTGGGGGTCTCACAACAGATTTCAACCATTCAGGACTGTACTTTTCACATTTAATACTAATACTGTGTCTTTATCTACATTGACACAACAGACTCCATTTTAGCACTTGAGGTTTTGCCTTGCGTCAAACTCCGCATGAGATAATCTTTCATCACTGCTCAATTTCCAACGTACTGTCGCACTATACAATTGACCCTAGGTATTAACCCAGAGCACAGGAGCAAAGGGAATCACATCACACCCTTGTGCTCATGCTCAAAGCCTCCAATTATCTAGCAGCCAGACACACGAGGTGTTGTCACCAGTTGGTTGCATGCTTTGTGAAAGTAGAATGAGGAGAATTAACATTTCTATCTAGTTTACAGGCAGACTACACAAGCTGGAAATGGGAAGCCTGCATTAGAGGGTAAATAACATTCTGGAGAAAGTTGCTTCTTTTACAGCGGTATATTTAAAAATGTTAAGCTGGGACAAAGACCAATTCGTCAACAAGAAAACCTCCAAAAATTAACTTTTCATTGCTGGAAACCTTCATGTACAGAGATCAACATCCCTCAGCCATCTTTATTTGCGGATGGTACAGGGACTGCGGAACTGTTCCAAATTTTGAGCTGAAACGCTATCAATATCTTGTCACCTGGATGGCTAGCTGGATCTCGATTTCGATTCAGCCATTTGTCACGCAGTATGTTAGTGAGATCCTATACCGAAATCAGCCTGAATCTCAAAAATCTGGAATGTTGAAAATGCCTTTTAAAAAAATAATCTTCGAAAATGCTTAGACACAGTGGGGTCATGTTTGCAGTCAATGGAAAGCAAAATCTCAAAAGGCCATTTGTCCCACTTACCAGCAGTCAAAGACTGCAAGTCTTCACCATTAGAAATGGGACTGGGAGACATTTTTGTCTTCATCCAGCTGTTCGACAGGATTAGTGCTACATGGACTACAAATCTATGCCTATATTCTAATGTGAGCCAACAAAAAGACTTGCTTCTTATTCTAGGAATAGACTGCAGTATATAAACATGGGCTTTGCTACTTCTACAGGATAGCTCACTATCCTAGCGCTTTGAATGAATATGAAAAATTAAGGGAAGAGGGACTTACCAATTTTTTAAAAAATATAATCACTAACTCAGTGTGAAACTAACTAGATGTGGCACTCTCCCAAATCCTCTGCTTCTACAATGTGCTGTACAACACAGCAAAAACAGTTTCAAATTCTACATTCCACTGTGATACTGCAGCACTGAACTCTTATCAAACGGCTCAGTTATCTCCCATCGAAGCAGCCTCTGGGTTTTTAATCACATGTACTTATGTTACAGAACAGTTCCTCCACATCTCAGATCTCCTATACAGACGCCTTTATGACTTTCCCAGTTTGGGTTCTTCAGCCTTCAGCGTTCCGACCGCATCTTTCACAGCGTGGTAAATAATGTTCTTCACCTGAGGACAGAAATGACATGGCAACACATAGAATCCCATCAATAATCTACAATGTACATTTTATTATTTAAGCTCTCACATAGTGTAAAAGCAGAGTGATGGCGAAGCTAATTTACTACCTCGGACAGCCTGATGTATCAGCTGGCCCGTATAGAGGGCCCTTAGGATTTTTCCAGGGTGTGGAGAGAAAGTCATTGTTCTTTGTGTGATAGGAAGTTATTTGCCAGTGCTCAGAGAACCCAGAATAATAATATACCAATCCAACAGAAATGAGGCACTAATATCGGTGCCATGAAAAGTCAATTCAAATAATATCATAGGCAAAGCACTAGAGATAGTCTCCTATTTGTAGATAGTGACCAAACCATGACACCAGCTTTGGATTTGGGAGGAAGGGAAAGAGAAAAGACAACTGAACCAACTGAAAGAAAAAACTAATACATTTGACGTTAAAACAGTCTCATCGGAATGAGTTTCATTCACTCATTCCACTGAAAGACTTAAAGTATAGGCTTTCTGTTATGTTTCCAACACTGTTTTTCCAAGCAACAGCAATGAAATCCTACATTATTTCAGAATGATTTGTGGGAAATTGCAGAAAATAAGGAACCGGAGCTCTAAGTAGGAATATCATTCGCACAATTTGATTTGCAAATAGAGATATCTAGAGCATTGTACCTGCAATTTATCTTCATGGTTGGTGTGAGTATTTGAGAGGTGCCGAAATTCCTGAGTAAGGCGGAAGCAATGTTTGACGTGTTCTGGAGAAACAAAGTCTTCCGCTACTTTGATACAGCTGTACAGATTGTGAACCTGAAAAACAAAGAATGTTACAGCACACTTATAGCCCTCTTAGTTTGATCCTTTATCTCAGAGTAAAGCATGAAAGATCAGGGTAAAGCATAGCACCATTAACAGTTATATGTATCCAGATCACCAGAGCAATGAAAAACTGTACACTTTCTGATTCCAAAATATGTGAGTCAAAAAGTTACAAACTTTAACATAGCCAATTGATAATGTTAATCTCTCGGTAATTGAATAGAGAGAGGGAGAGATGACAATCAGTAAGAGTGTCAGAGCCACTGAGAAAGAGATACACATAGTTTATTCATTTCAACTAGGTTCCAACACAACTATTTTGAATAACACTCACTCACTCCATTGTACTCAATCCTACAACCCATTTTGCTACAAACTACAGAAATTGTGTGACACAAGATGCCAATGAGATTACCTTAAGAGTAGGGCTGGCTCATTTCCCTTCAAATATAAGAAGCAGCACTCCCTTACCTGGTGTGGTGCTCCTGCTGGGATGAACACTGCATCTCCCAGGAACTGTACAATGGCCCAGCCCTGCACGCTATACTCCTCATACAGACGTTTCCTCAGGGTCTGGTCCAGATACCAGCTCTGGTCATGAATTGGGTCATGGTCTGGCGGGTTATCTTGACCTTGCTCTTCGGACACCTAAGAAAGAAGTCACATAAAATCAAACCTATATACATTAATGATTTTATTTCTGTATTAATTTTCATTTTAAATTAAAATAACCAACCTCTACATAATTCTGTCAGTGGTCAATACTAATCCTTGCATTGGATAACATAATAACATAACGTTATTATGTCATCGAGATGGCCTCAAAATGCTTCATGGGATTTACTCTAAAGTACAGTAACCATGAGCACCAGTGGCAGCTAATTTTGCACACAGCAATGTCCCGCAGATAATAATAATAATCCTTGCATTTGATTAGCACCTTATCACGTCGTTGAGATGGCTCAAAGCGCTTCACAAAATATACTGCAGAGTGAATTGATTGTATATTTGTGGGTCAAACACGGCAGCCAATTGTGTTTTTCTTTCCAGATAGCTATGAAGTGAAAACCAGTGAAATCCATTTACCTTTCTAAGCAGCTCTCGGATCTTCTCAGCATCCTTCGCTGCATAGATGTGCCAGAGTGCACCAGGCTTTTCTTTACTTTTGTGAATTCTTTTTTTTGTCACGTCATCTACATCACCTTCTTCAATGGTCTTCATCACCTCTGATTGCACAACACAATAAAACGGAATCACAATACACCATAAAGTAACAAGCGGCTGACAAATAAGGAGGCTAATATAGAAAGAGTATTCAGCTTGCGTAATATTGTCTACCCTTTCTTGGATATGTACACTTTCAACTAACAGTAAAGGCTGTTTTTTTATTGTTAGAACAGGAAAAGTTCTACAATTTCAACCTATATACAGTAATCCAGTTTGCTGAAAGAGACTATCAGAAAGCCCAACTCGAAAACAACCTTGATGTCAAAACATACCAGGAAGCTAAGAATTGGTTCAGCTGCTTTACATTTTATCTCCAATATTTTAGCTTTTCAGACTCATCACTGTTTAGTGTTTGCGATCCTGGGATTTCGGGAGCACTGTTACCATACAGGAATCCCGGGATCCTGTATGGTAATGGTGCTCCCAAAATCCTGGGATTGCAACCTCTATCCTAGTCGTTATATGCAACATACGTAATACTGACAAAGTTCCACCAAACAGCCGCTAACTGGTTAGAAGATGACACTGAAGACAAGCTAAACCATGAAAGTCAGAGTATTCATATAGTAATATAATGAACAGTATCACAGGCCTTTCTTATTCTCTTCAAATAATTACTCACAAAATGTAAATATATTGGATTATAGCAAAATACAGTAATAAAATATAATGTAGTAACAGTATAGAGATTTTTTTTTGAAAATCAGCAAGTTTTCCTCCCATTGGATATGAACTGTCAAATTCTCCAACTGAGAACAGTAGGAATGTCACTTACAGTAGTTACAAAGCTCAATTAATACTGCAATCAATATCAGGCATTTGAACCTGAGGGCTTTCATGAAGCAACTGATAACGGTTGGACGAGTGAACATAATTCTGTTCCTCTTAAAGCTTTAGTGTTGAGAACAGTCTTGGAAAATGAGATATTGTAATGGTTTTACAAAGACAAGCTTAAATAAATGGCAGAAAAGTTGTATCTTTTGGAATGATTAAATACAGCACCCTTACAGAAAGTGTGTAAAATCCATTGCAAAGAAACACAAGACATGAATTAAAACATTTCTAATCAGGTTGCCAATATTCTCACAAAGCCCTGTACTCGGGTCCTGACCCAACTGTCCAGCGCCTTGGGACGTCCTCCTGATGTGAAAGGCACTCTATAAATGGAATCTTGTTATTGTTGTACAGCAGAAATATTATCAAATTTATAGAGGGATTCAACAGAGATGTTATTGTATTCACAAAGTAGACAGCGAGTGACCATTCTCACATCCAAAGAGGGAAAAGAAGCTCATGACATTCTCACATCCAGAGGGAAAAATGGCTAAATACATTGAAGCATTATTTGTTTGTGCAGATTCAGAGGAAGGTTATTGCAAGATTTAAGACCATTTTGGGAGCACAAAGGATATTTATAATTTAATTTCTACCATGTGCCACCACCTGATCTCATCATGACTCCTGAGCAGTAATGAGGTAAGAGCTAAAGTAAGCAATGGCATGCCTCAAAAGCAATATGAAAATGCACAGACCTGTTACTCCACTGACATCTGTATCTGTGAATGAAGAAAATCATCATATAACTAAAAACAAATGGCTTTGGTTATCCAGAGTGATTTGACAAAGAATTAGTGCAACAATAAAAATAAACACTCTGCTCGAAGTGAATATCCATTTAAATCCAGTTATGATTCACTCTTTCCCACCCTCTCATTCACTCTATGGACACCATTCTGAGGGTGCATATTAGACAAGTGTATAACTTTCCAATCTATACACTTACTGTGGCCCCCAGTTTTGCTCATCAAATGCTCATATGGACACATAAGGCTTAAATCTGAAGGACTGCTAAGCCGGCAGCTATAAAGGTACCATTAAAAATCTAAATCAGTACTCTTTCTTCCTCCTCCCCACCAATTACAACATTCTTTTATGTATTCATATTGTGTGGATGCGTTTATAGGAAATAGTCAACTTGGTTGTAAACACACCGGGGTGAGTTTTTTTTAAAAAAAAAACCTAATCTTTTACTGCAGTGCTACAATAGAACTCCAATCCCAGTACAGCACATGGCCATGGCTATCCATCACCATTAAGCTACAAATCTTGTCCCATTCTCCATCACCATAGTATGCTCTACCTGTGGATGGGAAAACAATCAGTGTCATACAGACAAGGGGTCCTTGCCTGACCACCATGCTGCTTCTATTAGGCAACGTAAATTGCTACTGGATATGAAGTCATTTTCACATTGTACTCTCAAAGAAGTATAAATCATTGAAGAAAAATATTCTCCTGCAATGATACAAAAATTGCTTCATAAAATAGCACTGTCACAACTGTGAGCGGTAAGACAAACGCAATGATATAAATGAATACATATAGTAATGAATATTAAAGCAGGATCTTTTCTTCCATAGTACCACGTCACTGAGCAGTGAAAGTATAACAATTTCCCTGAGCTAGATGTTAATGCTGCTTTATTAAGCAGCTGTCACTGCTGGGAAAAATATTTGATTTGAGGAAAGCACTACGATCAATGAGATGGTGCTTTGGAGAATGGCTTTTGATGAGGGCTGGTGGCACTACGGCTTTTGTTTTAAGGATTCTGATAAAGAATGTACAACACACTTATTTTGTCTTCTTTGAAGTCAAATTGTATAGGACTTCTGATTTCCTGTCCAAATCTTAAAGACTGAACAACTCACACAAATTCCTCTAGCTTAAACGAAACTACCAAGTCCAGGACCCCACATTTGTGAGATTGTTTTGCAAATTCCTTTGTAAGTACAGTGAAACATGATTCTGAAAGTTAACCTTACTGCTTAATGCCATAACAAGATACGATCTTTCCAAACAGCATTTCCTATTCATTTCTACTCAAGGTTTTTACATCCAACTGTACTGATTATTCTGCATTAAAGTATTGCAGACATCCATGTCTAATCAAACAGCAGAAAAACATCCAAACCTTTGACAGCCTAGTGATAGCTTGTTTCATGAACATCTAATCTTTTATTTCATTTGGTTTTGAAGCATTTCCTGAACCCACATTCTCAAGTCTATTTTATCAAGATTAGAAGATTATACAACCAACTCAAAAAATTCCCAACTGCCCTGCATTGAGGATCAGTACAATTCTCCTCCCACCCAAATTGTAGAAAGCCCAAAGAAAGAATACTATATGCAGTAAACCTTGTAGTAAAATCACAAATCTTTGCAAATTTCAACTGTTTGGAGTTTGAAAAGGAGATTACCTCCAATTGCGACCTCCAAATGTTTTTTTTTGAAAGCAGATGATTTACCAGCGATTCTCTTTCTCATTTTCTGTCAGTTCAATTTGTACTTTTTTTTAAAATAAACATTTTGAGCACAAAATTTCTTTGTGAGAATGTTGTCGAGGACAAGACAGCAACAAAACAGTCAAGTACTCAGCCATTTTATGAGGGTCCAACTAGCATATTGCTGAAGTACTCATTTCTGTCACCAGGGGTCCTCAGGGAGCTATATATGTTGTTCCTAATCACATTGAAACATGTCAACACATATTATGGGTGATTTTGAGCGTTTTTATATACAAACATGGCAGCCATTTGCACCAATAAGGTTCCTTAAACAACCAATTGATAAATGAACAATTAATCTGGAGGAGTGTTTAACAGGACACAAGGAGAAACTCCTTTTCAAATAGGATCATGAAATACTTTTAATTTCCCCATGAGGTCAAACAGACAGGACCTTGATTTAACATCTCACCTACAAGGCTGGAACCTTGGATAATGCAGCACACCCCCAGAATGGATTTCAATCCACAATTATGCAATCCATAAATGGGGGTGCCACCTAGTGGACCAAGCTAACATGCTTAGGTATCAGAAATGTTGCTACAGCATGTTCCCCTTTTCCCACACAAACCCCATAGCTTTCAAGCTATTTTACGCAGCCTGATTCCCCCCATTCTCTGAAATATGCAATAATTTCTGCTCGTACTTCCATCAGTTATTTCAATATATAATTGCATATTGACCAAAGGGTCTTTCAAACCACTTATGTTCATCTTGAATTTTTACTGGAAAGGAAGTTATTTTTCAATGTTATGGTTACCATACATAGTACAAAATACCTCACTTGTGGTGGGAGTCACAGTAGTTATTTCACAAGCATGTGAAAGACCACCCATAATTTACAAATGTCATCTGTCCACTCATCACACAAGTGAGAGAACCCAATCACATCACTATGACACAAATATATGCTGTTTATTCTGTGGGCCAGCATCACCTCTCATGCAAGACTTCAGTAAACCCATTGAAGTGATGATTGTGATTTTGCATATGTGAAACAGTCCTTGGTTCAGTGAAACCACCGTTCACATTCATAGAATAAAGGAAGATATTGCCACCAGCGGGAAAACTAACATGTACAATCAGTACGGTTTACCATCTTCATGATTGTTTTCTCCTATTGGTACGCCAACGTAAACCATCACGTTAACTGCATCAGACACATCTAGATGGAGATTGGTTGTTCCAACTTTTCGATCTTCTGTTGTAATCAAACCTGAAGAAAGACAATAAAGCTGCAATTGTATCTCAAAAAAAGTTTAATAATGACATCCAGCAAACCTTTGCCTTTTTTTGGTCGGTCAGGTATCTGACACATGCGGAAATCCATCACCATGCTTACAAGTATCCAAACCAAATTTGCCAAACTGTTTTTCCTTAGGTTAAGAGACCCAAGTATATTTATTAATTCACTCTAACTGAACCATTCTAAGCAAAGCTAAATTAAACACCATTTATAGTAAATATTTCCAATAATTGGTGTCAGGAATATAGAATATTAAATTTTATCCTGAATTGCTGTCTTTAGAAGGGAACAGGTGGGTGACATTGTGCTGATAATATGAAAAAATGATGCAAGCAGTAGGTTCTGCTTGTATCAGCAACATGTATATAAGTGCAAGGCTGAGATCAGCAATTGTACATTCTAGGAATAAACGGAAACACTTTTGATTCACTGAAACGTCAATCTTGGATCCACGTTTGTATGTAATGCACAAACACCACAGTTTTAAAGCAAACTTCAAATGAACAGGAGTCACATTTGACATGCCTGTGCCAAGACAGATTTTTTGAAGAAACTTTAGATACTTACCATAGGCATTGTACATCTTTGGTCCCAGATCAGGACGTACAAAGTAGTTTGGTAGCCTTGAGGCCAGATTTAACCTCCCATTTCTTTTTGTGTATTCAGGTAGGGGGAGATTGTTCATCAAGTCATCAAACCTGGAAAACAGAAAATACCAAGAGAATGGTTTCCTGGGAGCCTGCAGCTTACAAAGCATGAAGAGCTAGATACAGAAATGTCGATTTTACTACCTGGTTGGCATCATGTCCCTGAAGTCTTCACCTGGAGGCCAGTCTTTGAGTTTCAAAACCATTGGCTGTCCTTCTTCAGACTTCAAACGTTCTATTTCAAGACCATAGCAGAATTTTAAATAGTCACTACTTTCAGCAGTTTTATTTTTCTTGTACTTTTTGAAATTAAGTTTAGTTAGGGTTTTAAGAAACGGCTTCTTTCTTACTGCCACCAAGATTAGTCAGTTAAGACTTTAACGCAATACCTGATTCACAGGTAATTGACTCATAGTCCTCATAAATACTTGTTCCCAAGCTGCCTATTCCAGCCATCAGTGGCTGTTTTAACATCATGAGACCGAACACATTTAAGAATTCAAAATCAAAGCACAATCACCCATCGATCGAAATATTACCAATAAAAAGCCCATTAACAACGAAGGGCTTTGTAGCTGAAAAACAAATATGCAGCCCCAAATAGCTTTAACTTAGCTTTGAAAACTCACTCCTTTATTCTCCTCTTACCTCCCCCCTCCCCATCATCACCTTGTGATCTTTGACTGAACTTCAAAGTCTGCATTGTTAACATCCTCTGAAAGGAAATTGAATTTCACAAGAAAGGGTCACAGGAAATCTACAAATACAACATGATGAGAATAGTTAAAACTCTGTACTTACTTGAAATTACTTCAAAGCCATCCCAAAAGTCCCGGACTTTAACATCAGAGATGATAGCGCAATTTCTGCAATTGACCAAATCAACCTCCTGGTCCCCAAATTCTCGGCTGAAAGCTTCCGGTTTCCAAAGCGCTGTGTTCAGCTTCTTATGGACACCAGAGACCAATACGGGCTAAAAACATGCAAGAGAAACGATCGAGTTTGCAATTCATGTACCCTTGATTATATATTTTTTTGATGATGTTTCTGGCTGGAATTGTTCCCTTAAGAATACCAGGCATATTCTTGCATCTGGACACATGGTCAGTATCATTGATAAAATCATCAAAGCACGAGTCTAGGTATCTGAACTACTCATGTATAGTTTGGATATGAAACTGGTCTGGCCAACTTTGAAATTATTTAAACTTCGGAGAACTTTGCAATGATTGCAGTACAATAATTCAAATGAAATTGTGAAGTGATTTAATGGTAAAACTGAATTTTTCCTGGTCACAAAATAAACATGACATGCATGAGGTGACTAATATTAATTACATCATTCATAAAAGGTGGGGGTTTTGCTCCCATTTGTAAGATGCACAATTATATGCTTTGTGTGGCATTTGAACACACAATGGATTAACAAGGAGCTCACAAAACTGCAATTTCAGGCTAATGGAACCTCTCTACTCAACTCCAGACTCCCACGACCATAATTTTTTGCTGAGCTAGAATCTTTATTAACGCCTCTGCATGTGCACCACATACACTCAGTGTTTGTGCTGTGTACCTGTCCCTGTTTCCAGCATTCCCTGAAGATCTTCCAGTTGTTCTTGTTGCTGGGGTCCTGCAGGCAGAGCAGACGGCCATCACAGAGCCAGCAGTGTTGGGTATTGGGGTCCAGAACGCTCATCTCCATCACACCTTGCTTCTTGCTCTCTCTCAGTGGCTCTGTGGAGTTCCCACTCCGCTTTGCTGTGTCACTAGACATTTTGTTCTCTACCACTGACGCAATTATATGATCCAGGAAGTTTGGTAGGCCACCCTTGCCTTTATCAGCCTGTGAAAGAGCAGGTTATATAATTAAGGGTACCAGCAATAAAACTAAAAGATTGAGATACAAGTACAGTTGTTGTGAAGTTAAGAAAGATTCCAGAGCTATACGGTTCTATATAAATCAATCTTGAGCACATCTGTGTTATATAAGAACTAGATAATGATCAGCTCTAACCAAAGTGCTGTTATAGAACAAAAAAAACAGAAAGAGGTCATTCAGCCCATCAAACTTGCTCCACCTAATTATTTGATCCAGTCAGATCTTTTAATCCTAATCTCACACCCCCCTTTGCCATACTGCTTAATACCTCCACTACCCAAGCACCTGTCTATTTCTCTTGGAAACATTTCCACTGATCTCTCCTCTACAGCTTTATGGGGCAGAAGATTTCACATTTGACAATCCTGTGTGTGAAAAAATGCTTCCTGACCTCAGCTCTCACTGTCTTCGTTCTAATTTTAAGGCTATGCTCCCTTGTAATGGGATTCACATTACCTGTGAATTCCTTTTATTGTTTTAAATACTTAACATCCTCTCCTCCAAGAAACACAACCAGTCTACCCAGATTCTCAGTAAACCTCCCCTGATCTTTAGTGGCACAAGCATTGCCGCGTACACCACTCTCAACATCCTGTGAGTAGTCATCGACAAAAAGACCAGCCACATCAACACTGTGGTTACAAGAGCTGCACGGAGGCTAAGGTCTCTTGTGTTGTGTGGTTCACCTCCTAATGCCTCAAACCTTCCACTACCCACAAGGTGCAAGTCAGGTACTCACCATTCACTTGGATAATCCAGCCTCAACAAGGTTGGTATCATGCAGCCTGGCCATTCAGGTCAGTCCACTCCCTTTCCCACAGACGACAGTGGGGCTACTCTCTCAGCATGCACTATAACAACTCACTAACCATGTTTTAAGAGCAATTTCCATCCTTGTAATCTCCACAACGACAACAATAAAATGACATTTGTATAGTGCCTTTCACGTCAGGAGGACGTCCCAAGGAACTGGACAGTCATTGTTTCGGATCCAATCTGGGGGTCGGGATTGGGAGGGTGGAGGGCGGGGGGGAAGGAAAGTGATTGAAAGTACGGTTGAAGAGGAGGGTCTTGAGATGGGTCTTGAGGGAGGCAAGGGAGGGGGCGAGGCGGAGTGACTGCAGGATGGAGTTCCAGAGAATGGAGGCAGAGTGCACTCCGCCAATAGTGGGGCAGCGAAGTGGGGGACAAGAAGCAGGCCGGAGCCAGCTGAGCAGATGGAAAGGGCAGGTTGGCAGGGAGGTAGGAGGTCACATAAGTAGGAAAGCACAAGGTCATGGAGGGCTTTGAAGGCGAGGACCAGGATCTTGAATCTTCTGTGAGATGGGAGGCCAGTGGAGTCGAGCGAGCACGGGGGTGATAGGGCCTGGTGTGGTAAAGGACATTGGCTCGAGTTCTGGATGATCTGCAACCTATGGAGGGAGGAGTTGGGGAGGCTGACAAGCAGGGAGTTTGAATAGTCAAGCCTGGATGTTATGAATGCGTGTTTGAGGGTTACAGTGGCCTCCGGTGTGAGACACTGGCGGAGCTGGGCGATGTTGTGGAGGTGGGGGAAGGCCGAGCAGGTTGTGGCACGGATGTGGGGTAGAAAGGATAGTTGAGGGTCAAACAAAACACCAAGGTTCCGGACTGGCTTAGTAAGGTGGAGTGGGAATCCTTGGATGTTGATGCTCTCAGTGCCTGAGGTGTCAACCCAGGACAAGAGCAGCAGCATCATAGCAATTCCAAGTCACACACCATCCTGATTTGGACATTCATCGCCACTCCATTAACGCTGTGCCAAAAACCTGGAATTCTATATGAAACAACATTATGGGAGCACGATCGCTAAAAGGCCTCCAATGGTTTAAAGAGAAAGAACTACGAATGGGCAATAAATCCTAACAAAATGCCCATATCACCTACATCCCAAAATGGAATATATAAAAAATATATCTTTTAGTCCACATCTGGCTTGTTCAAAGTAGTTTCATTTCCCTTCCACACAAATCTTGTATTCTTCTACCCACAGCACGGAAACAGCCCTGATCAAAGTCACAAATGACATTCTGTCCATCTGCGACCAGGGTTCTCTCTGCCTCTTTGTCCTCTTCAACGTTTCTTGACACTGTCGACCATTCTATTCTCCTCCACTACCTCGCCTCTCAACTTCATGGACCTGCGCTTGCTTGGTTCAAATGCTACCTCTCCCAAGGTCTCCACGAACAGCTTCTCCTCCAGCCCCCGCATCCCCCAGGGCTCTGTCGTTGATGCCCTCCTTTTCAACATTTGAATGCTTCCTCTTGGTGACATCAACCGTAGACATGAGATCAACTTCCACATGTATGCAGATGATACCCAACTGTACCTCTCCACTTCCACCCTCGACTCCAGGACCACTGCTGTTCTCACAGGCTGCCTTCGGACATCAAGTACTGGATGAGAGCTAGCTTTATCCAGTTGAATGTCAACAAGAACAAAGCCCCCCTGCTTGGCTCCTAGTCAAGAAGCTTAACCAGACCTGCCACATCAACACTGTGGTTACAGAGCCTCCATACCTCCTGACTCTGACAGCATCACCTTTCATGGATGCACTCTACACCTCATGGAGCCATTACGGAACCCATTCATCCTGTTCGACCCTCAACTGTCCTTTACCACCCCCCTCATCAGTGCCATGACCCGCTTCACCTCCTCAACATTGCTCGACTCTGCCACTGTCTCTCTGCCGAGAACTTCATCCACGCATTCATCACATCCAGGCTCGACTACCCAAACTCCTGCTTGTCGGCCTCCCCAACTCCTCCCTCCACAGGCAGCAAATCATCCAGAACTCTGCAGCCCGTGTCCTCTCCCACACCAGGCTCCGCAAGCCTATCACCCCCATCGTCGCCCTGCTCCACTGGCTCCCCATCACTCAGAGGATATAGTTCAAGATCCTGGTCCTCACCTTCAAAGCCCTCCACGGCCTTGCTCCCCTCTACACCTGTGACTTCATAACGCCCTAATCTGTCCACTCCCTCAGCTCAGTGGGCTCCGGCCTGCTTTACGTCCCTTGCCATGCCCGCCCCACCATTGGTGTGCAGGCCTTCAGTCTCTTTGTCCCCACCCTCTGGAACTCCAAACCACAGTCCCTCTGCCTCGATCCCTCCCTTGCCTCCTTCCAGCACCTTTTTCGACCGTGCCTTCAGTCACCCTCCTACCACTACCCTCCACCCCTCCTGATTCCAATCACCAGCTCGGATGCAGATCCAGCAACTTACGATATCCTCCTGATGTGAAAGGTGCTTTACCAATGTAATTTGTTTTTGTTCTACTTCCTACTAAGTCAAGAGTTTGCCAACTTTTTTAAAAAAAAGCATTTTAACAGCACATGCATTTACAACATGAGGTAGCAGTCAACTAGTGTGAAGTGGTTAGCTTGCATTCATGTCCCAATATCCTTTTCTGGTATTTCGACATCAAGAACTTCTTCCTATCTATCCTACTGATTGTCTCCTTCACGTAAAAAGACTCGATCATGTCCCTTGATAACTTTTGTCAAATGAGAATAAATTTAACTCTTTCAGTACATTAGCTGAAAATGCAGTTCCACTTTTGTCCTCTTTTTCAAACCCTTTCCTTGGCCTGTCATTTTGTAAGTAGGAAGACAAAAACTGGATAGTGCTCCACATGCAATCTCACTAAAATATTAGTGCCCAAATTGTCTCTTTAGACTTTCGGTCTATGAACTTTATTACACTGGTACATTCTATAATTTTATTTACCACCCACCTCCCCTGCAATTGCTGACATTTCTTTTTAAAATTTACTTGCTGTTTATAGCCTTCAAAGGAAAAAGATAAACACAGGAGTACACATGTTATAATAATGGATGATTTATATGAATTACAGGATATAGCACTGAAACTTTCATAAACATCACTTTACTTAAATTACCTTTGATACAGGTGTAAAAACTGATGGAAATGGCAGAGTGGTGTCCGCAGTCCCTCGTTGTAACTTTCCTGGGGCAGAGTTTAGTAGATCTCTAAGGCTTGAACCTTCTATCTTGGTGGTAGAGGGGCCTCCTGATAAGAGGCTGCTGAAGGGCTCTAAGATAGAAGGAGGTTTGGACAAAATATTGAATGAGTCCAGTGCCAAGGGAGGCCTTGATTCTTGACTTTGGCTCAGGACAGATCTTAATGAGAAACTATTGCTTTCTGTGAAGAAAGAAAAGATGAAATGTTATACTGGTAGAACTAAAACCAGTGTGTATCAGAGAAAGCAGCAATCATCAGCTTTACCTATTACTAGTTTATGGCAAACAATGTACTCACAAGAAATGAAAGTTACAATAATAACATCTTACATGCTCGGTTCCCTGACACATTGCATGTTGCCAGCGAGTATACGAAAATCTGATTTGATTGCACATTACAGATATGTATAATATGTACACAAATTGTACAGTACAGGAATTATGTACAGTAAATTCTCACCCATGTCATCCTCATCCACCACCTCTCTTCCCTCATCCACTTTAGTGGGACCACACTAGCCCGGTTCAAGTCCTACCTATCAAACCGCCTTCATTTTTGTCTCTTCAAACAGTTTCTCCTCCCACCCCCGCCAGTCATCTGTAGCATATCCCAAGGCTCGCATCCTTGGCCCTCTTCCTTCATCTATATGCTCCTTCTTGGCGACATCATCTAGATTTGGGGTAAACTTCCACATGTATATGGACGACACACAAATCTACTTCTCCTCCTCCAGGTCTGCCGATGTTCTGTCAGCTTGTCTGGCATACATCAGGGCCTGGATGAGGCAAACTTCTTACAACTAAATGTTGACAAGACGGAAGCCAAGCTCTCGTCAACGTCTTGTATCCTGTGGCTCTGACCTCCTCGACCTCCCCGGCCTATCGTTCAGACTCATTGAACCGTTGTGCAACCTTGGCGTCAGATTCGACCCTCAGCTCTCCTTTTTTCCCCACATCTGGTCCCTGACCAAGACTGCCTTCCTCCACCTCACTGCCCGCACCTTACACCAGACACAGCTGAACCACTCGTCTATTCGTTCGTCACCTCCCGACTTGACTTTTCAAATGCCCCCTTTGCCCTACCTAGCTCCACCATACTCCAAATCCAGGTGTTTCAAAACTCCGCCTCCCGCATACTCAAACACACTAATCTCCGTCACACCAGTTCTAGCCAGGCTCCACTGGCTCCCTATCGCTGAACGAATCGATTTAAATTTCCTCACACTTGTTTTCAAATCCCTTCTTGCCCTGGCACCTCCCTAATCTCTGATCTACTTAATCCCCCAACCCACTACCCGCTGCCTCCGCTCGACTGCTTCTGGCCTTCTGCATGTCCCTCGTGACTTCCTTTCCACCATTGGTGGCTGCGCTTCCAGCCACTATGACCTTGAAACTCTGGAACACTCTTCCTCTATCCTTCCGCCTTGCCCCTTCCTTCCCCAACTTCAGATTGCACCTGAAAACCTTCCTCTTTGACCCCTGCTCGACGTCATGCTCCGCCACTGTCAAGCGCTACCCTGTGCGAGTAGCGCTATAGAAATGCAAGTTGTTGTCAGGTAAACTCCAGACAACTCAATCCTGCTTTAACTCGTCATGACCATTTAAATCATCATGCAGTCTAATAAGGGACATTGCTTTACTGTTCACTCTGTTTAACATGTAACTCATCACATTGTAGAAATTCTTGCAAAGGTTTGTCACCACTGATCTAAAAAGTAACCTTACCTTTCTTTTCCTCCTTTGCTTTCTGAGTGGCCAGGTCTGCCAACCAGTGTAATGCAGATGTGGTGTCTGCTGAACTCAGTGTGCCATCCTTCAAGCTGGAAGTGGTGGAGACCGTATCATCATCAGTGGTAAAGCTTACGTTATTGATACTACTCCCACTCATGTTCACGTTACAGTCTTCACCAGTCTCACCGCTGCTGTCTGCTGGCTCTGGCTTCACCTCCAGTGTACTGCCACTTGGGTGAGACAGATTCATGGAGCCTGCGCTGCTTATAGAGCCTTCGCTTGCTGCAATCGTGCTAGTGGGATTTGGAAGACAACTTGAGAGCTGAAATAACCAAGAATTTCAGATGTAACTAGGCCTATTATACTGCTTTATAAAATAATAAAATGAGTGTACAGCAGAACACTTGTAATTCACACAATTATAGATGTCTATGAGATGCCTAAAAGGATGGAGAAAGCAAACAAGAATACATAAAGACAGCATACAAAGGATAAGTCAACAATACAATACAAAATTACATTTGTAAAGCGCCTTTCACGCCGGGTGGAAGTCCCACGGGGCTGAACAGTCAGGGATTAGGACCCGAGTGGAGGGAGGAGGGGGTTGGGATCAGGGAGGGTGGAGGGCGGGGGTAGGAGCGTGGTCGAAGACACGGTCGAAGAGGAGGGTCTTGAGGCATGCCTTGAAAGGAGACCAGGGATGGAGCAAGGTGAAGGGTTGAGTGATGGAGTTCCACAGAGTGGGGGCAGAGAGGTTGAAGGCCCGACCGCCGATGGTGTAACGGGATGGGTGGGGGATATGGTACAGCTCAGAGCCTGCTGAGCGGAGGGAGCAGTTTTATTGATAAGGAGTTAGCAGGTCAGAGAGGTAGGAGAGGGCAAGGCCAGGGATGAGGACGAGAATTTTGGCCAGGGTGAGGATGTGAATTTTGAACTCAATCCTCTAAGGGGGAGCTAGTGGAGCCGGATGAGGGTGGATGTGATGGAGCCTGGTGTGGGATAGGACACGAGCTGCAGAGTTCTGGATGTTCTGCAGCTCGTGGGGAGGGGAAAAAGAGTTGGGGAGGCCGACAAGGAGGGAGTTTCCGTAGTCATGCCTCGAGTTGACAAATGCGTGTATGAGGGTTTCGTCAGCCTGAGGGGTGAAACAGTGGCAGAGTTGGGCATTGTTGAGGAGGTGGGGGAAGGCAAAGAAGGTCATGGCACGGATGTGGGGGAGAAAAGACAGTTGAGGATCGAACAAGACTCCCAGGTTCCTGACTGGCTTGGTGAGGTGGAGTGTGCATCCGTGGATGCTGGTACTGCCAGTGCCTGAGGTACGGAGGCAATGGCGCAAGCCAATCAGGAAAGCCAACAGTAGGCAGGAAGGGTGGTTTAGAACATTTAAATAGTAACTTGGTGTAATAAGAAGATTGCTATCTTGGAAAGATGAGATCAAATGGTTAAAAGTTGACTTCTGCAGCCAAACCTCGTAGCAAAGTCAAAACGCATCACACTTATCAAACATAATTATGAACAACAAATTTCAATTTCATGTAAATATAGCACCTCTTCTTGCATGGAGGTCTGAATAGTGGTTTCCATAAGTGAAGGCATGTTTAGTAGAGTAACATACCTGCGATACTCCATTTGGTGCTGCTGGTTTTGGCAGTGGCTTGAGCTGTTTGCTAATGCATGGGCAGTTCGCTTTAATACCCCACTTGCCTCTTGTTGCATGGACCATATCTCCAATATCATATAGAGCTGTTGAAAGAGACAAAAGTATTCAGAAATATACATACGCACACACACATACATATGTAGAGTTCAGTTGTTATGTAATCTGGGAATATGAGGAAACTGGAAAAATTATATTGTTTAAAACTCAGATTATCGTGGAGTCCTGTAGCTCAGTGGTTAGAGCACTCGCCTTGCAAGCGAGACACCTGGGTTCAATTCCAGGCAGGGCGAAACCTTGGGCAAGTTCCTTACTCCACACAGAGCCTAATAATGATCCCTCAAAAAAAAACAATAATAAATTGGTCGTTTTCAATCTACAACTGTTTGTAAGACACTGCTGTGCGCAATTAGCTGCCGCGTTTCACCCACAAATATAGTCAATTCACTTTACAGTATATTCTGTGAAGTACTTTGAGACGTCGAGAAGACGTGAAAAGCGCTATAGCAAATGCAAGGATTATTATTATTATTACATACAGAAGCATCCTGCATAACATACTCCAGATTCACAATAAACAAACAATAAGTTCATTGAGTGTAGGATTTAAAAAAACTCTTGGGAAAAATGCAAGTCACAGAAACTGAATATTGTAACCGTAAGCTGTCCTAAGCAAAATGAAAATCCATCACCTATGTAACATGGCAAAAATTTACAAAGAATGTACAGAAACAGGTCAATCAGCCCAACCAGTCCTTGCCGATATTTATAACCCACGAGTCTCCACCCACTGCTACTCCCTCCCATACCCTTCTGCGGGGAATGTGACGCAGGCCCCTGCAATTTCATACAATGATGAATAGGGGACACAGAAGATCATACACTAACCAGTGCTGGGAATAATTTGAGTTGGCATTAGATTCTCTGGCTCATGGGCCTGTCCTTTAGCACATTTCAGCCAGGAGAATACCTCATCTTCAGAATTCCCATCATCCACTTAAAAAATAGAAAGAACATAAATTAGACATAATCCAAAGGATAGATAAACAATGATAAACAATCATTATGTGCTTGGACTTTAAAATAATTTCAGAAGATGGTTTATGCCTTTGAGCTTCTTAATATTACTGACAAAGGGAGTTGAATGATTAATTATACAGTACTCACTGAAAAATACCTTCGCTTTGTCAATGCAAGTATTATTGCCATTCCCTTTAATGCATCGTATTAGTCCCCTCCCGGTCACATCTTTGCCTTACCTATTGGTGGCCGACTCTTCCTCATCCTGTAGCAGTCGAGGCAGACACCAAAGCCACATTTGCGGCAAACCCAATGGATATTAAAGAGTGTTGTTTCGCACGCATCACACATTTCTCGTATACCACGTACAGCACGTTTCCATGCCAGTTGTTCTTAGGGGAAAAAAATAAAAATACATTTAATCCCAAGTGATGGAAAACTATTACAGATCATAATGTACAAGGCGCTACTGAAACATACCTACAGTATGGAGGATTGTTGCACTGAGACTACTAGAAAAAACATGAACTGTCCGTTTATCATCTTATTTCCTTCAGTATGTTTGACAGATGCTCAACTCTCCCATTGATCTGGCTGAATCCAGCATCCGCTCAGCAGGAATAGCTTTGGTGAGCTCTCAATTGCCACCTTTATGGAATGTCTAATCTGGACCCTGCAGGTCCTTCGCTGCACCAGAGAACACACAAAATCTCGGTCTACAAATCTGGAGTATTCCCTGACTCCCAATTTGTTTAAAGCCATAACCTTCAACTCAGATTAGCTACCACTGTGTCAATCTACCAGATCCAATTTTCAATGAATCAGAGTTGCTTTCTGTGAGGAAACTGCAGGACACATCGCTCGGTCCTAGGGAAGCTCCGACTATCTGTCCAGACAGTGAATCACAAAACATTGCCTCTCAATTCTGCTCTCTCACTCTTTTTGTTTCTTTCTCAACCGCGCTCCAGCCCTTTCTCTCTCTCTCTCAATCACTCTCACCCTTACTCTCTCTCTCAACCGCGCTCCCCCCTCTCTCTCTCTCAATCACTCTCACCCTCACTCTCTCTCTCAACCGCTCTCCCCCACCCTCTCTCTCTCTCAATCACTCTCACCCTCACTCTCAACCGCTCTCTCCCCCTCCCTCTCTCTCTCAATCACTCTCACTCTCAACCGCACTCCCCCTCTCTCTCTCAATCACTCTCACCCTCACTCTCAACCGCTCTCCCCCCCTCTCAATCACTTTCACCCTCTCTCTCTCAACCGCTCTCCCCCCCACCCTCTCTCTCTCAATCACTCTCACCCGCTCTCCCCCCCCCCTCTCAATCACACTCACCCTCACTCTCTCTCTCAACCGCTCTCCCCCACCTTCTCTCTCTCTCAATCACTCTCACCCTCACTCTCTCTCTCAAACGCTCTCCCCCACTTTCTCTCTCTCTCAATCATTCTCACCCTCACTCTCAACCGCTCTCCCCCCCTCCCTCTCTCTCAATCGCCCTCACCCTCTCTCTCTCAATCGCCCTCTCTCTCTCGGTCACCCTCACCCTCTCCCGATCGCCCTCACAATCTCTCGCTCTCTCATACAATCGCCCTCACCCTCTCTCATACAATCGCCCTCACCCTCTCTCATACAATCGCCCTCACCCTCTCTCATACAATCGCCCTCACCCTCTCTCATACAATCGCCCTCACCCTCTCTCATACAATCGCCCTCACCCTCTCTCATACAATCGCCCTCACCCTCTCTCATACAATCGCCCTCACCCTCTCTCATACAATCGCCCTCACCCTCTCTCATACAATCGCCCTCACCCTCTCTCATACAATCGCCCTCACCCTCTCTCATACAATCGCCCTCACCCTCTCTCATACAATCGCCCTCACCCTCTCTCATACAATCGCCCTCACCCTCTCTCATACAATCGCCCTCACCCTCTCTCATACAATCGCCCTCACCCTCTCTCAATATCGCCCTCACCCTCTCTCAATATCGCCCTCACCCTCTCTCAATATCGCTCTCACCCTCTCTCAATGTCGCTCTCACCCTCTCTCAATGTCGCCCTCACCCTCTCTCAATGTCGCCCTCACCCTCTCTCAATGTCGCCCTCACCCTCTCTCATACAATCGCCCTCACCCCTCTCTCATACAATCGCCCTCACCCTCTCTCATACAATCGCCCTCACCCTCTCTCATACAATCGCCCTCACCCTCTCTCATACAATCGCCCTCACCCTCTCTCATACAATCGCCCTCACCCTCTCTCATACAATCGCCCTCACCCTCTCTCATACAATCGCCCTCACCCTCTCTCATACAATCGCCCTCACCCTCTCTCATACAATCGCCCTCACCCTCTCTCATACAATCGCCCTCACCCTCTCTCATACAATCGCCCTCACCCTCTCTCAATATCGCCCTCACCCTCTCTCAATATCGCCCTCACCCTCTCTCAATATCGCCCTCACCCTCTCTCAATGTCGCCCTCACCCTCTCTCAATATCGCCCTCACCCTCTCTCATACAATCGCCCTCACCCTCTCTCATACAATCGCCCTCACCCTCTCTCATACAATCGCCCTCACCCTCTCTCATACAATCGCCCTCACCCTCTCTCATACAATCGCCCTCACCCTCTCTCATACAATCGCCCTCACCCTCTCTCATACAATCGCCCTCACCCTCTCTCATACAATCGCCCTCACCCTCTCTCATACAATCGCCCTCACCCTCTCTCATACAATCGCCCTCACCCTCTCTCATACAATCGCCCTCACCCTCTCTCATACAATCGCCCTCACCCTCTCTCATACAATCGCCCTCACCCTCTCTCTCAATCGCCCTCACCCTCTCTCTCAATATCGCCCTCACCCTCTCTCTCAATATCGCCCTCACCCTCTCTCTCAATATCGCCCTCACCCTCTCTCTCAATATCGCCCTCACCCTCTCTCAATATCGCCCTCACCCTCTCTCAATATCGCCCTCACCCTCTCTCAATATCGCCCTCACCCTCTCTCAATATCGCCCTCACCCTCTCTCAATATCGCCCTCACCCTCTCTCAATATCGCCCTCACCCTCTCTCAATCGCCCTCACCCTCTCTCAATCGCCCTCACCCTCTCTCAATCGCCCTCACCCTCTCTCAATCGCCCTCACCCTCTCTCAATCGCCCTCACCCTCTCTCAATCGCCCTCACCCTCGCTCTCTCTCACTCAATCGCCCTCACCCTCTCTCGTTCTCTCTCAATCGCCCTCATCCTCTCTCTTGCTCTCAATCGTCCCCACCCTCAGTTGCCTCCACCCCCAGTCACCCCCACCCTCAATCGCCCTCTCTCTCAATCACGCTCACTCTCTCAATCGCCCTCACCCCCTCCTCACTCAATCACCCTCACTCCCCTCTCTCTCAATCGCCCTCACTCCCCTCTCTCTCAATCGCCCTCACCCCCCTCTCTCTCAATCGCCCTCACCCCCCCTCTCTCTCAATCGCCCTCACCCCCCCTCTCTCTCACACAATTGCACTCATCCTCTCTTTCTCTGTCTCTCTCAATCGCTCTCTCAATTGCCCTCACCTTCTTTGTCTCATACAATCGCCCTCACTCGCTCTCTCTCAATCGCCCTCACCCTCCCTATCTCTCTCGCTCTCTCTATCGCCCTCACCCTCAATCGCCCTCACCCTCTCTCTCAATCACCCCCACCCTCTCTCTCTCAATTGCCCTCACTCTCGCTGTCAATCACGCTAACCCTCTCTCTCTCAATCACTCTCTCTCAATCACCCTCACCCCTTCTCTCAACTGCCCTCACACACTCTCTCTCTCGCCCTCACCCTCTCTTTCTCTCGCCCTCACCCTCTCTTTCTCTCGCCCTCACCCTCTCTTTCTCTCGCCCTCACCCTCTCTTTCTCTCGCCCTCACCCTCTCTTTCTCTCTCTCGCCCTCACCCTCTCTTTCTCTCTCTCGCCCTCACCCTCTCTTTCTCTCTCTCGCCCTCACCCTCTCTTTCTCTCTCTCGCCCTCGCCTCTCTTTCTCTCTCTCGCCCTCGCCTCTCTTTCTCTCTCAATCGCTCTCGCCTCTCGCTCTCTCAATCGCTCTCGCCTCTCGCTCTCTCAATCGCTCTCGCCTCTCGCTCTCTCAATCGCTCTCGCCTCTCGCTCTCTCAATCGCTCTCGCCTCTCGCTCTCGCCTCTCGCTCTCGCCTCTCGCTCTCTCAATCGCTCTCGCCTCTCGCTCTCTCAATCGCTCTCGCCTCTCGCTCTCTCAATCGCTCTCGCCTCTCGCTCTCTCAATCGCTCTCGCCTCTCGCTCTCTCAATCGCTCTCGCCTCTCGCTCTCTCAATCGCTCTCGCCTCTCGCTCTCTCAATCGCTCTCGCCTCTCGCTCTCTCAATCGCTCTCGCCTCTCGCTCTCTCAATCGCTCTCGCCTCTCGCTCTCTCAATCGCTCTCGCCTCTCGCTCTCTCAATCGCTCTCGCCTCTCGCTCTCTCAATCGCTCTCGCCTCTCGCTCTCTCAATCGCTCTCGCCTCTCGCTCTCTCAATCGCTCTCGCCTCTCGCTCTCTCAATCGCTCTCGCCTCTCGCTCTCTCAATCGCTCTCGCCTCTCGCTCTCTCAATCGCTCTCGCCTCTCGCTCTCTCAATCGCTCTCGCCTCTCGCTCTCTCAATCGCTCTCGCCTCTCGCTCTCTCAATCGCTCTCGCCTCTCGCTCTCTCAATCGCTCTCGCCTCTCGCTCTCTCAATCGCTCTCGCCTCTCGCTCTCTCAATCGCTCTCGCCTCTCGCTCTCTCAATCGCTCTCGCCTCTCGCTCTCTCAATCGCTCTCGCCTCTCGCTCTCTCAATCGCTCTCGCCTCTCGCTCTCTCAATCGCTCTCGCCTCTCGCTCTCTCAATCGCTCTCGCCTCTCGCTCTCTCAATCGCTCTCGCCTCTCGCTCTCTCAATCGCTCTCGCCTCTCGCTCTCTCAATCGCTCTCGCCTCTCGCTCTCTCAATCGCTCTCGCCTCTCGCTCTCTCAATCGCTCTCGCCTCTCGCTCTCTCAATCGCTCTCGCCTCTCGCTCTCTCAATCGCTCTCGCCTCTCGCTCTCTCAATCGCTCTCGCCTCTCGCTCTCTCAATCGCTCTCGCCTCTCTCTCTCTCAATCGCTCTCGCCTCTCTGCTCTCTCAATCGCTCTCGCCTCTCTCTCTCTCAATCGCTCTCGCCTCTCTCTCTCTCAATCGCTCTCGCCTCTCTCTCTCTCAATCGCTCTCGCCTCTCTCTCTCTCAATCGCTCTCGCCTCTCTCTCTCTCAATCGCTCTCGCCTCTCTCTCTCTCAATCGCTCTCGCCTCTCTCTCTCTCAATCGCTCTCGCCTCTCTCTCTCTCAATCGCTCTCGCCTCTCTCTCTCTCAATCGCTCTCGCCTCTCTCTCTCTCAATCGCTCTCGCCTCTCTCTCTCTCAATCGCTCTCGCCTCTCTCTCTCTCAATCGCTCTCGCCTCTCTCTCTCTCAATCGCTCTCGCCTCTCTCTCTCTCAATCGCTCTCGCCTCTCTCTCTCTCAATCGCTCTCGCCTCTCTCTCTCTCAATCGCTCTCGCCTCTCTCTCTCTCAATCGCTCTCGCCTCTCTCTCTCTCAATCGCTCTCGCCTCTCTCTCTCTCAATCTCTCTCTCAATCACTCTCGCCTCTCTCTCAATCACTCTCGCCTCTCTCTCAATCACTCTCGCCTCTCTCTCAATCACTCTCGCCTCTCTCTCAATCACTCTCGCCTCTCTCTCAATCACTCTCGCCTCTCTCTCAATCACTCTCGCCTCTCTCTCAATCACTCTCGCCTCTCTCTCAATCACTCTCGCCTCTCTCAATCACTCTCGCCTCTCTCTCAATCACTCACACCCTCTTGCTCTCAATCACGCTCACCCTCTCGCTCTCAATCATAAGAACATAAGAATTAGGAGCAGGAGTAGGTCATTCGGCCCCTCGAGCCTACCCCGCCATTCGATAAGATCATGGCTGATCTTCAGACCTAACTCTAATTACCTGCCCTATCCCCATATCCCCTAATCCCTCTGTTTCTTAAAAATCTATTAGTCTCAGCCTTGAAGATGTTCAAGGACTGAGCATCTACAGCCTTCTGGTGTAGTGAATTCCATAAATTCACTACCCTCTGAGTGAAGAAATGTTTCCTCAACTCTGTTCTAAAAGGCTGACCCTTAATTTTAAGACTGTGACCCCTGGTTATAGATTCTCCTACCAGGGAAAACAGTCTCTCTGTGTCTACTTTATCAGCCCTTTAAGAATCTGATATGTTTCAATAAGATGCTCTATATTCATCTCTGTATATAATGTGTATCATATTTACCATATAGTCAAAACATCATGCTCTTAATCACTCTCTCTCCCTCTCCACTTGTTGGAAGTGTTGTCCTTCAAATAAACCAAAGACCTTTCTGCCTGAGCAGGTGGACACCAAAGATCCCATGGCACTATTCGAAGAGTTAAGTTTCTTTCTGTATCCTGGCCCGCAAATAAAATTGGTTATTCAATTCATGGCTGATTGTGGGACATTGCTGTGGACAAGTGGGCTGCAGAATTTGTCTACAAACACAGTCACTGCATTGTATAGTCCTATATATATCCTGTGAAATGATTTACATCCTCCTGACATGAAAGGCTCTGTATTAAGTGCAAGGATTATTTATTACTGTTAAATACCACAAATTGGGCCAAATAATTTCATTTAAATTGAAGTTTAACACAGACCTGCATTTTTACCTTTATTAAATTTCTGCCCAAGACACATGCTATTAAATTCCCATCACTGTGTAAATTTGGCTGAAATGCTTCAATATGAGTAAATGACCCATTTTCTTCCATGCTTATTGCCCAAATACACACCTTGTGTGCTATGCCAAAACCTCGCAATTAACTACTAGATGTGTTGCAGCAACTCCAATCAACCCAACTTCAGTTTGGCAGTCATCCTCTTGCGTTTTGTATATTAAAAAAAAGCTTCAACACCAAATCAAAACAGAAGCACTTCACTCCCCACTTTCCTACAAAAGCTTCAACACCAAATCAAAACAGAAGCACTTCACTCCCCACTTTCCTACACAACTTGAACTAAAGCAATGCTCCCAACTGATACAGAAACAGTTTAAGGGGGTAACTCAAAATAAAATGAGCAAAACAAATTGCTGTATGATGGGATCTGTATGTCGTCTACTTCAGAAACTCAGATTGCACAATAGTCATGGATTGCAGTCGAGAGTAATTGAAGGTATAGCAAATCTCACATCTTTATAAAAGTGTCCGCTGTTTTGACTATATGGTAAATATGATACACATTATATATAGAGATGAATATAGAGATCTACCAATTTTTTTTTAACAATGGAATTAAGTTGTCATTTCATCAAGATATTTTGTGGGCATTTCTCGAAGACGTGATAAGGCAAATGCAAGGATTATCATCAAATGTATACATCAAATTATAAATCAAATTATATATCAAATGCAAGGATTATTATCAAAAAAGGAACATTGCACTGCAACTTACGGTGTGGTTCCACGAGTTGCATAGCTTCTTTCTCCGACATGACGAGCTGACAGAACTGGTCTCCGACGTTTGCCAGAATGTACTTGGATGTTTCAAGGTCAAGACCTTCGGCGGGTGTTCGTGAAGGGATCCACAAACTCAAGGCTTCAGTATCACACTGCTTAGGGTTCAGAAAACCACCCACACGGAGAACACCAGTCCGTGTAAACGCTAGCCTGCAAAATACATCAATTACAGTAACATCTATCCAATATGGTTTCTTGCCCGGCTTCACTGGCTTCCCATCCCTCAGAGAATCGAGTACAAAACCCTCGTTCTCACCTTCAAAGTCATCCACGGTGTTGCTCCCCCCTACCTCTCAGACCTTCTAACCCCATATCAGCCTGTCCACTCTCTCTGCTCGGCGGACACTGGCCTGCTTCAGGTCCTCCGCATTTCCCGCCCCACCATTGGTGGTCGGGCATTCAGTATCTCTGCCCCCACTCTGGAACTCTCCCCTGCAATCCCTGCGCCTTGCCTCTTTCAAGTCCCGTCTAAAGACTTTCCTCTTCGACCATGCCTTTGGCCACCCTCCCACCCCCCTCCTGAGCCCAACACCCAGCTCGGATCCAAAAAACCCTGACAGTCCAGCGCCTGGACAGTCAACCCTGACTGTCTTTCCAATGTGAAGGGTGTTATACAAGTGTAATTTGTTGCTGTAGTGTCAGTCATGAAACAGCCAACAATCCAGATTGTCCACCCTTTCCAGCAACAAGGGGAATAAAAAAGGAACAATGTATTTATTGTGCATTAGTAATCCCAACGATAATTATAAAACTTCTGTACCCTATATTTTATAAGTGCACTTACTTCCTAAAGTGGAAAAAGCGGCAAGAAACAGTAGATTCATCATGATCCTTAAACTTTCGGTAGCGCACCAAACGGCACTCACGGCATTTATGCAGGTGTGGGGCAACGTTTATACATGAGCCATCTTGCAGGAAAGATTCTCCAGACTGTTTGAGTTTCTTCACTTTACACACATCTTTCAAAACAGACTGGTCAACAGCAACAACAACTGTTGGAGAATGCAGACCGACAATGAATAACAATGAAATTAAGAATTTTACACAAAAAATCACCCACCAACAAAACGTAACCCTCAAAAACTCCAGAAGTTCTACTGCAGTGAACAACGACCAAGCATGGTCGAATAGGAAGATCTTCAGTCATGATCTAAAAGAGGGGAAGGAGGGGGCAAGGCGGAGGGATTAGAGGAGAGATTTCCAAAGCTTCGGGATGCAGTGGCTCAAAGCACAGCTGCTAATGGTGGAGCAGAGGTGACGCTGGACAACCAGAAGGCCAAAGTAACCTAGCGGAGGTAGTCAGTTTTTGTGTGAAGCTCAACCAGTTTGGAATGGTAATCTATAGTACAAAAGTAGATGAGTTTACTGACAAGAGTAGAAGTGTTATTTGCAATTTACAATTTTGTCAGAAATGTTTGCATAATCTTACTTCTAGATTGGTTTATTACTTTTCTCAAAAAATGGTTCTGAAAAAGTTTGGATGGCAAGCCTCTTAATAGGACATCAAATTGGATAATAAAGCTTGGACTTCACAAAACAACACACAGTAAACGCTTGATAACTCGACCTTGGCTGAAGTTGTCACGACTACCTAAATAATCAACCTGTCAATATCCTAGTCGCATTTATTTATGTACTAGTTGTACCCGTTGCAGCTCCACTTACAACCAGTTTCATTTAATCAGCCTTCTCTCTTTCATCTGGCATTTTTATTTGCCCTTGAAAGGCTTGATTTTCGCTTCTTAGGCATCTTTATCCCTTAAGATTAAGAAAATGTGCTATTGAACTCATTAGCATTCTGTTCACATATTTGCACACACATCCTTTTGGGAGACTCCTGTGGGAGATCTCCTGTTGTATTTATTAGTACAGTTGTATCTCTCCAAAAGGATGTGTGACATCTGTCGCTACTTTGTTGCAGAAAACCATGCATACTTTTTGGGGGCTTAATTAAAATATCTTTTAATTTTTTTTAACATAGCTCATCAACGATGGGAGATCCCCAAAATTATGTCCATGATGCTTCCCCATGCAAGACCTTTCCAATGAAGTATAAATCATGTCTGTACATCAATCGGTTATTGCGTTCTTGGCAGACAAGACAGACAAACAGAAATTTCATCTTTATTGATATAGATAGATTGATGCATATATTCGTGCCTCGGGATAACTTGTCACTGAGGCCCTTTCCTTCCCTTGGAGTGATGAGTTACCAGTTTACTGTACTGTATGCCCGTCCTTCTAGCCACCCAGTACATAGCATTGCCAAGATCCGAAATCAACTATGTATCACAAATACACTCCTGTGGTGCAGTGTAGAGATACATCTCTACAGTTCCTACAATAAATGTACTGATAAATATAAATAAATATAATTATAAATACAGTTGAATGTGAAAAAGACTGAGGCCCTCCTGATTGGCTCACGCCAGCCCTTCTGCACCTCAGGCTCCAGCAGCATCAACCTCCATGGTTGCACACTTCAACTCACCAGCCAGTCAGGAACCCTAGATGTCTTGTTCGACCCTCAACTGTCTTTTCTTCCCCACATCCAAGCCATGACCTGCTCTGCCTTCCCTCACCTTCGTAACATCGCTCGACTCCGCCACTACCTCACCCCTCAGGCCGCTGAAACTCTTCATCACCTCCAGGCTCAATATGCAAACGCCCTGCTTGTCGGCCTTCCCAACTCCTCCCTCACAGGCTGCAGATATTCCAGCTCTGCAGCCCGTGTCCTCTCCCGCACCAAACTCCGTGATCCCATCTCCCCCATTCGCCTGACTCCGTTGGTTCCCTATCCTTCAAGACCCTGGACCTCACCTACAAAGCCTCCATGGCCTCGCCCCACCCTACCCCCATGACCTCCTAACCCCCTACCAACCCACCCGCTCCCTCCACTCAGCCGGCTCCGTACTGCTCTATATACCCCAACCCACCCGCCCCACCATTGGCAGGAGATCCTTCAGCCACTCTGCCCCCAAACTCTGGAATTCCATCCCCAAATCACTCCGCCTCGCCCCCTCCTTAGCCTCCTTCAAGTCCTGCCTCAAAACCCTCCTCTTCAACCATGCCATCGGCCAGCCCCCATCCCCTCCCTTCTTCCCCCACCCCGACCCCAGCTCGGGTCTGAAATGCTATACCCTGTCCAGCACCTTAAAACATCCTCCCGACGTGAAAGGCGCTGTACAAATTAATCTTGTTGTTGTTGTTGATACTTTTTTTAGTGGTACAGGAAATTTTCATTGTCTTAAATGTATGAAATAGACTGGCAGTCCCACAGAATGCCAACTACCAATCTCATTGTAGGGTATTGTAATATAGTAAAATACGTATCAATGCAGGTGGTTTATGTGCCATGGTCAAAACATTAGCAAAAGAAAAGCTTAGAAAAATACCAGTGTGCTTCCTTTGCCATGACAGGCACAAATTCACCCATAGTTAACTAGATTCAATTAGAATAATAGTTACTTTTCAAACTGTTAATACTTGTGCAACTTACTTTTTGGTGGCCTGCCTCGAGGCCGTCCTCTCCCACGCCCCCGTCCCTTCCCCAGCAACAACTCTTTGTTTCCTTCTCCATTTCGCTCTCTCCTTTCGTGCAGGTAACCCAGGTAACCTTTCAAACCCGTCTTAGACTGCAAACGCATCTGTACCTCAGAATCACTGAGGTCTGATAAATCACTGTCTGAAGCAGAGTCGGAGTCCTGCTTCACAGCCAAGCTTCTTTCATCCAATAAAAATTGCCTCTGGTCAAACTGGGACTGCTGGCTTGATGATCCATCAAGGCCATTGTCTGCCAGATTGGTGGGAAACTGAGGTTGCTGTTGCCTGCTAGATTGGGAGGTGCCCGAAAAAGCTTGGAGGAGCGGATTATCTGGAGTAACAGCACCAGAAATAGGGGTTGCAGGTGTCCCTGAAACTCGGTCTTCAGTTGGGCTAGAGGATAAGGTTGGCATCTCCATATTGGTTGGTGCAAATGTGGTTTCTGGAGAGTCTGGTCTAGTATTTCCCAAAGGATTTATTTTTTGAGAAGGAAGAGAAGAGGAGAATGGAGACTTAAAGGTCTTTGGAAGATCACTTTTGCTCCTAGCGTCTGGAAGCGTTTTATCAGACTTCTTCCAGTTGGTCAACAACGGGGGTCGTACAATCACTGATGCTGGAGTTGAGGCTGCAGGTCGTAATAAGTCGCTTCTGAAAGAACCTGAATGTGGCTTATTCATGGACAAATTATCTCCATTTCCCTTTAGGTCTGGGAACCCAAGGAATGGATTCCCTGACAGAAGGGATGGTGTTTCCTCCTTTGATAGATCTGGAGGTTGAACTGACTGAAGAGACTGAAGACTTGATCCACGGCTTGAAAAGGCTGGAGTCAAGGTTGGCATGGCTTCAGTAAAAGTAACTCCAAGAGCATTCTTTCTCTCGGTATCTTGCTCCCGTTTACTTCCTGCATCCATCCCAACAGCACTAATACCAACTGCCGGAGTCAGGCTCCCCTTTTGGCCAGGGACACTGGAAGCCACCTTAAAGGAGTTGAAGCTTAGAGGGTCATTGGAGAGACTTTCAGAAATTGCTGTGAAGTAGTTGCTCTGTGGAACACTTTGTGGCATGCACTGGAAAAACAAGTTTTTGGACAGGCTAATTGAATCAGTGGAGGGTATTTTGCCGATTGTATTCCCAGTTTCATCAGTGGCCTTCCTGCCAAATCCAAACCCAAAAGCCTTGCTTTCTTGGACATACGTTCCATTTGTTCCTTCGTTACCATTTTTCTGGGGCTCTTCCTTCTGAACTAGATTCCCATCCAATGCAGAAAGGGGTCCGAACTGAGATCCACTGCCTCCAGTTAAGGCTCCCTCTTTTGAAGTTTGGGAAGGATCTCCAAACCACGTCTTCAGTGATTCTCTAAACAGCAACAAGAAGATCCCAATATTAAATCAAGATAGTCTAAACCGGAATTATTTCAGATTACAATACAGTTCGATTTAGCAGTCAACAGTTATGTTGACTTCCACATGTATGCGGATGACACCTAGTTGGGTATCTCTCTGCCTCCATCCTTAACTCCAGGGCCACTGCTGACCTGGCAGACTGCCTATCAGACATCAAGTCCTGGATGAGAACTAACTTTCTTCAGTTGAACATCACCCCTCAGGCTGTCAAAACCCTTATCCACGCATTCATCACATCAAGGCTCGATTACGGGAACTCCCTCCTCATCGGCCTTCCCACCTCTTCCCTTCCCTTCACAAGTTGAGGATCATCCAAAACTCTGCAGCTCGTGTACTCTCACACACCAGGCTCCGTGACCCCATCACTCCCACCCTCGCCCGACTCCACTGGCTCCCCATCCCCAAGAGGATCGAGTTCAAGATCCTCGTCCTCACCTTTAAGGCCATCCATGGCCTTGCTCCCTCCTACCTTTCTGACCTGCTGACTCCCTACCAACCTGCCCACTCTCTCCGTTCAGCGGGCTCCGGCCTGCTCCATGTCTCCCGCCCGACCAGCCCTACCATCGGTGGCCGGGCTTTCAGCCTCTCTGCCCCCACACTCTGGAATTCCATCCCACGGTCCCTTTGCCTCGCTTCCTCCCTTGCTCCCTGTGGTACCATATATAGTTATGTCATGTGTCATTGTTCTACCCCACATTCGTGCCATGACCCGCTCTGCCTTCCCCCACCTCCGCAACATCGCCCGGCTCCTGTCTCACACTGCAGGCCACCAAAACCCTCATACACGCTTTCATAACATCCAAGCTGGACTATGCAAACTACCTGCTTGTCGGCCTCCCCAACTCCTCCCTCCATAGGCTGCAGATCATCCAGAACTCTGCAGCCCACGTTCTCTCCCGCACCAGGCTCCGTGACCCTATCCTCGCCCAACTCCAGATCCTCACTTTCAAAGCCCTCCATGGCCTTATTCTCCCCTACCTCTGCGACCTCCTAACCCCCTACCAACCTGCCCACTCCCTCCGCTCAATGGGCTCCGGCCTGCTTCATGTCCCCCGCCTCACTGGCCCCACCATTGTTGGGCAGGCGTTCAGCCACTCTGCTCCCATCCTCTGGAACTCCATCGCACAGTCCCTCCGCCTCATCCCCTCCCTTGCCTCCTTTAAGACCCTCCTCTTCAACCGTGCTTCCTTCTCCCCCTGCCCTGCCCTCTCCCCTCCCCGATCCCAAATCCCAGCTAAGGTCCGAAACACTGATGTCCAGTGCCTTGGACGTCCTCCCGACATGAAACACGCTATACTATATTTAATAATAATCCTTGCATTTTATATAGTGCCTTATCACAACATCAAGATGTTTCAACCTTCACAGCATTTTACTGTGAAGTGCAGTGACTATATACTTGTAGCTAAATGCAGCAGCCAATTTGCATATAGCAATCTCACCCACCACCAGCCAACTCTGACACAGCACCGCCCAGCCCGGGGCGCCCAGGAGCAGCAGGAAAAGCAGCTGAACGGTTACCATCAACACTGCTCGAGGCAACTTCTACCTCATTGCGCCACCTGGATCCCGCTACTTAGCTTTGTCTGAGTGCATGGTTGCTGCATGCTTGTTCTGTGACCCACAATGCCACAGCGCCACTGGGAATCTCAGTGGCCACCAGGTGTAACAGCAGCGTACATGTGACTGCCATACATGTGTGATGAGTTTTTGTTTTAATATAGCTCATCAACAAAAGATCCCCCCAAAAAATATGCTCATGACACTCCCCCATGCAAGACCTTTCAGGTGAGGTATAAATCATGTCTCTACGTCAATTGGTTATTGAATTCTTAGCAGACACACAGATACAGACATTATGTCTTTATTAGTATAGATAAAATAATAATCCTTGCATTTGATATAGTGCCTTATCATGTCTTTGGGTACAAGTTTTATTTTTAATGTTATGTACTCCTTACCCTTTAGCAGTTTCACACGCTGGTTGTGTCAGGCTTTTTAAGGTCCCTAGCAAAGAAGAACTGCTCAAAGACTTCTCCACTCCAGAACTAGGTGAGGCAGGTTTCCATACGTTTCTGCTTCCCTGAAAATGCAAATGTTTAAATTTGACAACTTTCTTACCAAATATCATTTACATTGAAGATTTTTTTTTGTATTGTTGTCCACTTCAGAATAAAATGTTCACCAAAATATGTAAGTTCTCACACACCCAAACAGAAATGTTTACTGGATGCAATCTCTCACTATTTACAAGTTTATTAATTTGCAGTCTCTGCTTTTATGTAAATCTGCATCAGGAATTGGTATTGGATTATTCATTAAATGTGTTCTCAAAAGTGGCAAGTAATTGGTGGTGGTGGATGTAGAGTGGACAGTCAGTCATGAGTTTATATACTAAATCCCAATACTAATTGTCAGGGCAAATTATAAAAGCAGAGAAAAATTACAGCAATCAACCAAGACAATTTCCAAGCATCTAATTAGCAAATCTTTCAAATCTGACCCTTTCGTGCCTCCATCAGTAGCTGTACCTTCATTCACTTTGCCCTTCATCTCTGAAACCCCTGCCTCAATCGCTCTGCCTCATCCCCCATTTAAACCTTTAAATCCCATCTGAAGACCTAACTCTTTGAGCTCACCTATGGTGATCTCCCTTTTTCGGTGTCCCACCCCACAGCGCTCATTGAACCACCACATTGAACAGCGCTCCAAGACTCTATCTGGCATGAACGCCATTATATAAATGCAAGTTGTTGTTAGAAGCACTATTTATCTGCTTCCCATTTACTTAGGAGTTTGTTCCAAGAATACATTTCCAAGCTCTAAATGTATACATAGAGGGTCATATCTTGCAACCGTCTCAAAATAAGGGAGATGATTGGAAAGGTTTCCTATCAGCTTGAAAATCTTTGTGTTTAACGGGGATTAGAATGTAGAAATAAAAATCTCATCACAAAAATTCCCAAACGTAAAATAAACTAACTGCAGAGATTCAAGATAGAATGTATTCATTATAAAGAATAGTAACTTTCTTAAAAGTCCATTTATATGCGTGGGTGGCATTTATTATATTACAAATGTGATGGGAAGAAAAACAGTGAAAGCAGTGACATATTTATCTGCTCTGCAGATCACTCACATGGACCAACTTTAAAGAGTGTATGTATGGTTTGTGATAACATAACATGTAGGAGCAGGAGTAGGCCATTCGGCCCTTCGAACCTGCCCCGCCATTCAATCATGGCTGATCTTCTAATCTAACTCCAGCTAATAACCTGACCCTGCTTTATCCCCATATCCCTTAATCCCTTTTGCAACAAGAAATCTATCTCAGTCTTGAATATGTTCAAGGACTGAGTATCAACTGCCCTTGGGGTAGCGATTTCTATACATTCACCACGCTTTGAGTGAAGAAGTTCTTCCTCAACTCAGTGGGAAAGGGCTGGCCTCTGATTTTAAGGTTGTGACCCCTGGTTTTAGATTCTCCAACCAGGGGAAACAATCTCCCACTATCTACTCTATCATGCCCTTTGATGATCTTATAGGTTTCTATAAGATCCCCTCTAATTCTTCTATATTCCAGAGAATATAGGCCCAAATTGATCAGCCTATCCTCGTAACTCATCCCCTTCATCCTGGTACTAACCTAGTAAATCTACGCTGTACCCCCTCCAAGGCAAGTACATCCTTCCTTAAATCAGGAGACCAAAACTGCACACAGTATTCCAGGTGTGGTCTCACCAGGGCCTTATACAGTTGCTTCCCTATTCTTATACTCTAATCCTTTCATAATGAATGCTAACATACCGTTCGCCTTCCTAATTGCTTGCTGCACCTGCAGACTAACTTTCTGTGATTGGTGTACAAGGATACCCAAATCCCTCTGGACGCTAACACACTTCAATTTCTCCCCTTCTAAAAAATAACCCGCTCTATACTGTTTTTGCTACCTAGGTGGATGACTTTGGAGTCCTGTAGCTCAGTGGTTAGAGCACTTGCTTTGCAAGTGAGAGACCCGAGTTCAATTCCAGGCAGAGGGCGAAACCTTGGCCAAGTTTCCTTACTCCACACAGAGCCTAATAATAATCCCTCCAAAACCAAAAACAATAATAAATTGGTCATTTTCAATCTACGACTGTTTGTGGGACATTGCTGTGCGCAATTGGCTGTCGCGTTCGCCCACAAAAAATATACAGTCAATTCACTTTACAGTGTGTTCTGTGAAGCGTTTTGGGACATCCTCCCGATGTGAAAAGCGCTATATCAAATGCAAGGATTATTATTATTATTATGACTTTGCACTTTCCTACATTAAACTTCAATTGCCACCTACCTGCCCAATCACCTAACCTATCTATGTCTCGCTGCATTTTTTAATGGCATCCTCTGTGTTGACACTTCCTCCTAGTTTTGTGTCATCCGCGAATTTAGGTATATTAACTTTGATATCCTCATCTAGATAGTTGATGTAGATGGTAAATAGCTGAGGCCCAAGGGCTGATACTCCACTGGACACATCCCGCCAATCCGAACAGGACCCGTTTATCCCTACTCTGTTTCCTACCTGTTAACCATACCCCAATCCATGTTAATATGCTCCCCCCAATTCCATTGACCCCTATCTTTTGGACTAACCTGTTATGCTGCACCTTATCGAATGCCTTCTGGAAGTCCAAATAGACCACATCCACTGATTCACCCTTATCTGGTTTACTCGAAATATCCTCAAAAAATTCTATGAGATTTGTCAAACATGACTTCCCTTTTGTAAAGCCATGTTGACTTGGGCTAATTATATTGTGCTCCTCTAAATACCGCACTACCACATCCTTAATTAACGATTCTAAAATTTTTCTTATCACTGATGTGATACTAATTGGTCTATAGTTCCCCATCTTTTCCTTTCCACCTTTTTTAAATATTGGTGTGACATTTGCAATCTTCCAATCCACGATGTAGCACTGTCAAGCCAAAGAAATGTTCTGATTAGTTATCACTAGTAGCAGCAAGACCTTTATCTGAATTGCTAAAACAAGCTCACTGCAGTCAACACAAGCCTATAATTGGAAATGGAAAATATAAGAGACTGCAAAAGAGGTTAAAGCCAATGAATGGATACATTAAAACATTAAGTAAGCTGCATCGACTGGTTATTTCAATCCGGAGGTGGGGGGTGGGGGGGGCGGGTTAGGGGGAGAGCGAGAAAGAGGCAGAAATGCTCCAAATCATCTTCACAAAGATAAGAAATAATTAACCAAATCACTGAAGATTTCAGTCAAGAACTTAGCTTGACTGGATGTCACTTACATCAAGGCTGTGTGTTTCACTGGGGTTTACAAAAGACGGAGGTTTTGAGTCAAAAACTCTCAAAGTGGTTTTCGTGGGGTCCTGGAAGGAATCCAGGGCCCCTGAAGTAAGCTGAGAGTTTTCGGTATGCTGTTCAGGTACTGCATTCTGGATCTTCTGATGAGGTGCTGAATTAACAGTAAAGTTCTCTTTCATTCCCTGGTCAGGTGACTTAACATCTAAATATGCTGGCATTTCTGAAGCTGTAGAATCTTGGACAGGATTTGCATGCTCCAGGGCTGATCCTTCTGCAGCTTTGCTAAATTCAGAAGCTGGTAAAGCTGGCCTGTTCTGAAGCTGCAGAGACTCCACACTGGAAAATGCCACTCCACTCGGCCTGGAGACAGCAGCAACAATCGGCACAAAAGGCTGCCCACTTATTGGCTGGTCTTGGACAACCAAGGTTCTCCCATTCTCTTTGGTATAGGTGGCATAGCGTAAGCTGGCATGCTGTGGAGGTAAAAAGCAGGATCTATCTAAAGAACTGTCAGCATTTCCCCAGGTCAAGTCCCCAATTCTCAGAGAGTCTGAGTTTCCTGGAGATGCTTGGTTCTGAGCAGGCTCCACACCAGGATGCTCACTCTTCGGCAGACTAAGGCCATTGCCTCCGGTGCCCAGTAAACAAGCTCCGTTGTCTAGCTCCATTTCCTCAGCCACTTTCCCCTTCTTTTGAACAGGTTCATTCTCACCACCAGAGACATTTTTTCTCCTGCGACTGTCCTTAGCTTTATCTGTGAAGAAATTGCATTCATTCCATATACAGAACTATAGGCAGTCAGCACACAAGAACAGAAACCCATCTTTGCATAAACATGAATCTTCCTCCCCCTCTTGCAACACCCCACACACACTATGCAAGCTATCCCACATACAGGAAGACAAATATTCGCTCCAAAGGTTACATTTAATGTTGACTTACCATTTGTTTTATGGCTCTGCTCTCAGTCAGAGTGTAATTCAACCTCTGTGTACAAATGGATACTCTTACTCAATTGGGAAGAAAAACACCTGTGAGACTGCTCTTTATAGATCACATTTGGAACATCATTGCCAGTTGCTCTTCTCTACCCAGTTTTCAAGGACCCTCTACATGATACTGATCTTAATGCTCTAATCCCGTCCTCCATCCCCCCGTCAAGCTTTCTGGGACACTATTCTGTTGTATGCATGACAAAAAAAATTGAATAAAGTAAACCAGCAACTAAGATGGATTAAGAAAAGGGTAAATTTGGCAAATGAAAGGTGACTCAATTCAAAGAACAAGGAATGTTGCACTGGAGGGAGTGGCTGAACATTTTGTCCATTATTCAAATTCCACGAACAAACAATTATATAGAAAACAGGAAACCAGTCCCTCACCAGGACCGCTTTCTTTCACCTCTGCCACATTGCCCACCTCCGACCGTACCTTACCCTAAATACAGCCGAAAGCGTCGTGCATGGGTTTGTCATCTCCCACTTGGATTAGTCCAGTGCATTCCTCGTCGGTCTCCCCAGTTCCACCATTCACACGATCTAGCTCATTCAAAAGTCTGCGGCCCTCATACTGATCCAGACCACACTCCGTACCCACATCTCACCAGTTCTGGCTGAGGCTCCACTGGCTCTCCATCACCGAATGGATCGACTTCAAGATCCTCACTCTCGTGTTCAAATCCATTCACTCCCTGGCACCTCCCAACCTCTCCGACCTCCTCACTGCCCAATCCAGCAATCGGCGCCTTTGCTCAACTGGCATCAGCCTCCTGCTCGTCCCTCGCACCCTCTGCCCCAAATCGGAGGTCGTGCTTTCAGCCACTACATCCCAAAACTCTGGAACACTCTCCTTTAATCCCTCCACCCTCTTTCAAGTCCCACATGAAAACTTTCCTCTTCACCCATGCTTACGGCCCCCTCCCCCCTATAAACTAGAATGATGCTTTCTAAAGCATTTCAAAAATAGTTTCTACTTTACTAAGAAAATGCACTTCCTCATGTCTCCCAGTGACTGGGGTAAAGGGACTGTTTGCTGCAGCTCTAGCAATGCAGAGCACAAAATTGCAATTTGAATACAGGCATATTTCAGGTCCCTAAAAGCCTTCCTCTTCCCTTTGCAGATGCAGAAGGTTGCTCCACTGTCCTTAACTGTATCATTGGAGGATTGGCAATCAAAATATTTTGGTTGAAGGAGTACAGGAATTCATCTTGACCTTGACTGTTATCCTACAAGTAAAGTTTGCTAAACGCCAAGCAGACATCACACGACTGAAAATCTTTCCACCGTGGGGGTCATGGATCCATGCTAACTTACGCAATGTGGGAGAAAAAAAGACAACTCCAGAAAAGGTCTGTCTGAGGTGGTAAACCATGAATGACTGATGTCACAAATGGAAAAGCAAGCATCTCAACTGGAGACTTTTAGAGTAAAACATCAGAAATCCATGAAGCATTTTTGAAAAAAGAAAATTAAACATTCAAGCTAAACTGAAAAATGTTAAAACTCTACAAACGAACTTGCAACTCGCCTTATAATTTGACATTTATGTATTTGTGCTTTAAAGTAAAAAGATCAGGCATAGTAACTCTTTTGTAGGAAGGCAAAGCATACAAGAGATTTCAGGTCTTCTAGTAGTTTGCTGATGTAGCTTGGTTGGAAGCTACTGCATGAAAAGAATGTTTTACTCACTAAAACTGTACTAAAATCAACATCCCAATGAAGAGTTGATGACTTACCCTTGTCCTGAATTTCTTTAGCTGAATTATGAGGCGGGCTGCCCTCAGCTCCTTTCTTGCGACGGGCTTTTGAGTGCTGAGATGTCTGTGCAAATGCAAAGAATATTACATTGAGCAGCAACAACATGGTGCTACAGTATTATTAGTTTACAAGATTGAGATTTTTTATTTAATGCTACCAAAATTGAGGGAGATGCACCAAACTATGGCTCCTGCTTACATACTTCCTACAGCTACATAGAAAAGATAATTTGGCACATTTACAAAAATTAGACTCACCGTTGCTATGTTGCTTTCATTTGTTATTTTCTTCTTTGATAACAATCCGGACAGTTCACCTTTCAGTGACTGGAGTGCATCATCCACAAATGTGATATAAACCTGTGTAGGATCAACAGTTTGTGTCTCCTGCTCCTGGAAATAAAGAACCAGTCACAACATAAAGTCTTGCATTTCTAAAACATATTCAATGAACAATTATCACCCAACAATTTCTTTCGTTGTTAATTACATATCTATTGAGACAGAAATACCCCTCGTCTGTGAAAGATATTTATCTGTGACAAATAAAGTTGATGAGCTGCAGCCGAAAGTTGCAACATGGGATTATGATGTAGTGGCAATAACGGAGACTTGGCTCAAACAAGGGCAGGAATGGGTCTTAACATTCCTGGCTACAATGTATTCAACAACAACATTACATTTGTATAGCACCTTTCACGTCGGGAGGACATTCCAAGGCAGTCAGTGTTTCAGACCCAAGCTGGGGGTTGGGATTGTGGAGGGTGGAGGAATATTCAGGAGGGATAGGGAAGGAAAAAGAGGAGTGAGTGTGGCAGGATTGAACAAAGATATTGATACAGTCCTGGAAAGGAATGATGTGCTAGAGGGATCAAAGACGGAATCTAGTTGGTTAGAGTTAAGGGGCAGAAGAGGAGCCGTTACACTGCTGGGTGTATACTATAGACCACCAAATAGTGGGAACGAGCTTGAGGAGCAAACCTGCAAGCAGATTTCAGAAAGATGTAGAAACAAGTGATAATGGGGGACTTCAATTATCCCAACATAGACTGAGAAGAAAACAGTGTAAAGGGCATGGAGGGGAACAATTCCTAAAATGTGTACAGGAAAACTTTCTGGATCAGTTTGTTTCCAGCCCAATGAGGAAGGAAGCAGTGCTGGATCTCGTTCTGTGGAATGAAGTGGGATAAGTGGAGCAGGTTTCAATGGGAGAGGATCTGGACAACAATGATCACAATATCATTAGGTTTAGAGTAGTTATGGAAAAGGAGAAACAACAATCAAAGGTGAAGATACCCAACTTGAAGAGGGCTAATTTCAGTGAGTTGAAAAGGGATCTGGCCAAGGTGGATTGGAAACAAAGTTTGCCGGGTAAAATGGTAAACGAGCCTTCAAGGAGGAGATAGTTAGGGTACAGACCAAACACGTTCCCATGTGGGGGAAAAGTAGGGCATCCAAAGCTAGAACTCCCTGGATGACTAAGGAAATTGGGATTAAAATGAAACAGGAAAAGGAGGCTTGTGATAAATGTCAGGTTCAAAATACATTAGAGAATCAAGCAGAATACAGGAAGTGCAGAGGAGAACTGAGGAGAACTCAGAAAAAGGAAATAAGAGGGGCAAAGAGAGTGTGAGAAAAGATTAGTGTGTAACATAAAAGTCTTCTATAAACAGATAGAGTAAAAGAATGGTCAAACCAAGGTGGGGCTGATTAGGGACCAAAAAGGAAAACTTATTGTGGAGGCAGAGGGCATGGCTGAGGTACTGAATGAATACTTTACATCTGTCTTCACAAAAGAGGATGCCGCCAATGTCACAGTAAAGGAGGAGGAGGTACAGACATTGGATAGGATAAAAATAGAGAGGAGATACTTAAAAGGTCAGCAACGCTCAAAGTCAAAAAGTAACCCGGTCTGGATGGGATGCACCCTAAGTTGCTGAGGAAAGTTAGGGTGGAAATAGCGGAGGCGCTGGCCGCAATCTTTCAATCTTCGGGCTCCCCATTCCCCAGAGGATCGAGTTCAAGATCCTCGTCCTCACTTTCAAGGCCATCTGTGGCCTTGCCCCCTCCTACCTCTCTGACCTGCTGACTCCCTACCAACCTGCCCGCTACCCTCCGCTCATCAGGCTCCGGCCTGCTCCATGTCTCCGGCCCGACCATCGGTGGCCGGGCTTTCAACATCTTTGCCCCCACACTCTGGAACTCCATCCCACGGTCCCTTCACCTCGCTTCCTCCCTTCAACCGTGCCTTTGGTCTCCCTTCCACCTCTCTGCCTTCCCTCACCCCTACACCATCCCTCCCCCATGCTCAAGCCCCGACATCCGACTGTTCAGTGCTTTGGGACGTCCTCCCGACGTGAAAGTCGCTCTACAAATGTAATTCTGTTGTTGTTGTTGTAATAATATTCTACTATTCTGAGACTTGCATAATAATAATCTTGGTTCTTTTGATAATAGGTTAACCTCACAATGACAGCAAAGTTTAAGGCCTGGCAGCCTTGGAATACAAAATCTTAAATGTTTTTTAAAAATCTATGAATTGTCACAACCACGTTACCTGTTCTGTGGTCACCACCATGGTGTGTGTGGTGGGGTCATGATGTCCGACAACAGCTAAGATCCACTTTTCAGAAGAATCCGGTTGATAAATCTGCACCCGGGACCCTTGTAAACTGTATGGTCCTATAATAATATATCATGAAGGAAACCTTGAATTAATCTTACTGAAAGAATGAAATAGTGACAACTTAATATCTATGTTGTTCAATTTGGTGGTAGCCATTTCTCTGTAGGGCTAAACCATTTCATTCAGATACAAAAGAAGTTCACCTTTTTCTCCTTTCACGACTGGAACACCTAATCTACTGAAGGTTGTCTAATTCTCTTTTAAATGCTCCAATCAACTCAGTTCAAGCAGCCACCTGTGGCAAATTATTCCATATTGTATGAAAACCCTGCGGAAGAAGATCTTCCAAACCTCTCCTTTTTCTTCTATGGTATTGATATTGAATCATTGGCATTTGTCCACTTCCTAGCTTATTTTGTGATAAGGTGCTATATAAAATGCAGGGATTAGTTAATAATAATCCTTGCATTTGATACAGCGCCTTATCACGTCTTCGAGATGACTCAAAACGCTTCACAGAATATACTGTAAAATGAATTGACTATTTTTTGGGCGAGACGCCAATTAATTAATTATTATTAAGATCGACAACAAACTAGGTGCTTTAATATGAAACATTATATAAGTATAATAATCAACAAGGAAACAAAAACATCAGAAGCAATGCCAAATGATAATTTCAAAAATTCTCCAAGAGAAGATAGACATCAGAATTTTCTAATTTAATAACAACAATTTCACTTCTGTTTGCAATACCTCTAAATATTTCTTGCATTTGCTTCTCTCTGATCCAAGATGTCACTGCTTCTTGGAGCTTCAGGTTATCCTGGAGAATATGATTCTGGCTGTCAGAATCCTCCTTATGATAAAAGAAATAGGATGGACGATAAAATAGCAGCTAAGAAGAACTTCACAGCTTTCAGACTACAAACATCATTAGAGGTTAAATATTCATTTCAGAACGCTCACATCAGCAGTTTTAGTCTGAACAGGGTTCACATACTAATGTGCTCAGGCTCAGATTACAAATAGACCTCTTAAACACTACAGCCTGAAAAGTCCCTGCTTTCTTGGCATTCAGTGAGCATTTCACCCCTGTTACTTATCACCTGAATAAGAAGTTTTCCTAATCCTGATTATACTAGCTGTTTTGTTCCATCTTCAGTGAATTGAGGTTTGTATCGAACCAGTGAAAAGGAAACTAAATGGTTGAAGTAAATAGCAAATGTACCAATCCTGGTTTCAGTATCAGCGCACACTACAAATTTTGTAACAAGTAACTTGCATCAAGTGGAAAACTACCCGGAACAATTTGTTCAACAATTTGCTCAAAATCTCTACAATGCAGAAAATGTTGCTGAAAATAAAGGACATTTAATAGCATGGTGGCTTTTGCATGTGAAGAGCAAGTGCAATGTGCTAACTATTAAAAATATTCTGTTATACTGAAAGGAACCTTGGTTCTCTACAAATTAATGGGTAAAATATAGGAATAAAAGATCACTCTTCACACAACCTTCGGGGAGTTTCAATAAAAATTACGGAGCACTTCACTCCTCCGCTCTCAGGAATGTGACCTCTCTTTCTGAACTGTAACCCTGCATTGAGCTGCATGCAAATGTGGAGAAAAAGTATTTCCCCCAAATCCCTTACCCCATCCTGTAGCGAACACCGAGCAAACCAAAACAGAATACAAGAATGTTGTATTAGGAAGATACAGTAAATAGATAGAAGGAAAACTTGGCTGGGGCAACACAACTGTCAACTTCAATTCACGGAGGCAGTTCACGTGGGGAGTCCGAAAACAACAATGGCTGCTGATGCCATGAATTTTACATTTTTACTTTATAGGATGGAATCCACAGCACCAGTGACTACACAGAAGAGAGTCTCAAAAGAAACTATTTTCTGGCTGTGTTGTTTGGGGAAGATTTATGCTTTATGCCAGTAATAAGCTTTTTGCAATGATGACATGCAAAGGCAAAATAACACATTGGACAGCACCACAGAGACATGTTTACAACCTTTTCTAATGTTGCTATTTCCCGAGGTAGAAAGTTTCTCAAAGGATGAGATGAAATGGGCCAAAGGGTCTTTGCTTCCAAACCTCTTGTGATTCCATTCAGGCCTCATCGAAAACAACAGGCGGAAACATTTTAAGCAATAATTGAATTGGGCACTGAAAATGTTCTTTCACAACATTAAGAATTATTTGCGCGTGAGGAACACTGCATCCAAAACTGATTTCATAGCTCTCTCTGTTTCAAGGAAGTGCACCTTCCTTGACAAGATGTTAGGAAAAAGGCGAGAACACAACAAAATACAAACTACATACCTTAAAGAGCTGAATGGCACTGCTCTCAGTAACAAAATTCTGTACTCGGTCCACAAGAAATTCAATTGGAACGATGGAGCCCAATCCAATTTTATCTACCACTGCTTTATAGGTCTGCAAATATCAACAAAAACATCAACCAGCATCCATCACAGTAATGCAAATTGGAAGAATGTATTGAATACTTAACAGGACTGTGCATGTAGTACCTGACAGGAAAGGAAATTCACAGTAAATCAGTCTTTCATTACAATCCTATGCAAGTCATTAAAGAGTTGGTAAGTGAGTTCACAGTATATATGAAAGAATAGAGCTACCTCTGGCTTAATTGTCCAGTGCTGTACACCAATCAGTCATACTTCCCACAGTAACCACAGCTGGACCTTTGGCCACTTCTGTGATTAGCCTAGTAGAAAATGCACTTCTAAATGCAGTGAACTCAATGACTCTTTTTAGGAGTCACAGCCTACATGTACTCAGCACAGCTACAATAAATAAATTAGTGGTCAGTTCGGGGTCAAAGGACACAAATGAGAATCATGTTAAGTTGCTCCAAACACTTGTAGAGCCAAGACCATGGGTGACAAGCACTCAGTGCTGAGGAATGAGATGCAAGAACATTTTTCACCAAAGTATAACTATTTAGTGGAGTCGTAACAGATTATTTACACCCAAATAACACAATTCTGCACCCTGTCCAGTCAGACATTTTCCAATCAAAATGACAAAGATTAATCAATTAGATCTGGTGCTTCAGTTTATTGTTTCCTTCAACATAGATTCAGGGTTCTGGGCAATCAAACATTGCAGCTTTTAATAATTACAGTCAAGAGGGGCAGAGCATATAATAAACAGTATGTTGCATTACCGCCCTACAATTTTAACATGCACCAAAAAAATAAGACTTTTGCAAACTGATAAAATTTATTTATTATCTAGTTATCAATATTTTATTTTGAACTGAATTGTTACTTTGCCATTTAATTCACCTACAAACTGGATTCACTGGAAAACACCAGCCATTCAACAAATTGTTTTTGCCCCCAATAGACTACACAGTACTAAATCAGAGAGGCAGGCTCATCCGGGAAATCACAGTCAATACAAACAATAGAATAAATGGATGTGAAATATAGTGAATGAATTACTTCCACTTTCATCAAAATTACATGAATACAACAATGAAGAATTTTCTTACCAGCGCAGGCCACTGGCTCACATTAATCCTTTCTCCTGGTAAGATTATTGGCTCCTTCCTGGGAGCCCATGCCAGAGTATGTTCAATGAGGAAAACCAGCACATCTTCAGCAGATACCTTCACCCAAGCTTGCTTTTTCCACCGGGAGTCATCAAATTCAACATACAACTGCAACACACAAAGAAAGCTCAGAAAAATGTTAAGTCCAAACTATTTCAACCACATAAAACAAACAACCTGTCATTCATGAAAGATAATGTCTGTGCACTTTATAATACATAATCCAAACTAATAAAGATAAAATGTCTGTCTGTGTATCTGTCAATAACCAACTGACGTAGAGACATGATTTATACCTCATTGGAAAGGTCTTGCATGGGAGAGTGTTATTGGCAAGTTTTTTTTCAGGGATCTTCTATTGTTGATGAGCTATATTTAAAAAATGCTTTAATTAAGCCCCAAAATATGAGGTATGCATGACAACAAAGTAGCGACAGAGGCAATCACACCTTTCTAGAGATATATCTATACTAATATAATCTGCAACAAAGTAGCGACAGACCTACAAGTTTATCATATATGTATGCACTCCAACAAGGAGTCCTTCCACCAGCTGAGTATAGATAAAAACGAAATGTCTGCCTATGTGTCTGTCTGTGTGTCAATCTACATTTCATATTGGATTATTTGACTGCAAGCAAAGCTGCGCAGCTATTATAAACATGAAATTTATGCAAAGATTCCCACCATTTTATGGCACCCTACTGGTTCCACCACTTATTCGGAAACCATTTTCAGATATTGTAATATGGACAGATTGCAGGCTCATTTTATGACATTGTAAAGAGAAGGTCCCTTATATGGAACTTACTTTGCATGTTTTTGACATATTTCCTTTATTTGAAACCGCCTCCCAAAACTTACTGCATTCAAACTTTGAGGGTTTTGCTTTCTTGGTCTTTTGCTTTGAAAACTCTCTTCAATTCAAATCTAGTTCATTTAGTCCAAATTCATTAGGTACAATAAAATTAAATGCTCAAAATACATCAATTGCTATGGATAAATGAGTGCACTACCAAAATATACTAAACAGTGTTGCACTGTCTTGCTCATTAGGCTTCCAGTATTTTTAATTGCTCCTGCTAAATGTCCCTGTACTTGTGCATACAATTGTGGAGTCCTGTAGCTCAGTGGTTAGAGCACTCGCTTTGCAAGCGAGAGACCTGAGTTCAATTCCAGGCAGAGGGCGAAACCTTGGGCAAGTTTCCTTACTCCACACAGAGCCTAATAATAATCCCTCCAAAACCAAAAACAATAATAAATTGGTCATTTTCAATCTATGACTGTTTGTGGGACATTGCTGTGCGCAATTGGCTGCCGCGTTCGCCCACAAATATACAGTTAATTCACTTTACAGTGTGTTCTGTGAAGCGCTTTGGGACGTCCTCCCGACGTGAAAAGCGCTATATCAAATGCAAGGATTATTATTATCTGTAACACCAAAGGCAGCAGCTTTGAAACATGTGGAAATTTGAAACCAGTTCTAATTTACATAAATTACAAGTTGTGTTATATTTCTATTAATTTATATTTATTGAGCTTACAAACCCCAAAATATATTTTATTGTACACTTTAAAATGCTCCAAAAGCATTCTGAAGTCCTGTTTCTGCACAACTTAGCATCAAATATTTCAAATCTACCAATAAGAAGCTTCAAGCTGCAGGAGACAAAGTAGAAGCAATCAGTTGACTAAGTATTGTCAACCCTGCTCAGAGAAGCACTCTCGCCTCGGAGTCCGAAGGTTGTGAGTTCAAGCCCCACCACATTGGGAGTTGCAATCACAGAGTTTAAGATGACACTCCAATGCAGTGCTGGTATTGTGCTGCATTGTTGAAATTGCCACCCTTCGGATGAGATGGTAAACCGCGGTCCCATCTGTCTGTTCAAATAGATGTTAAAGATCCCATGGCACTATTCGAAAAGAGAAGTTTTCCCCTGGTCTTCTGGCCAATGATCCCCCAAATGAAATTAGTCATTCACTCTATGGCTGTTTGTGGGACACTGCTGTGCGCAACTGGCTTCTGCATTTTGCTCACAAACAGTTAATCCACTGTATATTTTGTGAAGCACTTTGAGACATGATAGGGTATTATAGCAAATGCAAGTGTTATATATAATATAAAAACATAAGTCGCTGGGAATACGCAGGTCAGCAGCATCTATGGAGAGAGGAAAGTGAGTTAACGTTTCAAGTCGATGACCTTTCATCAGAACGCAAGGATTATTATCATCATTATTGAGTGACCGAACAACAACAACAAGATTACATTTGTATAGCGCTGTTCATGTCGGGAGGACATCCCAAGGCGCTGGACAGTGCACAGCATTTCAGACTTGACCTGGGGTCAGGGGGGAGAAGGGAGGGGAGGGGAAGGGGGATGGCCGATGGCATGGTCGAAGAGGAGGGTCTTGGGGGGGGGGGGACTTGAAGGAGGCTAAGGAAGGGGCGAGGCGGAGTGACTGGGGGATGAAATTCCAGAGGTTGGGGGCAGAATGGTCGAAGGCTCTCCTGCCAATGGTGGGGCGGGTGGGTCGGGGGACGTGGAGCAGGCCAGAGCTGGCTGAGCGGAGTGAACGGGTGGGTTGGTAGGGGGTTAGGAGATCGCAAAGGTAGGGTGGGGCGAGGCCATGGAGGGCTTTGTATGTGAGCACCAGGATCTTGAACTGGATCCTCTGAAGGATAGGGAGCCAATGGAGTTGGGCGAGAATGGGGGTGATGGGGTCATGGAGTTTGGTGCGGGAGAGGACACGGGCTGCAGAGTTCTGGATTATCTGCAGTCTGTGGAGGGAGGAGTTGGGAAGGCCAACAAGCAGGGGGTTTGCATAGTCGAGCCTGGAGGTGATGAAGGCATGAACAAGAGTTTCAGCGGCCTGAGGGGTGAGGTAGTGGCGGAGTCGGGCGATGTTACGGAGGTGAGGGAAGGCAGAGCGGGTCATGGCTTGGATGTGGGGAAGAAAAGACAGTTGAGGGTCGAACAAGACACCTGGGTTCCTGACTGGCTGGTGAGTTGAAGTGTGCAACCATGGAGGTTGATGCTCCCAGAGCCTGAGGTGCTGGCACGAGCCAATCAGGAGGGCCTCAGTCTTGTTCACATTCAACTGTAGGAAATTTGCCCTCATCCAGGACTTGATGTCTGACAGGCAGTCTGTCAGGACAGCAGTGGTCCTGGAGTTGAGGGTGGAGGCAGAAAGATAGAGTTGGGTGTCGGATGATGTCACCAAGGGGGAGCATGTAGATATTAAAGAGGAGAGGGCCAAGGAGTGCGGGGGCTGGAGGAGAAACCGTTAGAGGCCACACGGTGAGAGAGAATTCGAACCAGGCAAAGGCAGGTCCGTGAAGACCGAGTAAAGCGGAGAGGAGGTGTATGAGGATGGAAGTGATGTGGAGGTGGCTGTGGATGGGGCTGAGGTGGCTGAAAGTATCCCCTCGATGTTAGATACAAAACTGTAGTGAAGGACAAGGAATGGAGTCATTGATTTTGAATGAAAGAAACACTGAAATGCACAGCACCCCAAGAAAACAGACCACAGAAGAGACCTGTATGGATTAATAGCAAGCCTGCTAATGTTCCCTTGAATATTTTCAAAATCTATCACAATCATTGCATTTGTAAGATGTAAGAAGGGACAGAATGTGTAAACTTAATAGAGTGCAGACATGGAAATTCCAAAGACATTTTTCACTGAGCTAAACATCAGCCATTCTTTAAACACAAGCCTCACCTTTGTTTTCTCTAAACATAATTTTTTTTACCCTTTTTGAAAAATACTTTTCAAGACTTTCAGTAAAACTGCTACATGGAAGTGTCAACTCAGCTACCTACCTGTCTTTTTGTTTTCCTGTCTTCAACCTGGCTCAGTTGGTTGCGCTCTTAATTATGAGTCAGGAGGTTATGGGTTCAAGTCTGTTGTCAGGACTTTGAGCTCATAGGCTAACACTCCAGTTAATATTAGGGAAGCACTGCATTATCCTTTGGATGAGGCGATAAACCAAGGTCCCATCTGCCTGTTCTGTTCAGGTGTAGTTAAAGATCCCATGAGGGTTTCACTCGGTGTGCTTGTCAAATCCCATACAAAAATTGGTCATGCATTTCCTGGCTGTTCGTGGGACATTGTTACGCGTAAAATGGCTGCAGCGGTCACCTATGAATACACAGCACGATTAGGCGCTACACTATATCAAAAGCACTTCACTGAAGACAGTGCAGCAGAGGAACTGCTGCAGTCTTACAATACTTAATGTCTTTCAAACTTTTAATATTCTGTCTGCTACATAAACCTGGTCAGGATAACGACGACTGTCAATAACAGCAGTCAATCAGCAAATTGGCTGCTGCATTTCATCCACAAATACAATCAATCCACTTTACAATTATTTTGTGAAATGTTTTGAGACATCTCAATGACGTGATAAGGTGATATATCAAATGCAAGGTTTATTATTAATAATAATCCTTGCATTTGATATAGCGCTTTTCACGTCTTCTCAACGTCTCAAAGCGCTTCACAGAATATGCTGTGAAGTGAATTAACCGTATATTCGTGGGCGAAACGCGGCAGCCAATTGCGCGCGGCAGCCAATTGCGCACATCAGCGTCCCACAAACAGTCGTGGATTGAAAATGACCAATTTATTATTGTTTTGTAGGGATTATTTTTTTAGGCGTGTGGAGTAAGGAAACTTGCCCAAGGTTTTGCCCTTAGATATAGTGAATAAGTGCAATGCACTTCCAACATTAAACCCCTGGCAAGTCACCCATATCCATTACTCCTGAGGTGGCACCACAGCAGAAAAGAAGGGACATGCTTTGTGGAATCCACAACAGGAGTATTCAAAGTTTATTTATATCCTTTGATTGCCTGAAAATGTGAAACAGTGCCTGTACAGAAAAGTTTGTCCTGTGTAATAAGTCACAGAATTTCTGCATTTTCACACATCACTAATCCTACTGCAGACCCAGCAGGTTTAAAAAAAGATCAATATGGTTGACTAAACCATGAAGTTAACATATGCAGTAGTTCACTTACTGAGAAACAAAAACAGAATCAAACGAGACTCAGAACTCTTCTGGGTCTACGGCACATTTGTGACATGAAGGAATTCTGC